GAGAGAGAGAGAGAGCCCCGGCCATAGCCCTGCCCAGCACCCAACGCCCAGCGAGCAAGCAGAATTGCAGAGCCCTGTGTTGGCTAAAAAGTCAGGGATTACCGATCAAGCAGTGCTGCTGTTCTATGCTGCTGATGCAGACTCAGGTACAGTGTAACCCCCCGGCAGCCCACCCGTCCGCTAAGCAGGAAGCCCCTGGAAACGGTGGACACCCCCGCTGCCGATCATACATGACCGAATCAGCATCATGTCCACCAGGGGAGACTGGGGGGTTCCCTGGACATCCTCCTGTTTCCGCTTTGCAGAGGGCACAAACGAGTTGCCGAGCATGGAAATCATCTCAAACACACCCTCCATCGGACGAGGTTGCTTTGCAGCAAAAGAAGAAGAGAAGAGCAGAAGAATCAGCACAACAAGATGTTTCGTATCAACCCAGCAGTGGTAAAACAGTGTGCTCAGACTACATTAGATCCTGGGGTTTGGGAAGGAAGAAAGACACAAACCTCGCAAGCGAAAGACCTACCTACATACAGTACACCAGTCTATGACTTGTCTATCACCTCGGCCAAGATCGTCTCTGCTACAGACTTGACACAAGACACCGATCGTTGGTCAATGGTGGGTAAGGTAGGTAGCTGGTAAGTAGGGTTGGGGTCGACGCACTCTAGGGGGGGGGGCGCACTCTTCCTGTTTCGTAACCTCTTTTGCGACCCGAAACATCTTCATTTCTGTCCGTCTCCAATGCATAAGCTGCACAGCTTTTTTTTTTATCGGTCCCCTTCCCTCTTCTGCTGCGGGCGAGGCTTACATACACACACATACGTACACAGGTACATCGTACACAATAGTAGTAGTGTCGTCGACAAGCGTCATGTCTTTTTTTGCTTCGTCATTGCTCTTGCTCTTGTTCATCGAGTCAATTTTTAGCACCGGCAATCACTGATCAAAAGGGAATTCCCGTCACAGGCCCGCCTGTCTGTCCACGTCTGCTCGTGGCGTTTGGCCATGACCTGCTTCATGAGAATCCTGATACCTAGCCAGCACCAGATGGGAGACTACAATGAATTGGCAGAATTACAACAACCGGGCATGGAACATGAAGATCAATCCTCGATCACAGTTCGTCCCATAGACCTTGCATTAGCCCGAGCGAACAAGAGAAAGAAAGGAAAACCACCCCCCATGCCATCCATCACCACCCCCGATCCAGCCACAGGATGTGGGTTTCTTCTTCCCTTCTTGGTCGCCCATCATTATGCTGATGATGCATGAACCGGCGTAGTGTGTATGATCCACACCCCTTGGTGGCGGAAGGGGAGACAAGCAGCCTGGCAGCAGCAGCAGCATCACAAAGCCGGACAAGTGTCTCTGCTTGGGACTCGAGTCGAGTATGCGAACAAGCATGATAGTACTGACCACTACAACTCACACTAGATGCAAGCATTCCGACTTGGTTGCTTGGCTTTCCCTTTCTCTTCCCCTGGCTCCGGCTTCTTTTTTAGCTAGCCAACTGGCCTGCCTGGCTTGCCTGGCTGTTGTGCTTGTGCTTGTGCTTGTGCTTTGTGCTGCGCCCTCGAACGCGACTATCGCCCCATCAATACCGGCCGGCCAGACCTCAACTAACTGCTGTACCTTGTAACTAATGTACGTACCTCTCTCTCACACACACCCCCCGGCATCAGACGTCTTTTTAGGATCTCCCACTAAGACTATCGATGCACGTTCTATTTTCTTTCCCATCTTTTCGTGTCTCCGCCTTCCCACCCCCCAGTCTAGATTGTTGTAGTACGTAGATACGACTACTACTACTACTACTACTACTACTACTACTACTACTACTACTACTACTATCTTGTCCTTATAATAGTCCTTCCTGGTCTCGGTCTCGGTCACACTTGCTTTGGTTTTCTTCCTACTTCTCAGACCCTCTGCGTAGTGTCCCAGCTTCCATCAAAACTTCTTCTCCTCCCTCGACCAACAAACCTCAAGTCAATCCTCACGTGTCTTGTCTTACACATTGATCGTGCTCCCTGTGATTGGTAGACGACGTCCTATCTTTACTGCTACTACTTCAACCACTCGAGACCCGATTTCCCGGATCTTGGCCGTTCGCTTCTTCCTTTCTCGCAAACAGAAAAAAAATCACAGGCTGAGCCTATTTCTATACACACACAACCTTAATCTCAAATCAACCACCGAAGAGTACCGACATCACCACGGCAACTCTTATCACCTCATTTGGCACTCAACTCTTTCCAGTCCAAATTCACATCAATATCTTGACTATCTCTCTCTCGCTCTCTCTCTATCTCTTCCAAGCAAAATCAGCCTCGATAGCTCCGAGCATCCTTGGAAAGATTCTAGCAAGAAAAAGATTAGTATTCAAAATGCAGACCTCACGTTTCAACTCCATTCGCTCCCGCTTCTCGCCTTCTGGCCTGCGCACATCCTTCCGCCGAGCCTCATCAGCTTCGTCCCGCAGCACCAGCTCACGGAACTCGTTTGCCTCCAACGGTTCGTCACCTGCCGAGACCATCAACAGCGTCCTGTCCCGCCAGCCCTCCTTCATGGAGATGGAGGCCGAGAGGAGGAGCTTCGGCTCAGAGCTTAGCGTCCTGGAGCCAAGACCCGTCGTCTACTGGGGTGGACTCGAGGAACGCATGGGTTCCTTTTAAGCAAACCTGCGCTCGTCGATGCTCGTCGTGAGGCTTGACATGCCTCGCGACATCATCACCGCCGGAGACTTTTGCTGGCTCGGCCTTCTAAGCAAGGCACGACCGCTCTCGGCACAAATTACAACATTCGATTCATGACCATGAGCACTTCGGTTGCTCATGACAACTACTTAGGGACACCTGCACTTGTGTTTCACGGGCGGCCCTGGACTGGTCGTACTCATTACCCCCCACGACTGGCGAATGGGACACGACGTGACGGGACTTATTTTGGGATCTTGATTATTTGGCAACAATTGTTCGGGATTATTGACCACGATGACGATTGCAATGTCATCAGGCACGAACTTGTTGCTCTGAAGAAAAGAAATGTGTGACACGAACGGAAATGGGAAACGCACAGGTTCATTGGCGCTCAATGGAGTTTGCGCTGCTGGAATACAGCAGCGCTTGGGAAATCCGCCTACTCATAGACTTTGTCTAGGTTTTGACTATTTTTGGAAGACGGTAAACAACAAATAAAAAAAGAAAATATTCCGTTACCTACTATTGCTCTATACTTGCTTCTTGTCACTTGTCATTTACGATGATCTATCGATATTTCTGCCCATCCTGTCGTGTCACATCAGCTCCCCGATCCTGATTTGAACTCATCCCCTGCCAGTGCAACTTGAACGACCCTTGTGACATGGATCCTGGTATCACTGCAGGACCAAGGGGGGAAAAGAAGAAACCCACATCAAGATGGTGACTTAATGATATGCAGAAGTAAACAAACAATACTTTGAGTTTTATTTTCTCTGTGGTCGATCACTGTAATTTTCGCTTTCCAGCTGCACAGGGTCTCGAGTGAATCAAACCTTATTTTCAACCCCTTACCCTTGACCGTTGGGGCAGGCAGAGGAGGCCGCATGCTCACTATGCATAATGTTGAAGAGAGAGAGAAAGAAAGAAAAAAAAGTCTCATGAAAAAAAAAACCACTCTGTCATGGCACGGTTGCCCCTGACACCATTGCGTCTCCCTCACACCCGTTGAGCAAAATGTTCTACACCTTATATATACCTTAATTTTCATCGGACCCGGGACTCGGGATCCAAGTATACTCTCTTGGCACCGCTCTGGATATGAACTTAAAAAGGAACACTGATAAGCATCTTGTAATGATGAGTGATGGATTTATCCTGATTCAGCGCTGATACATGAACGATTCCTTGTGTCTGCCTTTACGATACTTTGGTGGCATTTGACGTCCTCTTCTGATTGATTGGTTAGCAATGGAGAATATATATATATATATATAAGCCATAGCACAAAGATTGTATTTTGCACCGTGGTAGACTGATCCTCTGAGGTGGCTACCATACTTATAAGCAAGTCGTAGATGAGAATACATCCGCCCGGAATAGGATAATGGACAGACTCTTTCTTACGAGTCAAGTTAATGAATGATACTTTCTTTTGTGGTATGCAGCAAAAAATGCTTTGTATCATGTCAATGTGCGAACAATAGTTCATGGTCATGTCTATTCCAAGCTTTCGAGGAAACCTAGGTTTCCAGACAGACGACTGGACCATCTTCATTATTCACCAACTCTCTTGATTGTATACACTTGGGTGTAACTTTGGTCTGGTCTGTCCCAAGGCTTGAAAGTAAAGATGTCCGTGAAGAGATGTGAGACCAAGCGTACGGTGCCCTGACCACATCTTTGTGTAGCATCACCGTGTCATATAGCCAATATCTCGACAATCTCTTTGGGATCTTCCAGTCTGTAGTCGTTGTTCCAATCAAGTCCAACAGGCCGGACCTAGTGAATAGTGCTAGTAAGCTGTGCTCTCCTCCAAGATGACGAATATGACCAGAAACGGATAGAACTCTTTTCACAGATAGCTACACAATTTCATCATGAATATATGATATTGGCGAGTCAGACACAGGACGAAATCCGCCTTGTCACTCTTTATACTAGCTAGTGATGAACCGGACGAAAGAAACTGTTATCATGCTTAGCCCTATATAGTACCGTCTCCCTCACGAGTCCTCACCCACATCGTCGGCGTCGACGCCACAGATATCTCATCGCCTTTTTCTCACACGTCGTCGCCATCTAGATCGAGACCTCCCCGCCCGACGATGCCGAGCCACACGTCTCGAAGCCGCAGTTTCCCAGGCCGCATATTTCTCAAGCCGCGAGGTTTCGAGCCACAGGTCCGTTTGAACCACTTGCCTCTTGGCCCACGCTTTGGTTCTTTCCAACGTATCCCCGACACCTTGCGGGAACTTTGAAGTTTGGTGTTCAAACAAAACACATTCGCCTCCGGAGAGCTTCTGACCTTGAACCAATCGAAGACGCCTTGCGGCCTGAGCAACATACACTTTTCTTCGCTCGCTATCTTCGTGGGCAGTGTTTCTTGTCATCAAGCGCTACTCCAGGCATTCTTCGTTCGCGCTCGGAATATTCTCTTCGTGGCAGATTCACCTTGGCGCAACAACAAAAAGAAGAGCAAGCAACATCTTGAACCCAGGGCATTTTTGCGCCTTTTGCCAGTGGCGCCCTCTCTTCGCAACCAGCTGCTTCACCTTTTCGAAACTGAAACAGTTTACCGTAACTAATCGCCATGGCCTATCACAAGAGCCCTTCTCCGGTGGACAAAATGATTGTCAGGTGAGTACCCTTGATTCCCTCATCTTCTCGACTTAATCACCACTTGGGCCTTTGGGATTCTTTCAAGATATTGTCGAACATTCTCGACTCATTTCAGAAGATAAAAATTAGTCGTGGTAAACGGTGTAGCTAAATGAGATTTTCTGAGCAGCCCGGGCCGCCGTGCCGTTGACTTCTGCAAGGAAACCTGGCGCCGCGTTACCAAGTCGCCCAAGTCCGAGGAGCGTCCTCTGCACATCTCAACGCCCATCTTTTTCAAACATACGGAGCACGGCGTAGCAAAGAAGGAATCTCCCGACCCTGCTCCTACCCGCCCCGACGATGTGACTGACGACCATGCCAAGGTCGTCAACGTCAAGGATACTGGCGACGGTGATGAGAAAGAAAACGAGGCCGAGTGTGGCGACCTCGCCATGATGCCCTTGGCCGTCACCTTGTCCTCCACGGTATCTTCTCTTATCTCGGAGCCAGCTCCTGTTGCTACTCCTCTGCCGGCTTCGCAGGTTTCTGAGAGCTCCCCGGCCATTCTCGACAAGGACTGGCGCCGCTTCGAAGATACCCCCGTCAAGAGCAGCCCTTCCTACTACCTTGGCAAGTATGCCCGCGGTTCTGACTCCCAGGGCACCATTGTCAACCGTCCACGTAGCACCAGCGCTGCCACGACCAACTTGAGCATCCTCGAGTCATCTACCGAGCGCGACTTTGGCGACCCCGAGCCCAGTTGGCAGCATACTTCCCGCCCTCGTTCTCAGCCCCGTCCCAAGGATTCTGGCTCTTCCTTTTCCACCTACCAGGCCACCCCGCCCGTCCAGTTCCCTCGCCAGGCCAAGCAAAAGAACTTTGGCTTTTTGTATCACCGCGAGGTTCGCAGCAGCGGCCATAAGGGAGAAGCCGCCAGCGTGGCCAGCAGCAGCCAAGTCTCCCTAGCCACACCCACCCCGGCCGTTCGTACTGCTCATTACCACTACCAGCATCAGCCTTCCCGCGCTGCTGCTGCTCGCCCCCACAGCGCTGTCATCCAGCGTCATGTCAGCGACTCCGTCATTGGCACCGAAGACGCCGGCGACTGGATGACGATTGCCGACACTGTGGGCGACATGAGCGGACTGCAGGGAGGAGGAGGAGAGGACGGCGGCGATGCTGCTGATTCTATCAATGGCCATGCCAGTGACAAGTGGTCCGCCGTTTCGGTGCGCGGACAGTCGAGCACCATGGACAATATCATTTTCCCCGAGAGTCGCGGCCGCAACGCCAATGATGATGAGATCAAGGTCAAGACACGCCTGGAGAACAACGTCGTCACGCCCGTCAAGCAGCGCCGCAAGGTCTCTTTTGCCGACCAACTGCCCGCTGGTACTACCACTACTGCTGCTGCTGCTGCTACTGGTACCACAACCGCCGCTGCTGCCACCGAGCCGTTCCAGTCCCGCGTCGTCATTCGCAGAGGTGTCGATGCTCAGAACCAGGAGCGGCCTGAAACGCTGCAAGTGAATCGTTCTACTCGCACGCACCCTCGCTACTCTGGTTCATTTGATGTTGACGTTGCCCGTCGACGCATCAGCACCCCGATTGGACCTGCTGTGCTCATGGATTCTTGAGTGAGCGTGGGGGGAAGCTGCGAGTCGGCCTTTCTGTAGCACTGGCTGGAGAAACTCGTACATGGGGAGGACCCGAGGAAAGTCTTCTCTCCCTCTCAGGCCTTTGTTCTCACCTTTTCGTGATTTTTTCTGTTCTGTTCTGTATTTTTGCTTTTGAGAAACAGCGGCGAGGGCAATGGTATTACTGCCAGGCAAGAGGGGTAAGAGAAATGGAATGGGTTCGCACAAGCCGCTGCCCTTCAACTTGAGATGGAAAGGCCGTCATTTGACTGCTCAGCAGAATGGGAAGGAGGTCAGTGATTCACACGGGAGTTTTGGCGGTTATTAATCACCAAGTCCAGAGTAGTCACTCCTTTGTATTCTTGCGTATGGTTTTATATGTCAGAGGGGGATGGTTCTCTTTCAAGATTTGTTTTCTTGCAATTCGCATGATACCCCCAAGAAATCGTTTGTCCTGCTTTCCCTCTCTATCGACCACGAGAGTTCCCATAACGGAATCTAGCCATAGATTTGGCTCTCGATAGCCTTGATACAAAAAATTGTTTCCTCATTACGCTCCGCCACACTTGTTATTTGATTTCTGTATGACGCGCATCTCACTCTTGTTCTCAGGTCTTTTGAAAGAGGTCAGCATCACAGGCAGAAACACCCGATCGATCACCAGACTTATTTTTCAGCTATAAACCACAACAAACGTCCGGATGCCGTCAGGGAATAGGGAAGGTGACACCATTTCTCCAGCCTACTGGTACCTGGTCCTCGGAACCGGCCCTCCACCGACCCGTTCAAGCTTCCTGCGCATGGCTTCGGAGCGCCAGGCCGTTCATCGCGCGGGCATCGTAGCCAAGGAGGCAAGAAGGGAGGCTACAGTTAAGGCCAAGGACACTAGAAAAGAAGCCATTGCCAAGGCCAAGGCGGGCAACCCGGTCCCGTATCTCATGGGCACCATGAAGAAGAAACTTGGGCTGGGCAAGAAGAAGAGTAAAAAGAACTCGCAGACAGCGCGCGGTGACAAGTCTTTGGGAAGAATACAGCCAATGGAAGGCGAGATCCAAGATACTCCCGGTTTCGAGGATGATGCTGCTAGTGATATTGCCAGAGCATCTGATTCCGAAGTCACTCCCAACGATACAGACAGATTCGGGGATGACGCTGCCGAGGCAAAAGACTCGGATACTCCCAACCGAGATGATGATGGGACCAACTTGGAAGCGGCTCAAAGTCTGGAGAATTGCCACAACATCAAAGCAAGAGGTTCGCCTACCAGCGATCAAGAAGCTGCCGTAGGTGCCTCTGAGCCAGCAGAAACACAAAATAGCCATCAGACTGATGCTGGAGTTCACTGCCTAGACTTGTCCAAGACTTAGGGTGCTTTGAGTTTGCCACCAGTGTATTCGTCATAATAGAACTGTACCAACCAAGACAATGTAGCCAGCCAATGGTGGCCAAGTTCAGAAGCTCTCCTTTCTATAAAGAGCGGATCAACCCTATTCACATGCTACTTATCTCTGGCCCTTCTCGTTGTTTTGACCCCGGACCAGGAGAAATGCTTTCTCCAATTTCTTGGATGATGGCCGAACTGACAGCATGTCGTGTTTCGACCATAAAAGCATAGCCTCGCGAGTTTGCTAGGTTCCGTATAAGCCCGAGCACCGTATTTTAAAGTAGCCATGGCCGTGTTTTATAAATCACGTAGCACTTGAGAGACATACATGTAAAGAGCCTTGCAGCTGGTAGGTAGTAGTGCTTATCTCCATTGGCCACTATACACCAGGCAGTTGCTACACCAACGTTCGTTGCTGTCCACCTGATGATCATACGCCTGCTCCCTACCAATAAGACGACGACATTGACCATGTCCACTGAACTAAGTACAGCTTGGTAGTAGTGTCTATGACTTTTCCTCATAAATGATCTCGTTCCATGTTATGATACACAGTGAGATGGATCGCCGCGGAAGCCTTTCCGACTCCCAACGGGTCTCGGCGGCTGTGCCTGTTGTGAATCAAACCAATGAGACCCTTTCAACTCTCACTACCTACCACGACCGACGCGTCAAGACAACCAACAAGACAAGACACCCACATCTGGCAACTTTCACCGAACCCACTGCTATGGCAACCGGTTGAGAATCCGCTCTCAGAACAGAGTCATCGGCGTAGAAGTATATTCATCGTGCATTCTTTTATCCGCCACTCATACGTAAAAAATGATATAGTCCAACACGTTCAGCATGCGGGTTCCTGTTTTCCCTAGCAACTCCATACAAAAAAGGCAAAAGGATCACGGCACCGATCCAGCCATGATGTCACGCTTTTCCTCTGGACTAGCCGTGTACCTAGCAACGGGTTTGAAACGTAGACGCTAAAACATCCGATTGGCATTGTACCTCCGTTGAATCGGATTCCAGGGACGGCAGAATGCCAAATCCCCTGAAGTAGCAACGAACCTGGCTATGCAGAGATCTGGGCGAAATAAATAAGACATGACAACGCCACCCTCCGTAAACTCCTAGACACCTATGCCGAGACGCCATGCCCATCAAAAGATGGCAAATGTTGCAGCTGGACTGCAAAAAATAGAAATGCAACAAGAGAAGTTGAGAAAAACCCTTCCCCAGCGGGTGGTTTGAACCAAGACGGCCCGACCGTCTGTGCTATGAGACTCTCGTGCATCTATCAAGTCATAAACGATTACTGTGAAGCACCATCCAAAGCTCCACCGGGTATCCTGGGTCGATGGAACGCGTTGGCATAAAGGTTCTCATCGGTATTGATTATGCTTTGAGCAAGATTTGCCATTCGGGCAGACTCAAGGCTCAAGCTCATCCAGGGAGAGCTTCGTGTCAGTGATACCCAACTCAGGAGCACATCTCTTGGCCCATTGCCGAGTGAGAAGGGAAGCTGTGCGTCGGTCAGTATTGAATGTTTTGTTCTAGGAGATGAGAAGACATACCCTTCAAGAACTTCTTACTAGCGTACTTCTTGTAGAAGGCCTCGTGGATGACGGGGCGAGCCAGGTAATCAACCATGAGGAGGAAGACTGGCTCGATCTCCTCTTCCGTGTAGCCAGCGTAGTACGACAGAGTTTCATCCTGGTCAAAATTAGCTTTTATGCATAAATTATACTCATCTGTGAAACTTACCCAAGGGCCGCGGTCTAGGATCATGCGCGACAAGTACATAGCAGCCGCAGCAATGTGACTGGAGCGATAGGCCATGAATCGGTGGTCAACCAGGCTGATCTCCATAAGATACTTGCCAATGGTACGCGATTGGATGTCATAGTTGTCGGCCTTGGAGATACGACGAAGGAAGTTCATGGGGTTGGGGTAGCTGAGGTTGAAATCCAGCGTAGAAAGGACGAAACGCTCGGCACTCAAAATCTCCTGTTCCGAGAAACCATCATCGGCGACGTGTACAAAGTTGGCAACGTGCGGCGACAGAACCTCCTCGTACTTGGACGCGATGAACATGGCAGTGATGCCGACAAGCTGCAGCCGGTCAAGCTGGACAACCTTCTCGGAAAGGAAGCGGTCGATAATGTTGATGGCCAGGAACAAGGTCTCCGGCAGAAGGTGGAAACGTGTGTGGACCTCAATCAGCCAGTCGATGAGGATACCGCGCGTCTTCCACTCCAAATCGTCCTGGTGTGCCATATACTCTGGGTTGGGCACCGACTCGCACTCCAGGTCTCTCAAATACTCAAAGATCTCGTTGGCATACTCGGCAGCCATCAACGGGTCATCCAGGTCCTCGCTGTCCAGGTCCTTGACACCCGGGGGGTACTTGTGCTTCTCCTGCGGCGCAGGCTCGGGCTGGGACACCTTTTCGGTGACGGAGTCTACCTTGGCGTTCTCATCGTTGGCGACTTCAACAACCTTTTCACTCTCCACCAGAGTGTGGACCTTCTTGCGAACCGGCTCACCCTCCTCTGCAATCTTGTCTTGCTTGACTGTGGTGGTAGCAACTTTTCTCTTTGTGGAAGAGGCACCAATGGCACCGGAGCCGGAGCCAGCTCTCTTCACTTCAGTCTTCTTTGCAGCTTCCTTGCTGGCGAGGGCAGTTCTTGTTGTGGTGGCGCGAGGCTTCTGAACGCCGGTGGGCTGAGCAGCCTTGGAGACAAGGCCAGTCTTGGCAGTAGCGGCCTTCTTTCCCTCGGTGACCTCGACCTTTCCAGCATTAGTGACATCGCCCAGAGCAGCCCGTCTTCTGCCGTTGGCTGCGGTTGTGGTTGCAGGCTTCTTTGACTGGAGGGTTGGCTTTGTGGGTGGTGCATTGACATCGACGTCAAGTGCTGCAGCCTTTGCACGCGTCATACGCGTAGAACTGTTCTCGTCATTCTCGTTGGTGACGAGTCGTCTGGTAGCAGGGCGTCCCTACAAAAGGTGACGGGTCAGTATGCACAGCTAGACGTACTTGCAAGTCACGATGGTGGAGCCACCAGCGTAGACAGGTCAAGCTGCGGCGCGTCGAGAATTGATGACTTACTGGAGGCATATTTCTTCCTCGTTGTACGTGATTTTTGCAATAAACAAATTCAGTCGCGTCTTAATTACTGGAATGCAAAATCGTGTCAGTCATGGTTCTCTCGTTGTGACTTGCAAGTGTGGTCTTGAGTTGTTGAGTGCAGATCTCGCAAGGGCTGTATTTATGTGGAAGCGTGGGGCTAGCATCTGCAAAATCGCAACAGGCAAACACGCGCAACAAGACTCTCGAGAGGGCCAAAGCAGAAGCCCGATGTCAAGTCCGAAAGCCCGCAAGTTCCTCAAGCTCCAAGAGACTCTTGACCAGATAGAGGACTGGTTCGTACCTGTTATGTACTGCAAGGTATCGCGGATGGGTTGACTTCGCGTGTGGCTTTTGAGCCTTTGGTGTCAACAAGCTTTCGGGAACCGTTGAAGCTGTCCAACGCGTTGCAAGATAATGCAAGAGAGGCGTGAAGAATACTCGAGGGCAGGTGCGAGCAATCGATATGTAGATTGGAAAAAGAGACAAAGAGAGACGAGATATGTTGTTGGGTGGAGGGAGTATGTTGTTTACATGTACGGGGGGGAATATGCAGACAGGTTGGGTATTTTCAAGAGAGAGGGAGCTGGAGCTGGAGCCAGGCAAAGAAAAGAAGCCGTGGTAGCGTGCGTAGCGCGAATTGGCTTGGGTCTGGTGCAGTGACCAGCGCCAGTAGAGAAAACAGAGAGAGGGAGCAGAAAGACAGAGGAAGAAGAAGAGTGGGTACTCGGTAGCCTACCTGATTTGTGTGCACGTGTGTGTACTTGTTCAAGGCCACGGGCTGGGCTTCTAGCGCGATGCCCCCTGTTCGGGACTGCGGGCAGAATTGCAGCTGTGACGACGTGACGGTAGTGTCTCAAGTCGCGCTGGGTGACGGAATTGGGAAGGATTGAGCGTGACAGGATCGTGATTTCTGCACAGGCTCTTTTTTGTTCAGGTTCGTTGTATGGACGGGAAGTCGTTGGGAATTTTGTTTTCTTCTGCTGTCTCGCTCGTAATGATATTGGAATAGAATAGACTGAATTCTATGCAGCAGCAACGCAACACACACAAAACAGACGCCGACAATGCAAATCGAATGACGCTGAGTGAATATCTAGCAGCAATAGATGGAAATAAAGATGATGATGCTGTAGGAGAGAAGATGGGTGTTGACAGACAGACAATTGAGTTCGCCGGGAGCTTTTTGCAAAAACCTGGGCACGAGAAGAAGACCGGGAATTATTATCTATTCAAGTTGGTTGCCCGTTGAAGCAGCAAGCAAAAACTCAAAAAAAAGCTCGACGCGGTCCCCTTGGTATTACACAAGCTACATTATTAGGCACATGGTGCATAGCAGTAGTGCAAGCCCACGCTTATAACCCCACTTTGATGAATGTCAACAGCCGCTGCCAGGGGCAACGGCTGTCTCTGGTCTCCCCAATGGCTTGTCGCGGTCCCTCCTGTTGCAAACTTCCCGGGATTCCGTCAGCCCAATTCAAGACGTGACTTGTGGCTGGTTCACGGCAAGACGCAATAGTCGGTGCATAGTATTCCAGAAAATGGGATAGTAGTGAGACACTGTTGCCATAATTCAATCTTCCCTTAGACAGCCCAAGGTCATGTCTTTAGAGAGAGATCAATTAAGAACAAAGAAGCAGGAACATCGAGTAAGACAAAAAGGACAGTTGTAATCTGTACTAATTGTTATGCTGTTGAAAGTGGATACTCAATGCATCTGACAATAATGTAGACATAAAATCACTACTCGAGGTATCATGACACTTGTTCGTATACAAAGTACCTGCCCTATAAAATAGTATGCACACTTCACAAAACGCTTTGCTTGTTGATACGCGTCTTGCATGTCATAGTGGTATGGAACAGCCCGGACCTCCTCGTACATACATGGGAGCGCGTTCTGAAAAGACATGTCCGACTTTTTTTTTTTACTCTTGGTCCGACCGGACAGGGAGACGCGCCTGTTGGTTCTGGTGCTAGTACCTAGGTCCTTGGTCATGATGCTTGCAGCCGCCTTTCATTGACTTGTTAGGCAGGCTTTTCATTGCAACCGTGTTTGTTGGTTGATTGTGGAAAAGTATATCGGCAACGCCTGAAAAACCAGCTCTATCCTGGCACTGTTTTAAATTGTCATATTCAATACGCACCATCAGCGCCTGCCTAATGCTCTGCAGCCTTCTTATATCCAACGTTGCAAAGTTCCTAGTCTGTTGATTGAAGGCCGTTCATGGTTTTGAATTCTAATATCGACCATAATTGTACTTCGTAGACTTTAGAGAGGACGTGTACGGAATACTACTTGTAGTCTGGCGCTCCCGATGCATCCAGCCAATCACATCGCATTTTTAGTGCTTCCAAAAATCATACTCGGACTGAAGCACCCCAGTACGTACCTAGCTACTTAGTGGTAAATTCGGCGCTGGAAGAACCCTAGCTCCTTTGCGAAGCTACAATTTCTCCATTCGAGGCATCTCGCCGCAACTCGAGCACCGACGACGGCGACGAAGATATCGAATCGCCCCGTCTTTTTGCGAAAGCACGGCCACTACGCATCTGCTGCCATTACTGCGCTGCCGATGCATAGGCACGCCTGCCATGCCATGATGTTGCAACCAAGGCTGTTTTCAAGATCTGCCCACGGGGCATTGGCCAGCTCCAAATGCTCGTCGGCCGCCTTCCTGGGCAGAAGCTATGCGACCGTCCAGACAACCATTGAGCCTGCCAACACCTCCGTACCGAGTCCGACCGCGAAGCCTGGTGGCCAGGGTCGGCAGTCATCCGCTATTCTGCGCACATATACGCCTAGAACCGGTGGTCTCAGACATTTGAAGCGCCCCATCAACGATCACCTATGGAAGGGCAGGCCATTCCTGCCATTGACCTTTCCCAAGAAGGGTATGGGCAAGGGTGGTAGGAATCACCACGGAAAGATTACCGTCAGACATCGCGGAGGTGGTGCAAAGCGAAGGATAAGGACGATCGACTTTGCCCGGTGGAACGCCGGCCCGCAACTCGTCGAGCGCATCGAATACGACCCGAACCGCAGTTCGCACATTGCCCTCTTGTCGGATCAAGCAAATGGAAAAAAGTCGTACATTATCGCTCCCGATGGCACAAGAGCTGGAGATATCGTACAGAGCTACCGATCTGGTATCCCGCAAGATTTGCTCGACAGTATGGGTGGTGTTGTTGATCCCGGTATTCTGGCTGCCAGAACGGCGCACCGAGGCAACTGTCTGCCATTGCACCTGATCCCCGTCGGTACCCCAATTTTCAATGTCGGCTCGCACCCCAAGGGCGGCGCCGTCTTCTGCCGCAGCGCCGGAACTTTTGCCATCGTGGAGGCCAAGGACGAGGAGACTTCAGCCGACGGTGTCAAGGTTGTGACTGGAAAGTACGTCACTGTGAGGTTACAGAGCGGTGAAGTGAGAAAATGTAGCAAAGATGCATGTGCGACCGTTGGAGTGGCCAGCAACATCCACCACCAATACCGACAGCTTGGTAAGGCAGGAAGAAGCCGATGGCTCAACATTCGACCCACCGTCCGTGGTGTGGCCATGAACAAAGGTATGTCTGGAAGATGATTTCTCAACTTGGCCAAACACTGATTCTTTGCAGTCGACCACCCTCACGGTGGTGGTCGTGGTAAATCCAAGAGTAACAGACACCCCGTCTCTCCATGGGGACGAACACCGGTATGCTTTCTCCTATATCATCATGATGATAAAGTCCACGTTCTGATTCTTTCTACAGGCCAAGGGTGGTTTCAAGACTCGTCCCAAGAGCAACATCAACAAGTGGGTGGTCGTTCCGCGGGTACGCAACCACGGAAAGCGCAGAAGCAAGAACAGTTAAATGTAGAGCTCGACTCTCATATAGACTCAAACGTGTACTTTATCGATCTGTACAATACATTGTCTCGGCGGCTAGATCGGCATATATATGTACAGCTGTATAATACGAGACTAGAAGCGGTCTTTGTCACCTTACAAAACAATCGTCATTCCAAGTCACAGGTTGATCCCCTCTTGGGTTGCCATCGGCACGTGCTTTCTGGAATGTTCGCATCTTTGTTGTTATTCGGAAATTTGTTTGTCGTTCTATTTCTACTTGCTTACCTAGGTTTGCCAATGTACCGAAACAACACACCAACAACATCTTCATGCCGGCAATGTCCCGACATGACGGATACGAATCCCTTCGAATGTACCATTTCCGTCTTCGCCAATATTGGTACCTTTTATTGTGCCGTCTACCGTACTCGAATCATCTGACTCTATGTGGCCAAAACATGGGACTCGCTCATTTTACTCACCTCAACAAGGGTCCTCACCGAGGGGTAAAGTTTGACAACGACAATACAAAAGTAATCCAGAGACACTCACCTCTCCACAAGACCGTCCATCTGCTGTCGTACCACCAGGCACCGCACACGCAGAATATGCTCTCGCGGGACAGCAACCAGTGATGGGCTAGACGCTCGACGCCGACCATGCGGCCGCGGGGCAACACGGCCTTGGGGTCCTGTCTCGAGGTCTGGACAGTCAGTTGGCGTCACGGGCGTCGAGTAGTTTGAAGCAGGGCGGCCCGTATATCGGGTGCTATATCAGGCGCCTGATTACTATACGCAACTTGATCCTTACCGCGCTGACATCTTTTCCCCGCCACGGTGAAGGTGAACCCGGGATGGTTCGAAGGACAAGTAACTCGGCTGGTTCAACACCCCCGGACGCCACGTTTGGCTGCCATAGTGAACCTTCCCCTTTTCCTGTGTCCCCAGAAAGCAGAGAAACTGTTCTTCATGATCCTCTGCTGTCCCGGGAAGTCTTTCATTATCTGTACCTTGGCTATGAAATTAATCATTGCCGCATGTTCGATTATTTGCATATATGTCGACAGAACTATAAAGGCATATATATCCTTGAGCCAATGGTGTCACGCCAATAAGCATGGACATTTGAGACTACTTTTTGTCATTCCTTGTCTCTCCGACCTTAAATAGAACAAACTCCTTGTTGAGCGGAACTCCTTTGTAGAGGTTCTCCCTCGTAAATATGATCTTAACCCGGCCGCCACCCAAATGCTTTCAGGGTCGTCGTGCTGCAAACCCAGTTATCTCCTAGAAATGACTGTATATGCATGGCTTTTCAATGCCAATCCACAAAATTTCTACGCCTTGGATGAACGTCATCAGGCGTGATGAATCGACCCGAGCAACACAGGCCATCCAAGTAATGGGCAAACGAGCCGGTCAATATAATATTGTTAGTGCGCAGATTTCATAACCCAACCTGGTGCAGAACTCAAAGATCACAGGATTTCAAGCCTCAGTTAACTCTGCGAGATCAAAAGCTGATGTGATTCCCGGTATTCCCTTTGAGATTCCCTCGATTCCCAAGATAAGTAAATAGATGGAATGGGAAATAAATGCTAAATGACCACCTTTTCCTAGGGTATCTCTTGTACAGATGCTTAAGTAAGGACCGGCAAGGAGGGCCGAGAGACAAAACAGACCCTCTTTTGTGTCATGATATGTGAAATCTGGCGCTCCGCGTGATTAGGTACAAGACACGCAAGCCAACGTGGCTTCACTTGGCGCCAAGTCAAATATCAGCCCTGCCGATATTAATTTATGCAGACGAGGCTCGATAGGGCTTCACAAGCACGTCATAGGTCTTCTTCGGACATATCATGAGATAGCAAGACAACCCCCAGTAATTCGATTCATTTAAAGGTCAAGAGACGACCCGGACTTTATATTCGCAGCGGTTGGAAGTAGGCCACTTTGGGCTCATTATATGCAGTGTGCTGACCGAAAATATATATAAACGGTAAAAGAAAGGGAAACCATTATCATCGCTCATACTTGGGCAGATGTTCTGCATCATGCCCGTTGGAGCCCCTAGTCGTTGAGGGTCCAGCTATACTCTCAAAAGGATCATGCGACCCGTATAAGTCTTGTTCACTAAGAATTGGCGCAGAAGGCTCATGGCCATTCGATGATCCTGCGGTACCCGGCGGTGGCGCCGATGGTCCGCTTTCTTCGTAGTCTTCAGGTATCTCTGGCGGCGCACTGGCCTCTGTTAAGAGTCGTCTTCGCTCGAGCTCCTGTTTATCATCCACTGGGTCTGCACGTGCTGCGTCCGTGGATATGTCTGCAAATGAAGGCGCGGATGGTCCCTCGCCAACCTCGACAGCACTGTCTACAGGTGCCAGCGGAGGAGCGCTTGGAGTCACGTCCGCAGGTGCTGAAGGTTGCGAGGGACCGGCAACAGGTTCACTTGCCGGTGCTGATGGCTGACTAGGCAGGAGGCGCTGTTCGGCCAGCCGCACGCGTTCCTTTTCTGTCAGACCACTTTCGTCTGAGAGCTGAGGTGGTGGTACATAATTTGGTGCCGGGGAACCATGATCACGAGGGCTGTACCCAGGTGCCTCGGCCGACTTGCTCGATGAAGCCCAAGTTTGTGGCTGCACCTGTGAAGGATGCAAAGGTCCTTGTTCATTATAGTTACTGCCCTCGCTATAACTGCCCTGCCAGTTATAGGGCATCTCATTCGTCTCTGCAGGATGACCTGCGTCGGAAGGTGGTTGTAATGTGAGCGTCGGCCGCACGGGTGCTTTTGATCGCGTCCTAGTCGTATCAACGTTGCCAACGACTACTTCAAAAGATACTGATATCACTCCTTTCTCCCTGCGCAAATGGTCTGTATCCACGATTGAGCCGTTCCAGTTGCCTGGCTGCCTATCGTAGGATGCTGTTCCTGGCGCCGGGTTCCCAGAGACTGACACGGAGCCCAGCCGATTTGGCTGCTGCGGTGTGCCTTGGGACTGACCTGCAAGCTTTCCGCCCAGATCAACCACCACCTCGACATGGTATCGGAAGCCGATCAGACCTCCGGGCACGCCTTTGATGCTCGGGAAGACGTCCTCGGGTACCCTCACGGATGTGGTGATGTTTGCCGACAGCGTCATTGGATCAATGATGAGTGGTGCCACTGATTGCGAAAGGTCTTTCCTGAAAACACTACAAGACCCTGCTGACGATAATGATAATCCGCCGAGTCCAGTCTTTGACTTGGGATAAAACTCCTCACGCTCTAGCTTTCGAGCATCCTCCTTGGAAATATTTGTGAATAATGATGCCGGAGGCGCATAATCAACTCGCCCTTGTCGATAAAAGGTGACGATGATCCCATGTAAGCTCTTCATCCGGCGATTGTGATCAACTCGTATTCGGACAGGCAGGAGATCGCCTGGCATGCAGCCGCCTTTCAATAGCTCTACATTGGCCGTGATCTCACGATCCTCGGCAATACCTGCAGACACTCTGCTGCCATTCGAGCCCCCGCTACCATCAGCGCCTCTTGCACTATTGCTGTTGTGACTGGCTGCACTTCCAGCACTGATTTCGCTTTGTATATCGCTCTGAATTGGACTCCGGGGAAGATGGTGGTCATCTGGCCGACTCCGGTTCGGGTCGTCGTGGTTCACGGAACTCTCGTTCGAGTTTTCGAGCGCGCGTGTCGAGTCCAGATCTGAGGCGGGTTCGTGCAGATCGGTGGCACTCCGACTCGGCGTTGTGTTTGTTACTGGTGCCCTTTTCCTCCTTTGTCGCTTGTGCATGGCATGCATCGTGACCTTTCTCTCCCTGGGCTGGGGGATCAATCCGACGTCGACCTTTTCCACCAAAGATACCCTCGTCTCAGCAGTGGTGGTCGGAGCGATCGATGTTGGGCGGGTCAATGTCGCGGTTATAATATATGCTATCGTTCCTCGCTCAAACTAATTGTTACCGTGTTAGTTGAAGCCAGAAATCGGACATTGGAGCATGCACGTGTGCGTACATCAATACTGCTGGGCAGGCCTTCGGGTGGGAATAAGAGATCAAACTCAAACTCCCATTTCCGGGCCTCGAGTCGTCCCTCGCCGCACAGAACTTGCTCATCTTGGAAAAGCTGTGCGTGACCATTGCCAAAGTACCGAAAACTATTGCTTCCTCCGCTAGGCAGGATGGCGGCATTGCCGGCATTCATCTGCGCGGCATTCTTGAAGACACGAACATAGCCGTGTAGGCAGACAGTCAAGTGGGTGATGCGGATCGGCTTGGTCAAGGACAGGGTGACGGAGCCCTTGACATGTTCGCCAGCCGAGTACTTTCGATGAGCATCTTTTACCTTGACGTAGAACTCGGCGAGGTTCCGGTTGCGCGTTCGGGAGCGCAGCGGCAGAGACAGAAACTCCAGGAAGGATTTCTTGGTTGGTCCATCTTCGAGAGACAAGTCGGTAGTACGGTCGGATGTACCCATCTATTCTACAGCTAGCAATTGGCGACGACGTGCGCGCCTCGCATGACAAGCAAGGCACAACACGAGCGAATGTGCTCTTTTTTTTTTCTTTTCTTTTTCTTTTCGGGTTATTAGGTCAGGCAGCGATGAATAATAGGGTGCAGCGTCGCGACGGGGCGCGTTCTGATCTCCTAAGGAGGGCCCCTCAAGGCGAGAGGACCCTTGATGGAGCAATCGATTTCCGATACGCGCACCTACGATGGGTAGGTACACACCTCGGCCACTTTTTTGATTCGGACTCGACGCACGCAACTCGACAAAGCGCAAGACAAGAGCGCAGCGTTGGGAGCCCGGCCCCAGCGGTTAGGCAATAGGGTCAGGGCAGCCTAGGTGACGGGCGCGGAGGCCTTATCGCAAACCCGTCTACAGGGCGCCGCAGCGACTGGTGACGACGACGATTAAAAAGGGAAAAAAAAAAACAGCGCCTGGAGTGTTGGATAGAAGTGACTTGAGATGAGGCAAGTCTTGGAAAGTTGCATGTGCGAAGGTTGTGGAGGTCTTGGCGGTCTTGGTATCAACGGGTGCCCAGGAACTAAGAATAAATCTGGCCGCTCGCTTGGTTTGCCGGTGCGAACGGATCGGGGGGAGGGTGAGGGGAAGACACGATTGATTCGAAAGGGTAAGAAAAAATAGAAGAGGGGACTGATGGCTGGACTGCAAGTCTTGTCCGACGCCTTGACTGGGGTTTGAGGTCTCAATCGGGTAGGGGAAATTCGCAAGTTGCTTAGAAACTCATCGGGGGGCGGCTCAGGTCACATCAGAGATAATTAATAATGATAATAATTAAATGAAGCGCAAAGTCAAGAAGGTCCTTTCCTTGGGTCACTGGATTACTACTGGAAAATCAGCATGGGCTGGAACGGATCGGGCTGGGGGTGCGTGGGGAGGGACTGGCGGTAGTGTATTGATTGATTGAACTTGTTGGACTCGAAAGTCTGGATTAATGTCTGGCCCTGAACTAAAAATCTTCTCCTGGAACTCGGCTTTGGCTCAAGTCTAGTGATTGCCTCCAATCTGATCTACCGTCACTTTAGGGGTTGAGGATCTCGCTGTTGTTCATCAGGCTTGCACGCAGCCCAGTAACACGCGCCCAATGTCGCGTGTCGGGAAGCTTCATGCAAAGCAGGTAAACACTTGCAATATGTAACAGTGGATGTAGCACGCAACCTTACCTAGGTATGTAATGTAGCAACGGCGTGTTGTGTTTCCTACCAGGTACACACGCATATTACCTACATTGATGATGATACCTACAACATTACCAGCGGAGAATAAGCGGCCGCTGTCCCCCGTGTGTCGATCACTCTTGGTGTGGGCGATTGAACTTCAGCGTGACTCGCAGACGCACAGGTATATGTAGGTACCAGAGGAAGTACCCGAGCAGGAAGACCGACAACGCCTTTCTGGTGTTGGTCTTCGTCCGACAAGAACCTAATCGGCTCACTCTTGCTTCGAAATCCGCGTTATGCTGTACTGTTGAAGCAATCTGGAAACAGAGTACCTTGGCGCTTGAAACGCGCCTGGCATTTTCGGCGGCCCGAGATGCCCTGCAAAGGTTCCTCCTCTGAGCCTTCTGCAAGTTCGACAGAAAGAGGTAAAGACGCCCACACCTTTCCCATTCTGAGAGACGAATGTCACCACAATGGGGTGCTCCCGGACATGACATGTGGATAGCCTCGCTTGCAGCCTCTCCGAGGACTCCAGTCCGTCTGTCATGCTTGAGTTGAGTTCGGCAGGAAGTGATGCCTTTGTAAGCCCGGCAGTAAGTGGTATATGAATGAGCATCGCGGTGTCATGTTCGATTAGGCGACTCTGCATGTTCTGGTTCTTGCCTGCGTGAGTGATGTGCCAAAGACAGTTCAACTCAAGCTGACTATCTAGTCACCGGTCATAGCGGCAGAGAATACTGGTGTTATGACTATGTCGTTATTGTCCCGAGCATTTGTGACAAAACATGTATACGATGAGTGGAGATTGAGCTGATGTTTGTCGTTGGTGTCGCATTGAGCTGCAACTTCGATGTCGCCACGATTTGTTCACAAGACCAAAATATTGCATCTGCGCCCACATGCAAGTCGCTTTGCAGATTGGGTTTCTTGAGGTAATAAGTATTGTGGCCATGCATTGTTCCTTACCTGCCTACCTACATTGCACGTACGTAGGTAGGATGACTGACGTCCGTCCGAATGTAGTGAGCGGGCTGTCGTCGAGTGCTGCTGCTGTCCGAGGGTTGGTGTAAATAGGTCATACTATGTATTTTAGCGAGTGTCGGCCAGTGCTAACGCCCGGTGTTTTAGCGTTTGCCCACAGTGTAAAGTCGAGGTCCGGGCGTGTCGTAGCGTAATATTTCAAATAGGCATCGTATCGGTGGCTCCCGGAGGTGCAAGTTGCAACCATGCGACTAGACACAACATTGAAAAGTCGAGGAAATCAGACGAGAAGATAAGTTGCAAAAGGGGAGAAAGGCCACGGAAACACGCGGCCGCAAATAGACGTTTTCTTTCTTGAATTTATATGGAACTAAATTGCAGCTTCGTCAGCACTTTAGTCATACAAGGGCTTGGAGACTTTGCCAAGGTGGAAAGAAAGCAACCGGCCTATTGCCAAGCAATGCTGCTGCAGCTTCTCCGCCAAACCTTCCGATGTTTGCTAACGATTTTGCTATAGTTTGCGCTTGCATAAGGGTTCAATGTATAATTTGACCAACTTTGTTTTTCCTTTCTCTATTTTTTACTTATACGAAACACAATAGTGTAGGACGGTGGCGCAAGTCACTTTCCAAAAGGCTGGGGGCTGATTGGGCGAGTTCTGGTTTGGGCACGTTGTCGAGCTCTCCTTTATTCATCTTCTTTTCCCATCCGGATGACAGTGTATCTGTCATCTCTATAGTATATAACACGTAGACACCAAACACCGCTTGCTGATGCGTATGCCCAAAACGACAAGGCCCAAACTCCATGTATGCAATGCAATGATCCTTCCAAGAGATCAAGGTCTAGTCCAACGCTTCGCCGCTCAAAATGCTCTCAAGAATACCTGAACCGACACCTTCTATAGCCTGTTCCATTTCTTTCTCGCCGACAGAGCTCGCAACTCTCTTCTCATCCACTAGGCCAACGCTCATACCGAAACCGCCGCGCTTGCCTCTCTTGCTTGGAGTCTGAGCCGCTGAAAAAGAGCCAGTTTTTCCGTCAACAGCAGTAATCAGCGACATGGTCTCCAAACTACCCATGACTTCTCGAAATTCTGAGCTCGAGAGCGGATGTAACATGGAGTCTTCCGTGCAAAGTTTGCAATATGTATCGTACAAGGTCTTGATTGTGGGTGCTGAGGTTTGTGTTTTGGAAGGCGTACTCAAGACGGACGTTTTTGAGTTCTTGTTGCGCTTTTCAAGCGCAACTAGGGAACACAGGGCTGCCTTTTGTTGTAGATTCAGTGTCTTGAGTCGTTGGTTTGTTCCATTGCTAAAGGCCGCCGCAGTAATCTTATTGAGATGGCCAATACTAACCCGCGGCGCAGTCTCGATGGTGAGACTCTTCAGGGAAGTTGCAAGGGCAGCCGACACGTTCTTATCTGGATTCCCCCGGCCTGGCGACGACAGGTTGTTGTTTTCGCCCAAGACTTTACGTGAAGGTGTAGCCAGCAGAATCTGTTCCTTGACTTCGGCCTCGTGCTTTTGCTTTGTTTCCATTTCAACGAGATCGATGGCCCTGCGACATATCTCGAAAGCCTTTCTCAGATCACCCGTTTGACTAGACACTTTTCTGGAGCATAGCTCGATGGCAGCAGGGTGGATAAATGGCAGCGGTGCTCCTTCAGGCACGAGGCTCTTGAGGCGAGTCGTAATGATAGCCTTGATCTGAATAGCCGAGTACGGCAAAAACGGCAAGAGCTCTGGCTTGAGGTTGCGCGACTTTAGTCGCGGTAGAAACCGATCAGTCAGATCAAGTGCATTGGCAATTCCGACCAATACGAGACGAGACGTTTTTTGAAGTGACCATTCAAAAACGCTGTACAGACTCTCTAGATCGAGAGTAAGAATGTGATCAATCTCGTCCAAAACGACCAGGTAGACGTCAGAGGTCTTCTTTTTCGGCAGAAATAGCTTCTGCAGGCTCGAGGCAGCATCTGCTTCGGCGATCTCGCCATCTTTGCATAGCTGGTCAATTAATGTGGCGTAAAGGTCTTTGGACGACTTGATGCTCATGCAGTTGATGTAGGCTTTCTTGACAGTGGACGCCTTTGCAGCTTCCTCGGTCATCTCATTGACCATGGCACTTTTGCCCGTTCCTGGCGGTCCACTAACGTACAGACCCCCACTTGAGTGCACCTCGGAGCAACGACCAAGAAATTCTCTGAGCTGCTTCCGTTCATCATCTCGTCCGATCAACTGACCAGGATCTGCGCTGCGCGAGAAGAGTTGCCGGGCTTTGTGATAGACAGTCTGTACTGCAGTCGGAGTCAGGGGTGTTTGGGGAGTGGATCGCTTCGAAACCTTGCCAACAAAAGTGACCCGGTGTCTGGGTGTGACTGGCACTTTGGCAAGTGCATCTCTGAATCGTGGGGTGCTTGGTGTAATTGGCTTGAAGTTTGCTTTCGTCGGACTCGACGAGGAGTCGCGGTGCGCAGTGGATTGGTTGCTATTGCCCAGAGTGCTTCTCTTCCTCCTTAACCGCGGGCCTAGATCCGCATCATCGTCCTCGTCGGAAGCAGGTGTAGCAGAGAGTGACTCCTCGGTCAATTCTGCGGTGGAAGATTCTCGAGTGCGATCAACGGCAATCGTAACTGACTTTGGGTCCTCATTCTCGTCATTGATGCGGAGGCTGCGAGTCTGTCGCTTCACTTGCTTCAATCCCAAATCGGGCTCTGCGCCGTCACCGACGGTCAGTTGTAGTTTCCCCTTGGCAATCGATTGGACTTACCAAAGATTGTAGAGCTTCTTGTTCTCTTTCCAAGAGTAGTACTTCTTGCCATGATTGCCGTCCTTGCTCGTGGCTGCGAAACAATCGAGTTCATGAGAAGGTGAAGGCAGTGACAATTGAACCATAGATGAAGGCGCTTAGCTCAAGTAGCTGGCCAGCAGATATTAAATGATAGGACGTGGGGCTTTCCCGTTCTTCGACGCGTTGGAGTCGCGTAACCGCGTAAACCCGCCGCCAAGGCACTTTAACTAGCGCGACATTTTGGGGGCGCGGCCTTGAGTGATGCACGCGCCATAATATACGTACCGATTCCCTTCCCTATAGTATGCCCTATAATATCATACAATCGGGTACTACGTATCTTTCTTTCACGCCTTAAATCTAAAGTCTAATAATGGCTTTTTATGTCCATATCTAGAGAATGCATCCACGGTGAGCCAGTCGAAAGCTTGCGGATTTTGAAATGCTTTTCCGAGGCACGCTTCCATTTTCACGGTGCAAAGAAGCCGCTCAGATCAAATGGCCCGATTCCAAGGGTGAATGGATTGGCAGTGGCCAATTTGAAAAGAATCAGATATGATCCTTTGGCTCTCAATCTAGTGACATGAATCCATCCACTCCTCTTGAAATGTCGACAAGCCAGTATCACGTTTTGGATCAGCCATTTCGTAGCTCCCCACGATACACTCTGACTAGCGCAGCTTTTTAGTGCGGGTTCTTGGAAGCGCACGTGCCCTGTTTCCCCTCCCCTTTCCCTTTCCGGCCAAGCTACCGAATAGGATTCAGTTGTATTGGAACCGGCCGATCTCCGTTCATCTTTCCGGCCGGCGGTGGGAAACGTAGCGACTCGCCACTACTGACCGTTGCTAATCAATCAGAGTCAGCTCTTTTTTTTTTTTTTTCTCTCGCACCCCCCGTATCGTGAAATATGCGACTGGAACAATTCTGATTCGAGCTCCTCTCTTGCTGTCACTATGCTCACCATAGGTCACACGGCGATTGGCATCTCATCGGCCAAGTTTGGAGCAGGAAAGGCCTTATCAGGATGACGGACGGGGTTTGGGAGGCGTACAACGCCCGCATCGAGGAACTTCGCGAAAGGGAATATCCCATGCTGAAAGGTTCGGCTGCCAAACGACTCACTCCTCCCCATCAATGCCCCATTTATTGATGATTGCTGTGAAGATGAAATCTATCTCGACCATGCCGGTACTACGCTGTACGCAAAGTCTCTTATCGAGAAGTTCTCGGCGGACATGGTATCGAACCTCTACGGCAATCCGCATTCTGGCTCCGCCTCTTCACAGGCATCGACGTCGCGCATCGACGACGTGCGGTTGAGGTTGTTGCAGTTCTTTAATGCCGACCCGGCCGAATTCGATTTGGTCTTTGTGGCAAATGCTACGGCCGGGATCAAGCTCGTCGTAGAGGCTCTTCGGGCTGGACCCGATGGTTTTACGTACGTGTACCACCAGTCATCCCACACAAGTCTCGTGGGCGTCCGAGAAGAGACTAGAACCAGTCTTTGCTTTGACGATGTGGCTGTAGAGAACTGGATTGCAGGCACACATGTGCCAGATGAGCTGAAGGGCTCCACGTCGCCTATCCTCTTTGCCTACCCTGCTCAATCCAACATGGACGGCTCGCGGATGCCCTTGGACTGGTCAAGGAGACTGCGCAAGAGAGGCTGCGAATGTAAAAGTGCCAGGTATACCTTACTGGACGCTGCGGCCTATGTTGCAACGTCACAGCTTGACCTGAGTGATTCTGACTGCGCACCTGACTTCACCGTTTTGAGTCTATACAAGATATTCGGATTCCCCGATCTTGGCGCTCTGATCGTTCGTCGCCAGGCAGTACCGGTATTTCGGCATAGGAAATACTTTGGTGGCGGCACTGTTGACATGGTTGTTTGTCGAAAGGAAAAGTGGCACGCCTCGAAAGTCAGCAGTTTGCATGAGGCGCTTGAAGATGGCACATTGCCTACTCACAGTATCATTGCGTTAGATGCCGCTCTCGAAACCCATCAAAGGCTGTTTGGCAAGATGGAGAGCATAGCTCTGCACACATCAGTACTAGCACATCGGCTACATAATCAACTGGCTGCCCTGAGACATGGCAATGGTGCTCCTGTTTGTGCTATCTACTCACCCAGTTCGAAAGACGGAAGAAAACTTCCAGGTACAGGACCCGTCGTGGCCTTCAACTTACGCAACAGCTATGGTGCATGGATAAGCCTTGCCGAGTTCGAAAAGCTTGCTACCTTGAAGAAATTCCATATCCGCACTGGTGGATTGTGTAATCCAGGCGGAATTTCGACTGCATTGGGGCTCGAGCCTTGGGAAATGAAGCGAAACTTCTCCTCAGGCTTTCGCTGCGGCAATGAAAACGACATTATCTGCGGAAAACCCACCGGTATCGTTCGAGTAAGCCTTGGAGCAATGAGCACTGTCGCAGACGTCGACAAGTTTGTCTTGTTCATCAGTGAATTCTACCTTGATCAGCATGTTAGCGAGTTACCCGTTTCCAGCCGGGCTCTCGAGAGTGGAAGCGAATACAATCTTCAGGTCAGAGATATCATGGTGTATCCCATCAAAAGCTGCGCTGGATTTCGCGTTCCCAGAGGGGTATTATGGGATATGCGGCCAGAAGGACTTGCCTGGGATAGAGAATGGTGTCTTGTACATCGAGGTACTGGGCGAGCATTGAGTCAAAAACAACATCCGCGCATGGCTTTGCTGCAACCATTGCTTGATTTTGACAAGGGCGTGCTGCAGGTATCCTACCGTGGGCTCCTCCCTGATGGCAAGCCTCCATCAAGTATCGCTATACCCTTGTCAGCAGATCCATCTGTTTTCGAGTCCCCGCAAGTCACGGAGCATCTTCCCTCGCGTGTGTGCGGAGAGGCAATTACGGCACAGAAGTACGGCTGCCCCGATATCAATGGCTTCTTTTCTTCAATCCTCGGTGTCTCATGTGCCCTGGCCAGATTCCCTCCAGGCGGCCAAGGCAAGAGCATGCGCCACGCCAAAGCACACCTGCAAAAGCACCAGAATGTATCTTCCAAGTCGTCTCGGTATCCACTTCCAAGTGGCATGCCGGGTGTAACGACACCCCCAGACTCGGACACGGAGACGGAGCAGCGCCGTATTCTTCTTTCAAACGAAAGTCCGATCCTGGCAATCAATCTTTCCAGCCTCGCGGTCCTGAATCGAGAGGTCATGGCCCGCGGCGGCAAACCCGTATCCGCCGACGTGTTTCGTGCCAATATTGTCATTGGCCCGCCTGTGGATGATTCCAGACAACCCTCAGCCGAGGACGAGACTCTCGCCTACTCGGAGGATCATTGGTCGACGCTGCGAATCGGCCAGCAGGACTTTCAAATGCTGGGCTCGTGTCGGAGGTGTCACATGGTCTGTATAGATCAGGACACGGCAATCAAGAGCGAGGAGCCCTTTGTCACTCTGACCAAAACGCGCAGGTTCGATGGCAAGGTCTTTTTTGGTACACATATGTGTCATATACCTGCGACGACAGAGGCCAGTACAGTTGAGGCGCAGCGTCCTACTATACAGATTGGAGACACAGTGATGATTGACGTCTAGACATTCAGAATGGGGGCTCGAGCCCCTTTATTTTGCATAGCGCTGCACGTTGCGGAGTTCGAGGTAGTGTTTAAAATTGACATTTTACTTGATTTTTTACACATAAACTACATCTGTATATACGTGACTTGTATTGTCACATTTGTCAGACATGTGCTTGAAAGTCACGCAAATGGTATGACTTTCTACTCGACCGGAAGTGCCTGCAAGCAATGTGACATCTTTGTTTTCTGATATTGTAGTATCGGCAGCCACTAGAGGCTCTGAAGAGCTTTATAGTCCAGTATATGTTCGTGCTCGATTTGAGCCATCATGAGATCGTACTAGTGGTCCTCTGAGGCTCTGGGTCTTGGGCCTTGTTCGGCTATTTGGCATCATAGACGCGATGAGATGCGTTCCAAGTCGCAACCTGCGCTGAGATGCGAAGCCGTCCCTGGGTATGGTGGAATGAGTCGTTCAATAAGCTTTGTTTCTCAATCCATAGGTAAACCATTGGCTGTATCTAGTTGCGTAAAGTCGGGCTGCGCATCGCTTCTTGGTGGGCTCTGTAGTTGTGACATGAGTTCTTGGGCTGCAAGCTGTGCCTCAGCAGTCTGCCAGGTCGCCTCAGTGGCTTCGGTAATTGCGTCCATAGGCAAATGTGACATATTTTGCATGGCGTTGGTGATTTGCGTCAAAATCTCAATATGGGATATGAAGCCCCCATTGGTACCATTGGACTGTTGCAGCAATGACATGCCGTTGGACCAATCGGCACCCCAGATTTCTGGCGGTATAACATCTCCGTCGTAGACTGCCATGCGTACTGGCCACTGCAGGCGTGACCACCATTCCTGATCATCAGGATCGAATAGCGAAAGGATACCCATGACTTCGCGGCGCGCTATACCTTTGAGCCACCATATGCTGTCCAAACTCTTTAAAAGGCCAAAGAAGGAAGCCAGGATGGCAAGAGCCCTAGGTCGACGTTCTTGCAACACTTCCATGTAGCGCCGTGATACGGTAGCCAGGAACACTATTGGTGCTCCCGTGAGGGGGATTTTGTGCGACCAATTCAGAACTGCAACGGCATGTTGATATCCCTGCCGTGTTTTATTCTGTACCTCTGGATCGGGGTCCATCTTTGTGAGCTCCTCTTCCATCCCGTCCAGGAGGCTGCCAAAGAATGTGGCGCCTCCAGAGTTCATGTTCAAGTCGAGAGCGGGCTGAGCCTGAATTATGGGTACGACGATGCCGCTATTCCGCAACCATTGCCAACTTGTAGCTACGATCGTCTTGACTCCCTGGAAGGAATGAAACCACGATATGGGCAGGGTGTATCCCCCACTTCGATCCTTTGTATCGCCACCGTCTTCACGCATAAATATCCGGGAGGCCGTCGACTGGAAGGCAATTAGAGTGGCAGTCAGGAATAGAGCCTCAGCATTGGCGGCATTGATTCCCTTGCTAAGATGCTCGCTGTATTCCGACAAGGAGGAGGCCATATAGGCGTGACTAGCCCGCACGAGAGCTTGATCCTGGGGCTGAGTTGAGCGCAGGTGTAGGGCGGACACTGCGAGAATGGCATCGGCAAGGAAGTTTGCGCCGCCAAAGGCAAGACCAGGTACGGTATCTCTAAAGATGGCCTCGGTCATGGGGTCGGCGATGATCAGGGTCTTGCAGGTGATGGTTGTATAGTGGTGCAGGAGTCTGAGTTCCATCATTCTATTGTTCTTGGTCGCATTGCTTAGATTTGGCGGATCGACATGACGATATAGTTTCAAGGGCGCCTCTGCTGCCGCCGCCATTGTCTGTGCTGGTATGACAGGCGTGGGAGGCGCTCTGTTGACGGCGGGACTGCCACAGAAGCTGGGAGAGGTTGCGCTCGTGGTAGCAGCAGGAGTATCTGGGATGGCGAGATGCTCTGCCAGCTCTGGATGCTCAAAGTCACAGGCGACGCCATGCTTGACGCAGTTCCCGCATCTTGGGTGAACTTCGTCGCACTTTGTTGAAAGAGGGCGTGAAGTTAGTGAAGGGTATTCTTTCTCTCGTATTGTGCGTGGTGGTCAGAACCCATCAGTCGGTCGGTCGGTCGCACACACGCAGTTTGTAGGCGCGCCAATGAACCGTGACGATCTAGGTAGTAGTAGCCAACTTACCTTGATCTTTCTCGACTTGCATCTCCGGCAGCCTGCCCGGGACTTTTTGTGGGATCTTCGCGGAGGCATTGCTCTATGCAGTTCCTGCTAGGTTACCGTTTCGAGCGCGAATGCGCGATTGGAGACATGATCGTACGATCGAGTAGGGCGGGGTGGTTATTTTTGACCGGGTCCTGCTTGAAATGTTGAATCTCAATTCGAGGAAGATAAGTCGTCGGTTCAGTTGTTGGGGGTTTTTTTCGATTGATGTCGGTGGTGGAAGAGGATTGATGTATAGTTAAGTATTTAATGCAGGAGCAAAGCAGAGGGCTTCGAATTCAATTTACTTAAAAGGTAATCTAGGTATGTAATCCAGGGACGGACGGCACAGACGGGAGAGGACAGGCCCTCTTTCCTGCCGCTAAAGAGGGCCCGTGGGCGTCACGGACACTGAAAATGGGCTGGACTGGGCTGAGTTGATCGGCAAGTCGGGCGGTACTTTAGTGTAAAGCGCAGGCCTGTACGCAGTAGACCAGAGACCTAGTAGTGTGTTTTTTTACAGCGTACCTGGGTCGTCAAGGAGAAAAAAAAAGAACTATCCTTGCCCCTGATCACAGGCAGATAGATTGACAGGCTCCGCCACACAAGAAACTGGAGCAAGGACTGACTGTGCAAACTATACTCCTGTATACCTAATCTGATCCAGAATCATCAGAACTGCGGAATGGATCCGAGAAGCCTAGGCATCCACCGAAATCTCAACGTCAGTTTGCAAAACAACAAGACATGATTTGACATGTGCAAATGCGAAGGCGAAAACGAACGAACTGTGATTGGTGCCAAGAAATGCTATGCTGCATATCGTCCAAACGCACCAAGCAGATGTTGTGTAGCATACATAACTCCTCACATCATTGCCGTTTCGGGGCAACCTGCAATCTGTAGCGACGCTTCCACTGAAACCAGTCAGACGGGTCCGGGGTCCTTGATTATTATTACACCCCTTCTAGGATGTTGGAAGATTTGAGATCAACACCTCCAGACGTATAGAATATACCTAACAATCTAGGTGGTGGTTGAATTTCTCAACAATTTGTGCATTCTCAGTATTATAGCGTGCAATCTGATTTGTGCCAAGATGGGCGTGTATACTCACATAATCGGTTGCCCATGTCGGACATGTCTCTCCTGAACCGACTTCAAAAGATGACATGATGTACGGGATACCACAATCGGAAGTCTTGTTCGTGTAACAATGCCAGATATGGTTACTCTTTTGAGCTCATCATTCTATAGTCTATTGCCACTCGATTGATCTCCATTTAACTCCGATCATCTCAAACTGTCACTCTCCAGCCAAATCACCAACTAGAACGCCACTGGCAGTTATATCCCATACTCTATCTGCCAATCTAAGACCTAGGCTTCCCCCCAGAGAAACTTCTGAGGTTAATTAGTCAGACAGCTGCTGTTTGTCGCTATCTGCAATAAAGTTGGCAACCAAGACACCTGAATCGTACACCTTAATCTTGGGTCCCTGCGATTCTTCGCATCTTGAAGCCCGCCGGGTTCAGTCTCCAACGACCCGTAGTTCGGCTTTGCCTCTCTGCATACTTTTGCTCAATCACTTCCAGACTCTGTCCTTGGGTCTCTTGCATCAGAAACATGCAAATGACTGTTGTAAAGAGCGAGCAAAAGGCGAAAAAGTAATACACGCCGTAAGACGAAGAGGCTATGAAAACCGGTGTAGTTAGGGCTACAATGTAATTTGCCAACTGATTTCCCCATCTTGTTAGTTTTGTTTCGCAGAGATTTATACATGAATTGGGAATATATCATCTGACGATGGATGATTTATTAAATTCAGAGGGGAGGAAAAAGGAGACAGAAAGAAGACGAAGAAGCTTACCCAGTTGCTTCCCTGCCCCAAGCTAGCAGCACTACTCCTGGTCTTCCTCGGCAGGCTCTCAATCATGTAGGACCGTATGCCGATGGCCCAGGTAGTACTGAAGACAACGGCAAATAGATAAATGCTGACAATGACGACCCAGCGGCCGGCACCACCGTCTGCGTGCACCTCGCCCGCGGCGTACAGCGAGCCCATGAGCAGCATGACGGCAAAGATGAGACTGCCGCCGACGAGCGTCGACGTCTTGCGGCCCCACCGGTCGGCCATGAGCGTCGCCGGAAAGGTGACGGCCATGATGAGCAGGGCCGAGACGCCCGACGCGAGGAAGCTGGCCCGCGACGAGGAGATGCCGGCCTGCTGGAGAAGGCTGGGTGCATAGTATAGGACGCCGTCAATGCCGCTGAATTGTTGCATCGCCACTGTATATCAGTATTCAAAGTCAGTAATCGTCTTTCAAGGTGAAGAAGGATATTGGTTTCATATTTGGTCATATCCTTATTTCACGAACCACCACCTGGAGCCAACATGCAAGACAGGTTGGAGTTTTCATGAATCCCATAAGACCACATTATACTCACTTAAGAAACAGCCAAAGATGGTGCGGCCACGGAACGGCGAAGAAAATGCCTCGCGGAATTCGGACACTGTCGTCTTGATATTCTCCCAAAACGTAGCATCAGGCGAGTGCTCAAGCCCGCTGGCCGAGAGGGCCATGAGCTGCTGCTGCTCGGCATCATCGAGGCCAAGCTGCGCAATAATGGTGCGAGCCTCGTCGGGACGTCCCTTGGCCTGGAGCCAGCGCGGGCTCGGCGGCACCAGGGAGCACAGTGCCGCATTGGCAAAGGCGAGGAACGCCTGAATGGCAATGGGGAGGCGCCAACTGATGGAGCCGGGCAGGGTGGCGGTGCCGTACGAGATGAAGAAGCCCATGACCAGGCCCAGGGTGATGCAGAGCTGCGGGACGGCCGAGATGAAGCCGCGCTTCCGGGCCGGGGAGATTTCGCAGACGTGCACGTAGACGGTCGAGAGAAAGATGCCCTCGCCGGCGCCCTTGACCAGCCGGCCCACGATGAACATGGCGAGGCGGGGCGAGGCGGTCTCGAGCGCGGCACCGATCCCAAAGACGGTCGAGCCAATGGCGATCATGCGGGTTCTACCATAACGGTCGGCCAGGATGCCGGCGACGAGGGCAGCAAGAGCCCCGGGCAAAAGGATGGATGATACGATAACACCATGCAACGTCGAGGAAAATTCTCCAAATGTGGCTATGAATGAATCCATAGTTGTGACTGGGCCAATAGTACCAGTATCCATTCTGTGTTTTTGTTAGTCGAGGTTCAAGAACTCGATAACGAGTAATTCAGACTTGCCCAAAGACCAATGCATTGAAAGATGTGATAATAGAGGCGCTCAGCCAAAGAGGCACGCCTTTTACATGTTGAAGCACCATCATATATATCGAGTTGTGGCTAGAAGAGACACACACACTCTGTGCAAACTAAAATATTGGGCAACTTCAGATCAGCTAATTTGAAGAACAAGAAAAAGATTCTCACGATGATTGACCAGAAGGGGTTTTAAACCAAACATCGTGAACACGGACCGCCTGGGTCGTCCTATCTCGGGCTATTCTCTGCAAGCCATACAAGCCTATCGTCCTATGATTTTGGCCACGCCCTATGAAACTTTTTTTTAAGGTTCTGATAACAAAAAAGGCGTGGAGCTGACCAGTGACCAATTCCGTGTCCAATTGCTGCGGATTCGGACTTGTTATTATTGGCCAGCGCTCGGCATACCCAATGGAGTTAAGAATGAGTGGCCTGAAGAGGAAAGTGTTCCCCGGGTGTGGGTATTATAGACAGCCAGTACCTGTAGAGGTAAGGGTTGGTCATAACCTTACTCATGAGACTAGAATGAATCCAGCAACTCCTCCAGCACCGATGTGCGGATGGCCATGGGTCTGTGTTTTGCTAATAGCATACTAACAGTATACGATATACGCACGAACAAATTTGTTTAAAATCTCGAAAATTCTGTGGACGACAAATGAGATGGTGCTCTAGTTCAAGTCATGCTTGTCTCGATTAGGAAATTCCGATGTCAACCTACAGTATACAAGCGAGTGAGGAGGTCTATAACTATCCCTGCTAGTTACCGCGCAGAGTATAATGACAAATCAATCTGTTCCATATGGCTCTTGATACAATGAGCTGGTGGACTTGTAACAATGCCCGCATTATGTCCGTGTCTCGTTTCACTTTGTACATATAGGCTTGACATGGTAGTAAGCAGAATAAAAACTTAGTTTGCTCCAGTGAGATTATCGGCCAGGCTCGATCAAAGTTCTATGGTTGTTTTCTTGAAGCTAAGACGCCTGATTATACTATCGTCCAGGCGAAGGCTCCTCACGTCAGCTCATATGATGTGTTGCTGAAAATTATTTTGAAGCAGTATAATTCTCTTGTGCGTTGCTTCCAATTTGCTGCAATATGTTAACTCTGCGGAATAAAATGCATGGGATCATCACAGTGGTAGTAGATGCGATGCTGGAGAAAAATCAACATGGAGGGAAAAGGAAAGAGAAAAGGGGGCATTTTCGAAGCGTGCAATGTATCGTAAATAAACGGTTCATTTCCAAGTCTGGCTCAAGGTGTCCGCATAACTTCTTGCATAGACCGGCATAGAGTCCGGCCTACCCCGCATCTGAAGTCGCCGGCACTACACGTGATCGTCCCGGAACTGGGCCCGGTCTTCGGTAAACCAACTCCAATTTGATTCCTCCTACTCTTTTCCCGTGAAGAGAGGTCGGGAGAGACTTTTGCCGTTTTCTTGTCGTATATATTTGTTACATTCCAATGTTGACTCGCACTGCGTTTCCTGTCATTAGAAGCACCATCCCAACGTCACGCCTGCCATTCTTAAACCCACGAACATCTATATTGCCCCGCGAGTATCTCCGGAACCAATCCACGATGTTGCAGGGCTGTACTTTTAAGAATGCACTCTTGAAGGGTGAGGGTTCCTCCATGGGACTGTGGCAGACCCTTCCGGGAGCCAATATCTCTAGAATACTTGCGAGATCTGGCGTTGATTGGGTCATGGTGGACATGGAGCACGGAAATATCGATGGTCTGTACCGGCCTTGCCATTCTTACAGTCATTTTCTTCACAACAGAAATGAAAAATTAAAACCTCAAAATCACTGTTATATACGTACTGATTCTTTTAGACGCTGCTATGCACGAGGCCGTTCCGGCTATCGCCAGTTGTGGTGTTAGCCCTCTCGTAAGACTGCCGGACATGCAAGGTTGGATGATCAAACGTATGACTTGATGAATCCCCAGGAAATTATACATGAACTGACAATATTCGGACAGGAGCCCTTGATGCTGGCGCACACGGAGTATGTCATGGGCAAGCTTTTCGGATACGCATTGACTGACACTGGCTCAGATCCTTATTCCACTCCTTCGCACCCCTGAAGAAGCCAAGAAGATTGTCGCGGCGGCCAAATTCCCACCTCAAGGACAAAGAGGTTTGGGATCACCTTTCGCAATGGAACGATTCAATCCCATTCCAACCATGACCGAGTATCTGCAACATGCCAACGAATCATTGTTGACAATGGTCCAGATTGAAACTCAGGAGGCTCTCGACTCAGTTGACGAGATTGCTGCCGTCCCAGGTGTCGATCTATTATTTGTCGGGCCGTTTGACTTGGGCAACAACATTGGCCACCCTATCCTCGACGGAGTTGTGAAGCCCGAGTTGGAGCAAGCAATCGAACGGATTCTAACGGCAGCTCACAAAGCTGGCAAGAAGGCGGCATTTTTCGCCTCGAATGCTGCCCAAGCAAAGCAGTATGCGGATAAGGGATTTGATATGATCAGTGCCGCCCTAGACGCCACTATCCTGCAGTCTTCGGTCGCTCTATCGCTGGCTGAGGCACGTGGGCAGGAAAAGCCAAACACGGGCGGCAAGTATTAGGCCTGGAGATGCCGTGCTTCGTGGGACGTTTGTGCCTGGAGTTTATCTGAAAGAAATATAACGTCCTATCACCAATCTGGGGCCCATCCAATTCCCGTATGTGATTAGGCGCCATGAACCAGACGCAATGAGTAGCTAGGCTTTGCATGTGTAAACAGGCTTGGGCTCTATAACTTCTCGACTTGATCCATCTTTGCTTCCACTTCTTCGACTGTGAACCTGTGCATGAGTTTGACAGCCTTAGAAGCCAGCTGGTGCTGTTCCTCAGGAGCAGATGCTTTATTGATGTGTATCTACTTTGATATCAGTTGATGGATGTTCATGAACTGTGAGTGAGTCCATTTAGGGGTTCATATATGCCACATACCACGGGCACGTCAAACTCGTACAGATCACGCCAACGCGGGATTTGCTGCGACTTGATGATATCGATCTCCTTGTACTCAAAAGGGCGACGATCCCATACATCTGAGAGCACTGACTTTGCTTGGGTGCAGAGACCGCAGGTTTCTCGCGTGAAGAGGGTAATTCTACAGGCGTGCTGTAGCAGTCTGTTGGTGATGCGCATTTTGTTGTAGAAAGACAGATAGACAGCCAGTGCCCAAAACAGCTTACAGCGTCAAGCAAGACGTTTAGCCAGCCAATGTCGTCAAGACAAGCAATTGACAAGATTCGTCCTTTGAAAAGCGCCTTGGTATCGTATGATGTTTTTTGACCCTAGCAACTTGACACCCCGGAGAATAAAAAAAAAGACCGCCCTACCCATCCAAGGTGGTAGCCGCTTGTTCCTTGCATGGGGGAGACGGAAGCTCTTGGAGAAGTTCTAGCGTCACATTTCCGGCCCCCAAAATCAACTGAGTCCCCTCCCCTCCCCCAGTCACAGCGGACCAGCAGCCCAGGCAAGTTGAATCGAAACCCCGCCATTGACACAGAGCTCCATTCAGCTCTTCCTCATTCTGCCCAGCAAATCGAGTCCCCCCAACCTACCTACCTGCCAGCTACCCACCAATCCTTTCTCTCATTGCTGCAGTATCACCAGGTCTGCCAGCGTCCAATTGCTTCTGTAAGCTCCGAGCAAGGCAGGCGGTGTGAATTTTCCACTCCCCTCCGTCGACCGAAGCTCCTAGAATCACTGGATTGTCTACATTCACACTCTCCTGTGGACGAGTCCCGTGTCTACAAAGCAGCAAACATATAAAGTGCAACCACTCAGCTATCAGGACTCTGCACAGAAAAGAAAACAATCATTGTCAAGCTCTGATATTTATCCAACATGGCCCAAAAGTGCGTTCACAAAGGCTGTGGCAAGACCTACACGGACCCGGACGAGGTCTGCATATACCATCCAGGCCCGCCAGTCTTTCACGAGGGGCAGAAAGGTGAGTTCAAGTTATACAGCTGCGGGACTTGTATAATCAGGCCCTCAAGGTGCCCTATCTAGCAGACCCATCAACAACCATTCCGCATCAGTAGTCTGGTACTGTTTAGTGTACACTGTATACTGGGCAATGATACTAAGAAGGCTTCGTAATAGGATGGAAATGCTGCAAACCGCGAGTCTTGACCTTTGATGAGTTCCTTGCCATCCCGCCCTGCACTGAGGGCAAACACAGCACCACCGACCTGCCTCCTGATATCGAAAAGAAGACTGGAGATGCTGCCCCTGCCGAAGCCACATCGCTGTCGGCAAAGCTAGCAGAGATCCCGACTGATGTGCCTACTCGAGCTCCCCTGGCTCCTCAGCCTGCACCTACTGCACCACCACCTCCTCCCGAGTCCGAGGACGATGAGCCATCTCTCGAGATTCCGGATGGCAAGACATGCAGGCGGAAGGGGTGTAACGCCACTTACAAAAAGGGCCAGGCCCGATCGGACCAAGAGAACTGTGTTCACCACCCCGGAGCACCCATCTTCCACGAGGGTAGCAAGGGTTATACCTGCTGCAAGCGGCGCGTGCTCGAGTTTGATGAGTTCATGAGGATCGAGGGCTGCAAGACATCGCCAAGACACCTGTTTGTAGGCTCGGGCGAGGACAAGAAGAAGCAGGGCGGCACAAACACAGAGGAGCTCCTCGAGACGGTCCGCAACGACTTTTACCAGACACCCAGCACGGTGATAGCGTCCTTCTTCCTCAAGAAGATTGACAGTCCCAAGGCGACGATCAAGTTTGAGACGCAGACCCTCGTCTTGGACCTACCCACCACTGACGCAACGCCCAAGCGATACAAGGCCGACGTCCCACTCTACGGCAAGATCGACACGGAAAAGAGCACCTTCAAGATCTTTGGCACCAAGCTGGAAGTCAATCTCTACAAGGCCGATGGAGCCAGCTGGCCCGTACTACGCAGCGATGACCGTTTGACGGGTGAAATCCTGCAAGTCGGCAGGGCTGGTAAGGTGTAAATGGTTTCTGGCCCGTCTAGATCTATTCCCCTCCAAAAAGCGTGGCGCAAAACTATAATCTGATGTAACTCGAATAATTTCGAAAGCAAGTTACCCGACTATATATCTGTTGCAGGCCTGTAAACTTTGCAAGGGGCTTGCTTCAGAGGATCAAGAACTTGCCAGTGTTCATTGGTTCTTACAAGGCCCCAAGTCATTCAACACCTTATCAGCGGGAGCAGCCCTCGTTGAGCCGTCTTGGTATGCTTGATTCACGAGTCAAGGTGAAAGAAGCTCAGGGAAACTCAAATACACTTTTTGGCTTGGGTACATGTCAATAGACGTGAAAAGTACGGCTTGGTAGGGCTTGGTAGGGCTTGGCCTCGAAGATGATCGGCAATTGCCAAAGCCTCCCCCCCTTGGCTCTCGCTCCTGGGCATCAAGGTGAACAAGAAGTAAAGAAATAAAAACAATACGGTAGAATTTATTGGTTGCTCAAGGCCAAGAAGAATTTCTTGGGTATAGGCCCGGTGCTGAAGTGCAGTGCTACCTTGAGCGGCGTACAACAGTCTGCGCCGCCATAGATTAAAAAAAAAAAAAAAGACGACATGAACCAGTAGTATCTAAATAGGCATCTGATGCATCGTCGTGGTCGGTGAAACAAGGCGAAGCTCTGACAAATGTAACCAGACTTACACACAAGACTGGCCGGGGCTATCGGTCTAGATAAGCTCCCTTCCTGTGGATCGCATATGACCTTTTGATCGTTGCTCAATAAGACGATCACGCTGACAAGTTCGTGATGGACCATCTTGCGTATTTCTTGTCCCTTCGTCACCGATATCCCCCCTTCTGACATGGATACCGCCAAGATGTCATGTCTGACCGCGACAAGAGATCTAGCTTCTCGGGGCCAAGACGGGAAGAGCGAAAGATGCTTTTGCCTTCCTATTCTTCTTCTTATTTGTTGTTTAATTGTTCTTTCATATTCCTCCCCCTTCCGCCTCTTAGGGGGGTCCCCCCCGCCCCCCCTTGTGGTTTATATCATCACTCCCAACAATGGCGCCGCTTGGCAAATGCTGGGCAGTGGTCTTGGCAACACAGGAAGAGGAGATTGAGTGAGGTTCATCTCTTTTCCCGCCACTTTTCATCAAATGAGGGACAGAGAAAACAAAAAGAAACAGAGCGAGAGACGAGGAGTAAAAAGATTCCCACTTGCTGACCAACGAATGTTATCATTATCCACAATTTCTTGTTGTATCCATTGTTTCCCCCGCGGGAGGCCGCCTTACATTTTAGCATAATAAAGAAGACCCACGATATTCGAACGCGGGGGGGAAAGGAAGAGGAATAGGGTAGTACATAGTAGGTAGGCCAAGGCTACGGAATACAGCCAAGGCCGACCGCGCCGTTGACTTGGGAAACTTTAGTTTCTTACCCAAGTCTACCTATCAATGTACCTTTTTTTTTTTTTTTTTTTTTTTTTTGGTTTACCCGGGTCGTCCGTTACCATTGCTCTCTCTCACTCTCTCTCGTTATTTTTTTTTCCAACTAGGAAGTCCCCCTTTCATACCAAGAGAAAGGAAGAAAGGACCAAGCTTTTCAAAAGTACCAAACATGAAATCTCTTCCTTTTTTTGTTTCGTTAGACGTCAGGTACCCAGTTTGAGGTTTTGTTACTTGTTTGAGTGTTGTGACTCTGGTGTGTAAGAGCGCAAGAGAAAGAGACAGAGATAGAAAAAAGGACATGGAGATAGTATAGTAACCCCGGTATCAACGAAACGTACTATCAACCCAGGTCCTACAAAAGCATATAGTAAGCAACACCAGCTGAACAGTCTGCGGCACCCGATCCGTTGTACAAAAGTGATTTCCTCGTAGTAAACCCTGGTCCCCCCGGGGGGTGGAGGTTTCGTCAGAAACCCATCTGCCGAAGAAAGAAAAAAAAAAAAAAGTGAGATTTTGGCCAAGAGACGTCTTGGAAAAAGTGTCTTTGAATGGATAATCTAGAATTTTGATTATTCTATCGTATAGGTAGGCATTTCACCTTCATTCCCATTCGGCTGATATACCCTTGCCCGCATGGACTTGGGGCCTTGTCCTCGTCTCGTGGCTTGCCAATTCGGTGATATCCCTGAGGTAGCTCCGGCAGAAAAAGACCGACCGGCTTGGTAATAGGTACGGGCAGCAGGGCAGACAGACAGGGGGGAGGGCAAGTCGGGACGGACAGGCATTCCTGTCGGCGAACCCAAACACCCCCCCAATATGTGGCCCTTTATGACGATTTGTTATCTTGGCGTATCTAGATCTGCTCCAAGGAGTCGGGTCTTGCCCCGGGAGCCGCATCCCGCGCATCCATTGTGGGTAACAAGGGTGGCTGTGAGAAAATGCAGGCGGTTACAGCACTCCAAACTCAAATGTCGTCCAGTCATGGTGTGCTCAAACGAATAGTGGACTGTGACGAGTTCTGCTGCTCATTTGCAGGATTCTAGTACCGCTGTATTCTGGAAAGCTATAGTTTCGAATACCAAATCTTGTGTGATATCTTGTTTCTATTCTAAATCTCCCAGTCTTCGTATCTTCTATGCCAAGTCCCTGAGAAAGGCAGAAAATAAGATTCAAGCCTCTCTTCTTGTTTATCCCAATGCTCATGCTGGGATCCTTTCCTAGTCCCTGATCGTGACTGACTGTAGGAAATAGTCGTTGATATCGTCATAATGTGTATCCCGACCGTCTGCGCAAGTAAATCCCAAAATAAAAATAAAATAGAAAGCGAAAATCAAAACGTGAATGGGTAGAGTAAATCGCAATAAGCACATGAAAATCAAATGCAGAAGCCATTCCGTCATCGGGTCCTGCCGCTGGGACCTGGTCGCTGTGCCTCGAGGTCGAAACTGTCTTGCCGAATAGAGGCTTGGATAAGTGCCTTGCCGTTTTCCAAGCGCAGGAAACTGGGCCACTTTCGAATGACATCGTCGTTGCCTCCGACATCAATCTCAAAGGTGATGAGTGGAGGCGCCAGTGCTTGTCCCATCAGGCCATTGGCGGTACTGTTGGCCCGAGAGCGCTCTTCAACCTCTGGCTTGATACTAGCAGCCGAGGAGGTGTTGGTCTTCTCGGTCATCAGGTCTTTCGAGTTCCTGCGAGACATGCGTGTCTCCTCGTGCTTTCTCTTGAGTTTGCGGGCGGCCTTGCGGAACAGGATGGGTATGACATGACCGAACCCAGCGACCACCAAGACTGGGGTACCGAGAGCAAGGGCCCATTTCCTAAGAAAGAATAATGTTTAGCCTTTGTATACGGGCGATGGTAGTGATGATGATGGTGGTGGTGGTGGCCAGGTATTGGACTTACGGATGCTTGATGTCGAAAAGTGCATGGTACAAAGCCAAGTCGACTCCGAGTATGGCAATCTCGGCTCCAAGTTGAAGCATAGTCCATGTAGACCAGTATAAACTCATGAGATCCTCTCCGTCGCAGAACTGCAAGGCCAAAAGGCTAAAGACTTCCATTACCACTGCCACACCTGCCACAAGGAATAATATTGTTGTGTAGACCACTACAAAAAACAATCGGGATTAGTGAGTATTCCAGAGGAACATAGAGAGCAAGTTTAGTGTCTGCTTACTGGCAATTTTGAGCTTTCTTCGAAATTCGGCTTTATCCTGGTTTGGGTTGTCTGCATATTTCATGACGCTGGGGTTCTTGTAAGCCTGGGGATAACGATAAATAACAAGACGTGCGGACATGAGAACTTACGATTGGTATATCCATGACGCTACAAACAATATTCCAATCACGACAAAGAAAAGAGACCAATACAAGGCATCGAAATGTATCCGGTCGAGTCTGTACATGAATTGGGCATAGTGTCTGCACTTGGCCTCGTCGACTTCTGCTGGAACCATGTTGAAGTCTGTCGAGTCGTGGTAGACCACGAAAGGGAAAGATAAAATAAAATGTTTTTTTTTTCTTTTGGTTATAATAAGTCTGGTCGATGATGATGGAACATGTATATGTAGAGATCACTTTTGAAAAGGTAACAAGCAAATGTGTAACAGACCAAAAAACGACTTATGCGGTGTCTTTTCGAAAGAAAACTAGAAGGACGGGAGCGGCTGGCAGGTATTATAATGGCATGTAGACTTTAGGAGACGTTAAATGATCGACAGCCACGACGGTAGATACATGGTATGTTAGTCAGTCAGCAACGAGTAGTCACGTCTTGGACGACTGTATACGGGAAGGAGCAGTGAGTTCGCCATGGCCGCGGTGGAACCTTTTGGCAAACGCTGGTGACGCTTGGGCTAGTATGCGGTCTGTCAGTCACGGTCAGTCCAGTCCAGTCAACAAGTCTTGTCTTGTCCTGGTCGGTATTTGGGCAGTTGGGGGAGGGGCCCATTTGGTACATGGACCGCCGAGACGGATTAAAAGTGGGTGGCCGCAGCAAAAGAGTTTTGGAAAAAATGACGAAGAAACAGTTGGTGAGATTAGATTGTGTGATTGCTCAGTATTACTCTCGATAGATGGTATCTCTTGTCGTTGCTTGGCGGCGGAGGCGGAGTGAAACAATGCTGTCGATCAACCCTTGGCGAGAATAAGGAAAGATGCCGCGCGAATCGTGTCTGTCTGTCTCTGTCGGGCGGGATATTGGCGCTTAATCACCGACTCTGTACTGTGCTGTGCAGTCCCATTTCCTCATTGCTGCCCAGGCTCCAGCTGTACGGGCTTGGCTAATACCGAGTCACAATTGCAGCTCTTTCAAGCGGACAGTGAGAAGAGTCTTGTAACCACTAGGTACGTAGTAGCAGTGATGATTGATGGTTCTACAAATTGAATGTGACTCGTTACCTACTCAAGCCACCATAAAATTCGGGCTGGGGGTTCCGTATCATTGGATCCATTCCGGCAGAGTATTTTAGACTTTGCTTTTTCCCCATGATATGCTCTGGAACCTATCCTAAAAGCACGTGTCAACTCTGATAACGTCGCCGGGTCCAGACCACTCTTTGTTACCAACGGCCTGCATATATGATAACATAAGATGGCCGACAGATCATAACAAAGCGAAACGAAAAGAAGAAAAGAAAATTCCATCGACACATTTCTCTTCGTGCCTGGCAAGTGCTGGGACCTTGATGGTGGCGTTGATAAGCTTCCGGGCCTGAACTACTATTACTCGGTCTACTCCATGCCCTCCATTAGCTCGGTCCGGTCTAGTACCATCCCTTTCTGCCCAATGTACTCGCGGAGCACATCCCACTCGGGGCCTTCTTCTTCGCCCTGCCGCCAAGGCTCCGCGAAACCCCATGCGCAGGCGATTCTATCTAGCGCCGCTCTCTCTTCCTCCCGGACCCAGCGCGAGCGCAGAGGTACTCCTGGAGCCCACGTCACCCGCTTCATCTGGTCATTTGCTGTAGTTGCTGCAACCACGCCAATCGTGGCTGTGAATCCCACATATGCTAGTATTCCGGCAAATGCTACGTTGGTTGCTTGCGCAGTGTCCATGGCGTCTTGGAAGATGGAAAAGTTCCTTGCCACAGCATATGCCGCCAGCGGTGTCGCGGCAAACGTGGCCAATGGAAGTGTGCTCTTGCGCAGCACTTTTGATCGAATAAAGGCCGTTGTAGTGTATGTGTTCTCAATGATACCCACGGCGGCGTCGAGGTTCTTGGCCTCGATAGCAGTGTCCAGTGCCATGTCCGCGACGTCTGTGTCTATAGCCTTGGAGGCCTGGTTGGGGTTCTGTTTCGAATACTTGATAGACCCCGAAACCTCTTGCGGTCTAGGTTTTGAAGCATATAACTGGAACACCCTAGGCAGCGTCTCCGGCCTACCTAATGTGGCCTGCACCTTTACATACTGCTCCAGCAAGCTTGGCGTGATCAAAACGGTAGGGTGTGCAAGCGTGACGTAGGCAGCCTCAGATATCCTGTCGATCATCTGCATCAACTGATTAGACACCAAGGTGTTACGGGGACTGGTACCGGCCTCCTCGAATGTCGCTGGCCTAGAAGTCGTCTTCTTTCGGCCGCTAGGATCCAGGGACAACAAATTCGAGGCAGCCGAGTCGGTTTCGCTAATCATGTGACTGATTTGAGGCTGCACAGAATCGTCCATGATATAATCTGCCACGATCTGGCAGGCCTGAAGCGCAGCACTGATATCGGCCTCGGATGGAACGCCACGATGGTTGAGCACCTTGGCTTTGTTGTTATCAATGTAGGCCAACATGTTTGTCAGAGAAGTAATCTCTCTGCCTGCCGCTTCGGGAACGGGCGGCGGCTTGACCGCGGCTTGGCCCCCGTCTTGCTTCCCTTCTGCAGATGTGCGACTGTTGATGCGTGATGCTAGCCATCTTGGCCGACTTGTGTTTGCTACCGCCACCGGCTGGATGCTGGAACAACGAGGTCGTCGGTCCAGCGCAGGTCGAGCATTGGAGACACTCCGCGTAGTGAAGGTGGCCTTGGCTCTGCTTGGGCCTCGAACAGTTAGAGCGTCGCAGATCAAGCAAACGGGAGCTTGTTTGGGAGCCCACGCTGGTCGCCGCATGGCGCTGGACATGCCCCAAGTTCCTAGGGACATTTGGCGCAGTGCGGAAGAAGCGGTCGCCGGGCAGTAAGATGAGTGTGTTGGCACGGCTCGGTGGTTTGAGTGATAGAGGTTCGCGACCAGGAGAAGATTTGTTGGCGTCAAACGCGATGCGATGCGTTGCGTTGCGGTGCGGCGCGAATGCAATGCGATGTCCTTTGTTGCACGTGGGGGTGCAGCTGGGCTGGAGCTCTGAGAAGCTTCCCCAGCTTTTCCGGCTAGGGAAGAAGGAAAAAAAAAGTCAAGCTGGGCGGATTGTCCAATCGAGTCCCACCGCCGGGGCGTCGGGGCACCCCAATAGAGTACATAGTATTGGGTCAGCCCACTCAGTGTTCAGTCTCCAGGGTCCACGAATAGTGTCCAACCATTGACACAGGGTATAGTCGCGACAACCAATCAGACTATTTTGGTTGTTCAATTATTATTGATACGCCAACTTGCATATGTGTATATGATCACCAGTCCATGAATCAGTTGTGTTCTGGTCCTTCGTACAACAAATGATCCAAAGCTGTTGTCAGTCCAGCAGGATTTGGACGTCTCCGTCACTTGAGCATCATTGCTGTTCGAGTTTTGGGTTACTTCCCATAGCTGCATGACTTGGCCAAGTTATTCACAGGCCGGTTCGTAATAACAGTCCGCACCTGTACTGTCATCTTGGCAACCATCTTGGCCCGAGACGAGTGCTTCCCCATTCATAAGTGTCGCATAATTGCTGGGGAAGACACCTGAAACTTGTAATGGCAAACCTTCAGGTTGACTCTCTCGAGTCTTGAGTTGACGTACTTCCAGGTAAATGGACGGCTCTCCAAGCGCATCTTTTCTGCCGCCGTGGCTTGATAAAAACCCCTTTCTTTCCTTTTCCCCTCCCCATCTGAGGGCCCGAGAATCAGCTTCCAGCATAGGGTATGAAGATTTAGGGCCTTTAAGCGGTGAACGTGTTTGCATAGTTCATGTAGTAAAATGAAAGCCCATACCCAAAGGGAGGGCCAGCGTTGCGCCAACATGTTCAGAGTCAGGGCTCGTCATGTTATACTTGGTAGCTGACGACTACGTATTTATTGCTACAATAATTTCAAGCGACAAAACTTGTGAAATTCTCTTTCAGGAGATTATTACATTCTTACGATTCAGTAGATAGAAAGAATCTTACGGATATTATTGCCCGAGTCCGTGCAAATTATGGAAATGCGTGCTTACTACACAATTCCAATTCCAAGGCAAACATGGCAGGCAAAGGCATGAATTGCAGTGGATTGCAGTGAATTGAAAACTCAATAGCCAACGTTGTTAATTACAAGGTAAATAATTTCAAGTCCAGAATGGCTATATACGTAATTTTCGCTGCAATCATGGAAACATTGCAAGGCATATTGGCCTCTTTTGTAGTGGTGACTTTGTATCAGAAGTATCAATATTCTGCTGTACAATGGTACTCTGTACCCCCACCATTGATACCCTTGAAGCTGGTGGCTTGCTTATTCATAGTTGCTGTACGTACCAGCCTGCGCCACAAGCAGTGACGACACACGACTAGGAGGGACCCTAGGTTGCAGGAGGTACCTACCTACTGTACCTACCTGACCACCTACGTTTTCAGCCCAGGCTTCCAATGTTGGGCTTCGAGGGGCCATCGCAATTAAGAGCCACATTGATCGCAACTTCAAATCTCTCTTCTTTCATCTTTGTACACGCATATGAGAGTTGGCCATAACTTTCTACACAATCAGCATTCTTTCTTTCTTGCCTCTTCTTCGGCTCGCAGTGCGACTCTACATATTTTACACGCCAACAACTTCAGTACACACGCCTGAATCCCGTCACTCGTTGCCAGGCTCATTCCGCTGCGATCGACCGACCGCACAGAGCATTTCCTCTACCCGCTTGCGCCGGCTGCCCATCCCATCTTAGACAGTACAGCAACGCTGCACGCATATCGAAATATTGAATTCACTAGAGGACTACACCAAGAATTGATATGCCTCCACCTCCACCCCCTCCGCCGCCTCCGCCAGGCCTGGGAGGCCCTCCTCCTCCTCCACCACCTCCCCCTGGTGGCTTACCAAAGGCTCCGTCTGGCGCAGGTCGTGTAAGCGAATACTCCACGCCTTTCCTCGGATACGCGACTAATTAGAATAGGGAGCTTTGCTTGGAGACATTCAAAAGGGAAGGTCGCTCAAAAAGGCTGTCACAAATGATCGATCCGCGCCAGTCGTAGGAAAGGCTTCAGGAGGCGGCGGTCCTCCGGTGGGTGGCGCTCCTCCCGTCCCGGGGCTGGCACCACCAGTTCCGGGCGGCAATAGACTACGCAGCAACAGCGATCAAGGAAGCCGAGATACTGGTGCGGCGGCGGCAAGCATAGACGCAGCACCGCAACTTGGAGGCTTGTTCGCCGGAGGCATGCCCAAGTTGAAGAAGCGCGGTGGTGTAGACACCGGTGGTAAGTCACTGTGCCTGGCACATATGTCCTTGACTTGAGTACTGATTAGCAGCAGCCGACCGAGGTTCCTCATACATGTCTGATTCCGAAGCCACAACCAGGTCATCATCAGCACCTAGACCACCTACATTTGGCGCTCCGAAGCCACCGGCTGGAGCTGCTCCCGCCATACCCGGCAGGGCGGTGCCTACACCTCCAGGCTTGCCTTCTCACCCTTCCATAGCGTCTTTGCGAAAGACACCAAGCGATGTACCGAGGCCACACTCCTCGGCATCCATGAAAGCACCACCGCCACCTCCCATTGGAAAGAAACCAGCGCCGCCCCCGGTTGGGCGAAAGAACCTAGGAGCCGCACCACCAGTCCCAGGAGCACCGGCACCACCACCTCCTCCTCCCCCGGCGGCATCAGCACCCACGCCTCCACCTCCGCCGCCATCTTCAGCTCCTGCATTACCGCCGCCAGGTCCTCCACGGCCACCACCAGCGCCGGCTAGGTCTCAACCGCCGCCGCCGCCGCCATCGTCACCACCAAGCAACGGATTAGCGCAAAACGCCGCACTACAAGCCGCAATACGTGCCTCGAGTGGCAGAGCATCACCAACACCTGCTCCTCCAGCACCCCCGCCTCCACCGCCCGCTGCTGCACCTGCACCCCCGTCATCGGCACCGCCACCGCCTGCACCACCTCCGGGCGCTCCGGTGAGCAGGCCTCGAGCATCCTCGAATTTGCGGTCAACAATGCTAGACCCAAGCTCTTATACGCTTTCAAACAATGGAAGCAGCCATTCGCCCTCACCTACTCGCTCCAACACGACTGCCGGGTTGTCCAGCCCACGGGCAGTTGGTGGTGGTGGAGGAGGACGCATCTTCATTGACGACAACAGGTGGCGCTTCACAGATGATAGCCAATTACCGAAACCGAGGCCCTTCCAAGGTGGTCCCAGAAAGTACAGAGCCGGACGGGGAAGCAGTGTGCCTTTGGATCTAAGTGCATTGTAGACAAGTGCTTATCCAGTCGACTGGTACAACGCCAGTAAGCGGCCCAACAGGGAGCGTGGAAGTATAGACATCACAGTCACAAGAAGTAAAACCACGGGAGAATTTTGGAGACGGCGCGCGATCGAGGAATAGAGTTCCAAGGTCGCGATTTAGACACGACTCTACGGGACCTTGAATGGTTGAGAAAAAGACCTCGGAGTCGTTGGAGTCGTAGTCATCGAGCATGCAGATCTTGAAGTCCAGACATGACCAGTTTCACCGTTCCCAAGTATCAGTCCTCGGCAACATGATTGGCATCTGCGAGAAGTCTAGATTTTCGGGGGAGAAGAAGAAGAAGAAGAAGAAGCTAGCACTAGTTGTAGAATCAAGACGTTAATGATTCGAGGAAAATAACCACCGAATCAATACATATTTCCTCGTTTTAAAAGCACGACTCATTTTAGACAATGTGTATGATGTCCTCGTTGTGATTGACTTGGAATTGCCTACCTAGTCAGCCACCATGTTCCTCATTCTCAAAGTCTACTCGAAAGTCGATACGGTGCAAGACATGTATGTCAGTCACCTCGAGCGTTCCGCAGTATCAACTCAGCGAACCCACAGAAAGTATTACAATTAGTATGGTATAGACAGTAAGCTGCTGTCCACGATACTTCTTCAGGATTGGTGAGCTTTCGTGATGTCACCCATGGTTCAAGTCAAGCCGCAGTCGATTGCTTTTATTTGATAGAGCTGGAGTAATCTTGTCCCCACGAATCTGCTTCATCAATCTAAATACTCTTGGCATAATTTCATATGAGTTTTCCGACAGACAAATCTTCACACACATCCAAGATTGCATGCTACCAATATCTGCCAGGCTCAGAAGCTTCACGCTGTTGAGAGGCCTGCTGCTTGGTGTGCGGCGGCCTGCCATAGCGCATGTCGTCCTGCCCATTGGATACCCAATATCCGACACCATCCATCTGTTTCAGCGTACTAGTTGTATGGTCCAGCAGGTCATTCAAGGCACCAGAATCCTTGAACTTATCAGGGGCCCAACTGGCCTCTTGTGCGAACTCAAGCTCATTGTTCTCGGTGAAGGCGTCAACTATCTCATTGGACGTGACGTACGCTTCAAACCAGTTGGGAAAATACCCATCGTCTGGATTTCCCAAGTCCGGGTAAGCGTGTATGAGGCAGGCAATATCGTCTTTCTGGACTGTTGTCTTTTTCATGCAATGGACATGAGTGATATGCAGCTTGGTTGTGCCTTCGTGGTGTTCGTATATGGCTACCTGGCGGAAGCGAACGCTTTTTATTTCGATGCCCCATTGGCGGAAGTACATCAGACTGAGCTTTGGCAGGTCATTTCCACCGCTCAAATGGCTGCATTACCAAGATTAGCACACATGACAGAAATTAGTGCAGATCAAGAACACAAATCTTACCCAACTTGCAGCGATGCAACGACTTCTTGGGCAAAGGGCTCGTAGCTCTCCTTGATGGCAGGCGTGGCTTCAATCACAACTCTGAAGTCAAAGTCGCGCTTCGCGCAGTGGACATAAATGTTCGTCTCGCCCGGGTCAGCCTTCCGAATTTCGTGAGTAAAATCGATGGCATCAATTTCAAGAACAAAATAAGTCTTCGAGCCTGAAAGATTCTTGGTCGTACACCAGAATTCATAGAAGGTGCGCCCAGAGCCAGGAACCCACATCCGTCCATTACCACCTGGACCTGGGAGGTTGGCAATGTGATTGGCATCACCGCCTTGTGTAGTTACAATGTTGTTGAAATATAGATCTCGTGCGGAGCAATGAGATTCGAGAGCGGCTTCCATGGATGCCACATCCCTTGCACGGCTATGTTGCTTCAGGCCAGGTATGCCAATATGTTGCCAGTTCACATTGGTGAACCAGATTCGTCCGATTTCGGCTTTCAAAATGACAGACCCCTGGTACAGTCGTAGAGGTTCTAGCATTTTGGGGATACTGTCGATAATCCTGTCACGCGCAGCCACTACCACATCGCCCGTGGTGGCTTGGGGACTTTTCGTCTTTGATCTAGAGAGCGTAGCATCCCTCCGAGGTCGATCTGTCGATAGATCTTGCCTAATTGCAACGGGCTGTCGCGGGATCTGTTCCTGTTGTCGATAGGTTCTCGTTGGTATCAGGACTCCATCAACATTTTGCTTATTTTTGAGAGGAGACGATGTGAGAAGGTCAACTTGCTCATCTTCTGATGCTTTCTCCTGAGGTTCTGTCGCACCAGTCACTGGAGTGGGGACAGAGACTTCCGAGCTTGTTGCCAACGACATCGAGCCGAATTGCGATACAAGATCTGTCCATTCATATACCCCAGGTGAAGTTTGGTGGTCAGGCTGCTGGACGGGCTCAACAATGGTGTCTATCAGATTGTCCGTTGCTTGGGCCAAGTCCAGCCAGGTTTGCCGCTTCTCCGTCACTCTGTGGTCTTTGAAATACTCGAATGAGCGTTCAACAAGCTCTCTGGAGATTACAGGGCTCGGTTGCATTGCATCAGGCACCAAAAATTCTCCTTGAACCCGCAACGACCGCACAAAGCAACCCTTCTCGAAAATCTTGCCGTATGCTTGTTGAAGCTGAAATCTTGTTGGGTCTAAAATTATGCTCCGAACGTGAACGAGGTGAGTCTGAGCCAGGTATCTGAGCTCAACAAGGCCAGAGGAGTTGTCCTCGGTGTAAATGACGTTCTGGGTCATGCCATATCGATATCGCATACCCTACATACTAATTAGTTTCATTGGGATATTTTCAAGAGCTGGAGACATACGTGATATCTTAATATGTTGTCCATCTTCTGCTTTGCTTTGGAAATCTCATCGACACTGTGGGCACCGAAGTAGAGAGTCAAACCGTCGCCACTTTGAATGACTGTACTCTTGGTACGGTCCGTCATTAATTTGGCAGGGTCGTTTCCTGCGAGCAGCTGATAAAGGCTAGGACCATCTTCCGCTCGACCACCAGGCAGCTTCCAGGTGGATCTCACTGGAAACAGTAGTATCTCTTTTGGAAACGAGAACTCCTGATAGTCGCGCAGCTCTTGCGCGGCAGACAGACTGGCTGATTGAGAAGGATGGCGTACCATTTCATTTTCGGCATCCTGTTATTATGAGCATGTGAATGGAAGGAGAGAAAGCATGTAGATTGGACTAACATCAACAGGACTGGGCAATTCACCACCTTTAAGGATGTCGTCCATGATCATGCTAATTCGCGTCATGATCTCTGCTTGATTATCACGTTGGCAGTGGATTCGAAAGCAAGCATTGGCGACATCCCAGGTGATCTCCTGGTCCTGGCCACAAACATTTTAGCATTGAACATGGCGTACATCATACCAATCAGACGCGAGCCAGGAAGGAAGAAGGATGGATCTGGGAACAGAGGGAGGACATATGAGATCTCTGTACCTTTACCTCCTTGAGATATTGCTCAAAGAACTGTCTCAATCCAGCAGGGCGAAGGATCCAGTTGCAACCAACCAAGAACTCAACGTCGCCGAATGACTCGAAGCTGTCATAGCCAGGTCCGGTGACAGCCCTGTATTCGGAAGTAGTACTTTCATTGGTCCATTCTGGATAGTACTTCACCATCGCAGAGTTCACCACCTTCTGTCGAGGTCTGAAGTCGTGGTCGTCCATGACGGATCAAGTTTGTGGTCGACAGGCCGTAGTGTGGAAGGACTGGCGACTCAGAGCGCCAAAAGGGGCATTTGCAACTAACTCGTGATGACTGCGCTGAAAAAGTTGAGATGACGTTGATCAATGACCCTGCAGGGAAAGAACCCAGCGCAACAAACACCGTACTTGCCGGCGCCTTAGGCAGGAAGGAAAAAGTGAAGTAGATGTATACAAGACAACAGGCTAGATCGGCGACGGAGCCAAGTATCTGTGGTCCAGTAAAGGCAAACCGAGACAGACGCAAATACAACAAATGAGGGAGGAAGAAAAAAAAGAGGTCAACGCGAAGGTGCAAGTATCCTGTTGATAGGGCAAGCCCGGTGGTGGCAGCGGCGACTGCAGGTATGCTAAGATGTCCGAAAGAAGGTAGAAAGAGTGTCTCCGTTGTGGTGGCAATCCAAAAATTCTCGGATGGCCTTTGCTTAAAAACGCCTCTGGATACTGTCGAAGAGGAGAGAGGAAAAAGAAAAAGATGATGATGAAGAAGAAGAAGAAGGGATGGCAACAAGAGGAGGAACCTCAAGCTCCAGTAGTATGTGCTTCAGGGAACTAGGCAATCCCAGGCTAAGCAGGGCAAGGGCGGCTTTCAATGCTGTGTGCTAGGAAACCTCACTCAATCTGTAGCAGATTTTGAAGGACGGGTTTCGGTGCGAGTGTAGCATTTGTTTTTCCCCCCATTTTCAGCGATTGAAACGTCGTTTGCACAATCTTGTTGAGGAGCTGGGTGACCTTATGCCCTTGTGTTTGTCCTAAACTGGGTGAATCATTCAGATGGGACATGGACTAAGCAGCTGATTACGACACCACCAGCCAATAACGGCCGGAGTTGCAAGCGAGGAACATATCCTTTATTATTCAGGAACTCTTAATGCAACCTCTATAAGCCAAGTCCATGTGCCGTTCTTTGAAAAGAAGGAGATGATACAGGTAGGTGCAGGTGAAGAACCAGACGTCTGGCGAGGTCAAGGCTGAATGCCTCAAGATGTTCCAAACAACGCAAACAACAGAGACCTACGGAAGTTTTTTTGCCATAATGAACGCCACTTCCGTAAGGACTTGAGAGGAGCAGTCCTGCTGTCTAGGATTCTACTACCAGCCAAACACTGAATAATGTTGTTTCATATAATGCAGCTCTATTTGCGGTCTTGGTCTCGGGGAACAGTACTCTAGATTCATGTTTGCTTTGCTATTTTCGTAACAACAACTCTAGATACTCAGACTCTATCAATATTCGACATCTCTGTACTTGCCATATGTGCATTCTGAACAGTGGCTCCTTATGTCAAAGAAATGCACTAATAACTAGGTATTTTGACTTGTTCCTACTCCCTCTATGAATTGCACACGCATATTGTGAATAATATGGAGCTGACCACTAGACTTCTCAAGTCAAAATTATTTCCATGGCAACCAGTGGCCAAAAAGACCTCTTATTGGATCAATTTTCAAACCTGAATACAACTTGCATTTATCTAATCGAATGAGTGCGATATTCTCCATTAATGTATGGTGCTTGCTAGTGTAACATGGAAGGGCAAGGCTATAAGGTTGTGATAAAAATAAAAATAAAAGCTGGCCAATGCTGTGAGCAATCTTGCGAACCATGAGTTGGTCGCAGCCTATGATGAGTGTTGCAAAAGAAACCTGTACTAAATGGTGGAGTAGTTGTCAATAATGAACATCTTCTACAAGACCTTCGAGAAACATCTGACCACCATGACTAAACTATAAATAACAGAATAAAACTGGGTTTGCACCGTTTTCAGAAATTTGCCTAGTCTCACGTTTTATACACTACAGCCCTGACCCCACATTAGGGGTTCGAACTTCGGGGGCAAAAGAATGGGGTCATCGGTTTGATGTGAACAAAGCAAAAGTAGTGTCATTGATCTCTATGAATTCGAACGGGTATATACAAACGCGCAAATTATGGCTAGATGTCCTCTCGCAATGAAGTTGCACTCTCCATGTCGAGAGTTTGTTTTGCTCCACAAAACGCCGTACTGTGAATTATGCCCTGGGCTTTCTCTTCCAAAGACCGTTGTTGTATGGAGCCGCCGAAACCAGAAATGAGCAAACACCAGTTTCCCAAAAAGGTGTCCCCCGTTACTGCCGGATGTTTTCGTAAATGGAGAAGCTTTAAAAAAAAAAGTATGGTGGTGTATGCCTGCTAATATATACAAGAGAAGATAGCAAACTAGCTGTGACTTTCGAGGAGTTCGAAGTATGCAGGCTGTAATGTAGTCATAAGTTGGCAGCTATGGCAATTGTTTACCCAGCGCCTCTGACATTCGCTTTGACTTGAAGTGCCCATTTGAGTTGGCCCAGGGTTTGTTTCGTTTCTTCAATGGTTCGGAGCTGCTCCTCTTCTCGATTCCGGGCGTTTTCCTTAATGGACTTGAGGGCTTCTTCCTGGGTACGTTTGTAGGCCTCGAATTGGTTGCCAATTTCCTCGTTCTGCCTCCTGAGGTCTTTGATATTGCCATCTTGTTGGTCGCAAAGGTCTCTCAGAGTGTTGATCTTGTCGTCGTCCCTCCTCCGCTCCTCGACAAGAGCGGCGATTTCTGAGCGAAGAGTTGTTGTGGCCTTTTTGACTTCATTGCCCTGTTCCTTCCAGTGTGACGCAATTGCATTGTATCGGCCTTCCATCATGGCAGCATTTGTCTTGGCTTCGTCGACCTGCACGTTGGCATCCCGCCGGGACTTTTCCATCTCGTCCTTCCAAGTCCTCTCCCTGTCCTGTGCATCCGCTGTCCGCTTCTTCTCGAGTTCTACCGCTTGCTGTAGTGACTCGACCTGACGTTCTTTCCGGCTGAGCAATGTCTTGGTAACGTTGGCTTCTAGTAACCTCGACTCGTATTCTGAAATCATCCTCTCCATCTTGTCCTCCATGAGCTTTGCTGCTTGTTTCGCCTCCTCTGACTTGATGCGCTCAATTTTGAGATCTCTCCGCAACGCCTCATTGTCGGACACGAGTTTGTTTATGACGCGGCCAGTCTTTCCCAACGCGGCCTTGCCTACGGCGCCGCCATCCCACTGCCCAGAGCCATCCACGGGCTGCTCGTCTCCGTCGGTTGCATTGTCGGCAGGCCGCAAAGTTGCATCGCTTGAAGCCATGGGGGATGCTGAGCTTCTGGTAGCCCCCAGTTGCGTTTTCGAAGGGTAGGAAGTCGGGGCTTTGCTGAGCCGGGAGGTTGTACCGTTCTGGGTCTGGAATTGTGTTTGGTTTTGGGAATAAATGGAAGCTCCACTAGTGTTGCTATTGACCGAACTGGAGAAACCACTGTTCCTTGCAGAGTGTGGATCTGAGCTTGATGTATCCGATGGGTCCTCAAAGCTGGGGACTGTACGTATGGTCGAGGGATGTTTGCTGCCCTTCAGCGACTTTGGGGACTTTGAAAACGGGTTGTATCTTGCTTCGACGTTGGCCATGTCGAGTGCTCCTCTGCCGGTAGTTTGGGTCGGGGAGTTGTAGGAGGAAGAAGCGGCTTTCGTAGGAGTACTCGGCGTACTGGTGGCGCTGGCATCTGCTGCTAGGAGATAGGCAGGGCTGATGGGCTCTGTAATTAGAAGGGGACGGCGTTAACGCTTGGACTTTCAGCAGCAACGTTGGTAAAAAAGTGCCGTGTGGTGCAAGGATTGGTTCGATCACAATGGATGGACTTTCACGGCCACGACGATGACAACGGTTCCGGGACAGTACAACAACAAAGACGGTGGGCGTGGATCTTGTGTGCGCGTTTTGACAAATGGATACCAACATAGACAAGTGCAAGGATCAAGTACAACAAACTCAAGTGCTAGGTAGACTGGACTAATGTTTGGGGGTCGAACGGATAAAGTTGTGATTGAAAGAGGAACATGGAAAAAAGAGAGATCAGCGCTGGGGCCGGTCGTACGCTACATGAATGCAGCCAGCCGAAACGCATGTATGTAATGTAATAAATAAGCAGGAGAAAGGGAAGAAGAAAGCAAGTAAAGAACCAAAGCGTGTGCATACCGTTTTGGAGGTTGTTGTCCTGCTGGTACTTTGGGGCGGTACCGGACTCTCGCCCTCTGCGCGGCTTCTGTAGTCGACTGGGCATCTCCACGTTTGTGCTCTTCTCATCAGTCTGATCTCTTCTCGCTTCTTGTTTTCTTTTAGCCTCCGTTAGGTTTATTTGCTAGTTGCCTGACAACTTTAAGGGTCCTCGGAGGAGCAGGAGGGGGGCCAACAAGGTTTGCCTTGGTAACTATAGTAGATCGACCGCTATCTTTTATGGGATGAATCGATATGAAGTCCAACAAAAAACTTGCAGACGATTCTCTAGGTATGCCACGCTGGGATGTACAGTTTTCGTAACTGATGATGATGTCTCGGTCGCCTTTGAGTAGACCGCGGATGGCGTCGCGAATGTGGATGTTGCTTATTCTCGATAGGGTGGGCTGCCACCAATCAAGTCGTACAAGGGCGCTAAAGAGGAAGCAGACGGATGCAGTAGTAACAAGCACCTATTCGTTGGCGTGGATAATCAATCAACAACACAGACACCTGGAGATGGGATCCGTAATAGTGAAGGAATAAACAAGAGGAGCCAAACGGGAATTGTGGAATGGTACTTGCTTGCCCAAAGATGTGCGCAAGCTGGATATTATGAAATAACAAATAGTGGACAGTCAGCCGGTCTGATCTCCGTCAATGATCAAAACCTGTAAATAATAAAATTGAAGAAACAAGTTCAATTTCCCTGCAATTGTAGGACCCTGTCCTTTCTATGTAATAATACCCGAAGAAATGGTCATGGTCTGGGGGGAGAATCTCTCTCTCTCTCTCTCTTTCTTTGTTGACAATCCCATCATCAAACCAACCGGCAACGGCCCCCTTCTCTCTTCCCATTCTAATAAAGTTACAATGTACCGATGCGCCCGCCCCCCATGTTTCCAGTGCTGCATGCGAGTGGCTGCCCAACTCAATGCAATTCGTTCTTGTATCTGCAAGGGAAAAGACAGCAGCAGTAAGAGAGAGACAGAGAGAAGACAGCCACACAACTCATTGCGCATCCAATCCTTGCAACTCCACCTGACAGCTCACCTCGAGGCTGCTGAGACAGAGAGGCGCAGCGATGAATGTGAAATGGCCCAGCAACGACCAGATGCGCGGAGAGGGTGGAAAAGAAAAAGACATCGCATCCCACCTTTCTAGGTAATTGGCCATCTGAGATATTTTCTGAGCATCTACAAATGCCGAGCCGTGTGCGCAAGTCTTCCAGCCTCTTCGAACATTCGCGGTTCATAACTGGTCCAAAGGAGCCTATTGGCGTGTGATGCCCTGTATCGGATTCTGCAAGGCGACATCCTGAAAGCTGATCTCCAAGCGCGCAGACACCCCAGGACAAAGTGCATGAATGACTTGAGATGAGGAAATATGAATTGAACAATGAGGCCCGCAGGCGAACGCGGTTCCTTCATCTTCTGCTTCGCATTCCTGTCATGCCAATTTCATATCCAATTAACGCGTTGGCCGAATCCGGACCAGTCCGCGAATTTGAACCTGGCTAGCACTGCTGAGTGTCTTATTACCTTATTTTGATATAGCACGTGTATGACCAGGTGCTCTTCAGCCTACTCATTCGCACCGAGGACCAATTTGCACACGTGGAAGACCATATGGTATTTTAATTGAGATAAATCGTTACTTGCTATATATGTATATGCACATACATTTTTATAAAACCAAACTCTCACTGCAAAGCAAATGCAATTAACAAACAGAGCCAGTCTCAAACACGCCGGCCCTTTAAACCTTTCATCAATGCCCGCAGCCAACCCTGGTTGACAAAATCTGCCCCTTTGGAACCCGAACCCTGAGACCCCTGGATGGAAGCGGGTCTGTTCCCGCGGGCGCGGATCCGAACATGATCGAAATCTAAGGTTGCAGACCAGGGGTTTCTGAACACACATTACTGTGCAGAGACCTCTAGTGGCGACTGGCAGAATATGCATTCATCATTGTCATGGATGAGGAGAAAATGGAAGGCAGGCGTAAGCTCCTGCGTCGATTCCATAATTTGGGTTCTTGTTGTACCTTTTTCAAATAGTGTTTGTCTGGACACTAAAGTATTACAGCTGCTTCTCAATGTCCTTGTCGCTATGATCATCACAAGCATTATCAATATGCCTGGCCCCTCTCCAAGCTAGCTGGACATCCATGCCCGAGATGTGTGCGCCAAATCTCATGTGCCGTAAAAAGGCTTCTGTTCGTCCTGTACCGGCTCCTCCTTTTCTCATCGCTGTATAGATATCAATCCTGGCGTTCTTTAGTCGCGCGATTCCCCAGCCCAAAAGACGCTATTGTCCAAAGCATCCATCACACTACTGTGTATATGTGGTTCTGTCAAAGTTGTCGTGGCATTGTTTCTCATACCTCGAACAGGCTTCATCGCGCGGGATGCCCCTTGTCCGCCGCTTGCCTCTAATGATACAATTACCAAAGACAAATGCTCAATTTACGATGCTGTCTCGGTCTCGCCTGTTCTGTCAAATCATCGCTGAAGGCCTCGGATTTTGAGGCAAAATGGCAGATGAGTTTGTTGATGTGTCGATCTAGAGAGATCGGTCGCTTACGCAGCGACGGCGGCTTGCCCACTGCCACTATGCGCCATTGGCAGCCTGGAGCTGCTTTTGTTGTTCTATAAACCCAGGACGCCATTTCGTAAGGTACTTTCCGGCCATGGCTCGGGCCTCGTCATATTCCAACCAAATGTCTTGGACAGCATCTAATGCTATTTCTCTGACCGGCGGGCGCATCATGACCATGTAAAGAAGACTGGTCAATGCGAGGTTGACCGTACTAGGATCCCGACATAAAGTCTTGACACGGCCAAGAATATCCCTGTTTAAGCCAGGGATTTCGCTCAAAAACCGTGTGAGCACCTTATCCTGGGCATGAAGATAGGGAATGAATCCCTCAATTAGACGCAATGCCCACTTATCGTAGTGGGCAGGTACATCCCGCCCATCTTCCGATGCTGCTTTTTGTTGAATCTGATCATTATACCACTCCTCGCTCAACCAGGAAACTGCAATGTCTATACGCTTTCGGAAATCTTCAAGCACATAGACATAAAGTGATTCGCGTATCGAATTGCTCAAGCTGATGCCGCTCGTTGCGAGAGACTTCTCTTCGTCCTTGACATGTATATCGTCTAGGCCTGCTGAGGCGCGCGTGGCTAGTCGGGTGATGATAGTGATCCAAGACTCGCGATCGAACGAGCTGGCAGCCAATCTGTTTATGCCAGATTTTGTCTTCTTTGTTGAGGGGTCGTCAAGAGTGCTCATGACGCCAAAGACCCGAGTCACTGTGCCCTGACCAACCTTGACAGCTTGCTCCGGCTCCAATGGTGGTGGTGGTGGCAGCTTGAATGTCGGCAGTGCCAAAGTTCCTAGTACAACTGGCTTCTGCAATTCGCCACGCTGCACTGATGGCTCCGAGTCGAGTTTGTTGAGAATCTGTTCGGTATCCTCGGCCGCGTAATAATCCGGCTCGTAATCATCGTCATCTTCGACGTCTAGTGCCGTGGTTTCCGGATTAAGTGGCTTCTCGGCGGCCTTATGTAGCTCTACCAGCCTATCTCGTACACCGTTGATAGCCCTCTCCAGAAGGTTGGGGTCTATCCGAGCCAAAGTGTTGATGCTGACCTTGGCGGCTACTGGTGCCGGGACGAGAGCGACATCGAAATTTCTGAGTCCCTCGTTCTTGGTGAAAGTAAATACATCGGCCAATGAGTGGGATCCCGGTGACAAGGGTGTAATCTCGAGATCGGGAAGCGCGGGCGACGTGCGTTGACGCTTTGCTTCCGTTCCATCCATCTCTGTCAGAGCTCGCTTGCGGCTGGCACCATCAAGTAGCTCGGCTCTTGCCTGAGATAGGCGATCTAGATATGGCTGCATTCGCTGGGCCAAGACGCCTTTGGTATCCCTGGATGGCGATGTAAGCAATAATGCTGTGAACTTTGAAGTTTAGAGGAGCATACCGTCTGGACAAATGCATGCACAGCATCCGTGTCGTCTTTTCTAGAGACCTAATGATTACTTTCGTCTTGGGTGTCATGGGTGTAGTCGCGAGCTTCAGGGGATTGAAGCTCATTATAGCGTTCAATATCTTATTGGATGTCATGGGTCTCATTCGAATGAGTATGGACAACGTATTCAAGGTTGCATCCACCGTGAGAACATCGCTGTAAAGCAGACAAGAGAGATGGTTAGTCACGGGGCCTGTATGACAGAAATTCTACAACCATACCTGCTCTCTTGCAAGACGCTGAGCATTCGGTCGAGAAGCCCAGTGGCCTCGGCTTCCATGGCGTTGACGTTGAGTACCGAATGGTCGCGTGGGACCATGTTCAAAGAAATGTCGAGCGGATCGCCTCGCTAAAGACTATCAGCATTTCTATATTCTTCATTTCACCAAGATGATTAGGAATCACCTACTCTGGGTTCGGGGTTGATGCTTGGTGTTTGGGCTAGAATAACTCTTTGTGCGAACTTGATGCAGCATATGCGCAACGTCAAGGGAGCTGACTCCCACAGTCCCAGCACCCTTGCCTTGATCGCAGTGATGGTCTTCCACGTGTTGGTATCGTAGGCATTGGAGATTCTGGTGGCATTGCATGATCAGCACGTTGATTTCTTTAGGCGAACAATTGTCAATGTTGAATTGATTTTGGGGAGCGGCTGGCATTCGACTTGGTTGCAGAGCTCTTGCAGACAGTTACAAGCACAGCCGATTCTACGCGGGAATGTCTACGGGCTCCTGCCTACGAGATGACGGGAACAAGGGGAATTGACCTACATCCACCTCATCGCAAGAGGATATACACTAGCTGCTGTCTGAATGACACTGCGCAACACCAAGACATCTTGGTTCGGATCCTCAACCAAAGCCTTGAGTGTGTCGAGTATTAGGAGCGAGAGCGTCTCCTTCTGGCTGAGCGGTACTGCGGGCGTTGCGAAGGCTTCGGCCAAAAATTCGGCGCCCCATCGACGAAGTTCAACATGCGCCGTAGGGCCAAAAATTGGAAGTGTTGCTTGGATGACCTGGCCATAGTAACTAACATCGCCGAGGACGAGCTTACGAGCATCAGCGAGCTGGCGAATCTGGTCAGGGACCGATAGCCTGCTGTCTGTGGCCATATTGATGGCGAGATGGCAATGTTGGGAAAGTAGAGCTTGTAGTACAGAATATCAGGCAGATCAGGGACAGCTACGATGGCGATTGAAAACAACCCTGCGACAATCTGCTGCTGTGAATGACTGGCGTAGCATCTAAACTGCGCATATCCAATAATTAATGGTGGCTGAAGGCTGCTTGACCGACTTTGGGTAAATTGGGCGACGACGCATTCGAGAAAGGTGATGTCGTGTTTCGCTGCAGAAGCTGGTGATGTCAATTCGAAGATCGGATCGCAGCTGGCGCGCGTGTATGGGTAGGTGAGGTAAGCTTCGTAGCGGGACCGTGGAGAAAGCACGCGCCTAACAGCAGACAGGGAATGGCGAACTGCACCCGAGCTGCAGGTAGCTTCCAAGGCTCCCCAAAGAGTCCAAGATGGGCTCCTTTCCTGTTGTTGAGATGCCGTGCTCAGACCCTGGGCATCGCACTGATTGAGCTTCAATTACTTAGATTGTGTCCATGTGGCGACTCGTCACTGCGCTCCGACGATGTTGCCCTGTACACTGGTTGTGAATTGATGAGAAGGGGAATTCTGGCATATCAAACGGAGAGAGAAGCTGCTTTGTTTCACGGGTGCGCGAGAGCCCAAATGCTCTAGCGCTGCTGACCCTTGCAGCCAGAAGAAAAAGAAAAAAAGTTCCTGGTTCGGTACAGCAATATGCATTTACAAAGAATATGTGCCTATCAATCTTCTTGTGCCTAGCTTCAGCCTAGTCTAGCTCCCGATTGATGATGGGATATCGAATGACTGGTCGTCTCTGCCAGGAATTATTATTTTGAGACTTGACAATCATCGATCGCATTCCTGTCGCAATCAGATCTGCGCAAATTATACAGAATCAATTCAAGATGCCAAGGTACCTTGCATATCCTCTTCGCTTTCTGCGATCCCGACTGGTGATGACAATTTGACTTACCATGTTACTCTAAACAGTGGCTACGGAAACTCGTCGTACTACAACAAGAATGCGCACTCGCCTGCGCTGATTCGCGCACGCAGGCCATATCTCCTCAAGAACGCCCTTGTCGGCTCTGGCATCGCTGCTTTCGCCATCGGAGTTTGTGCGTAGCCGGTTTCCCGGTCGATTTCCTACTCGAGAACATGCCAGCTGATGCTCAGCAGATGTCTACACGATCAAGGCCATCGGCCAGGATGAATTCACAGACGTCAAGGTCCCTGATGTACCGCAGCAACCGGCAAACAAGTCTTGAATCGACAAGACAGCTCTCCAAACCGCACATTCTGAATTAGAGGACAAGAATATTACATGTAAAACAACACGGCATCACTCGGCGTTGGTGGCAAACCATTGACTGTTATTTTGACTACAATTGATTCGAAAAAGAAATGGTATCGTGGCTCATGATTGAGCATTGAAACTAGGAATGTTGAGACGCCTCTGAACCTGTATCAAAGTGTAGAAGGGATACGTTGCCCATATGTACCAATCAACCGAATCCCATATATCCGATAAACGCCGTATGGTTTGTGCCGAACCTTGCATTGCAGGCACAGTAAAAGAAAATACCCAGCTATGTCGATGCCTCCATGTGTATCATAATTCAATAAGGGAACGCCGCAAGCTCCAAGCCAAGATGCAAAAAGAGTAATCTGTAGGTACCACTTGCGCGCCTAATACAGCGACGCTGGGTCGAATGATGACCAAGATATTCCAAATCCTGGGTCACACGAGACTCCCGATTTTCGGATTTCAAAAGCCGCCTACTGGAGGAGCGGCTTCCCTTTTAACAGCCCTCCCCTGTTCAGCTTCGGCGGCGGCGGCGGCAGCAGCAGCAGCTTTCATGCTTCTAACACTCGTCTGTTCCAGCAGGCTTGCAGCGCGTGTAGTCTCGGGGGACGTCGTCGGAGCTCGGTTTACATGATTCGAGGTTGCGGCATTTGCATTATACGGAGTATAGTTTGACGCGTTTGATATTGTGCTTGAAGAGAAGGGTGGGCGTTGGTGTGAATGGCGGCGCGAGCTTGATGCTTCCGCAGCCGGACTACGCCTCCGAGGCTCGTGTTGCGAGTGCTGCCGCTGCAGCAAATGGGCGTTGGATGGGTGACGAGGGTTTGCCCAGGCATTTTGTTCTATAAACTGCTCAGCGGCAGCACTTAATCCTTGGCCAAATGGCGGTATGCCTCTTATATCAGAATAGACTGATCTGGCAGGTTCATGATGTTGTGCCACGGGTGCTCTTCCACGCTGTCAAAGCAATGTTAGCATGTACATACTTGCAAGTAGGCAAAGTCAAGTAGACTAGTAAAGACTTACAGTCATGGCTTCGAAATCATCCTCAAATTCTTGTGCAGATGCGCCGCGCATATCCGGTGCAGCAGGCATACCCTCGTACTTGGCAATGCCTGACAAAATGGCCACTTCCTTATTGTAGGCCATTGCATCGCGGACTCTTTGCGGCTGGGTCTGGGGAAAGCGGAGACCGAAGTCGTGTACGTTGTTGGCGTGCTTCCGTCTTTCGTGTTGAATGGCATACCAGTACTGGCCAAGCTCACCAAGGATTCTTTCCCTGGTCTCTCGCACATCTTGGTAGTATTGTGAATGGATTTGGGCGCGTCTGGCGACTGCCCATCTCCCTAAGGTGTCAATATTCAATGCGAACTCGTTCTCAGCTATGCGCAGCTTCTCATCTCGCCGATCATTGATGCAACCCATCATGGCTAAGTAATCTGGGTGCGTAGGGTTGTCGGCTTTGAGCATAGCCTCTTCCCTGTTCAATTGGTCGAGCCTTTCTTCGTACAGCCTGTCGAATCGTTAGCCACCTTGTGTTTATAGCTGAAGCAGATGCGCGCACCTTTCCCTGAACGTAGCGAATTGCTTTTCTATGTTTGTTAACATATCAAATGCTGCTTTCTTTCGTTCGACTGTCGATTTCGTTAGTATGTGCAATGGAGTAACGACGAGGGTTTGCTGCATACGTTCTTCCTCAGTCCTCTGAGCAGCCTCGGCCTCCTCATCGATATCAGCTTCGGCTTGCTCGTCATCTCCTGTATGTTGGCCATCTTCTTCGGCAGTCGTGCCATCAGCAGCTTCCTCCATTGGCTCATCGCTTTCTGCTCGTGCGGATTTGCGCTTCTTCGAACCTGCTCGAGACTGCCTCTGTGCGCGCGATTCTTCCTCAATCTGTGCTTCAGCATCTGCTTCATCGCCTTGTTCGTCAATGTCTCCATTTGTGGCCGACTGCAGAACGGCCTCGTCACCACTGTTGGTGTTCGTCGAAGGCTCCTCGTCATCTGCCATGGCAACATCGCCATCCTGGTCAGCTTGACCAGCGGCGAAAGGCGATGCAGAGCGTTTCCGTGAAGGCTGATCTTCTTCGTTGTTATCTGGTGGTTGTGACGAGCGCTTTCGCTTTCGCGCATCAGAAAATTGGGCTGCCGCGGCCTCGGCGAGGATGTCAAGGGTCGGAGACTGCAATTTCTCAGCACTAGGCGGGCCAGAGCTGTGAGCACGAGGAGGACTCGATGTAAATGAGCCCTGAAGCTCTGATAGTGGTTCATCTTCGTCGTCGTCGACGCGAGTGCCCTGCCGAAGCTTAGTCGGCGTCCGCTCAAAGGTCGGGCCCCCGCCTAGAGCGTCAGTGTGACGGGTGGGGTTGTGCGGTGTAGGATAGAGCCGCTCGGTCTCTGCCTCGGTATCGTTGCCTTCGTCGTCGCTCGGCTCTTCGCGGACAGGTCGAGGGCTGTCGTCTGGGAGCTCCAGGTCGTTTTGAGAGCCGCCCAGGTCGGAGAGTGGGCTCGAGCCATCGTCGTCCGAGAGCGGCTCGATAGCCGGAGGCTGTATGGTTAAAGGCGGCGCTGTTTCGGCGGTCGCCATTGCAGCAAAGTTGTATAGGCCAAGCCTGCGTGAAGCGTCCTGTCCGAGTCGGCGATCGTGATTGAGATTGAGCAGCTGTCGGGGGCAGCGCTAATTGGGGTCAGGTGTTTTGTTGACGCCGATTTTCGCAAGATGCAGAGGATCATAAAAGAAACGATTGGTGACAGATTAATGCTTTTGGTAATACGAAGAGGGTCATGGGAAGTTTGTCAGCAAAAGCGCTCGAGTCCTGGTCCTCTGGTCAAGCTGGATTCGAGATTGGGAGGAGAGGGTGTGGCATCACCATCCAGGCACTTTGAGAGAGGAAGGAAAGGCGGGCGTTTTGTGACCTACGTAGGAAAGACCGAGCTGCCGCCCAGTGAGTACCCCTGTCGTTTTGGCGGGTCCGCAGCTGGCTTATCGTTATCGGCTCCTACAACTTTTTTCCAATGGCCTACACCTACCAGTCGTGGGGTTATTGACAAACTGAAGCTTTCTCGCCCATACACACAAGAACTTTTCTGCAGCACGCAAACAAGCGCCATGGCCAAAGGGTAAGAGGAAACCACTTATCAATCTCTCGTCAGTTCAATCATGTTAACTTGCTTTATCTAGGAAATCCTCAGGGCTTGCAGCCTCCAAGGCGAACATCGACAAGTCTTTGGATGATCTTTTCGCTAGCAGTGTAAGTCCAAGTTCTGTGATTTCAACATGCGCATTGCGCAGACTGACACGTTGCACAGTCTGGCCCCGTTAAAGCACCTGCTTCTTCTCGATATTCCGAGTTGTTGCCCCTAAAGGAACACAAGCCGCTTGTGCAGGCATCTACGGAGGCAGCTGCAGGCAGCGACGATGAAGATGAGGAAGACGACGAGGAACTGAGCGAACTGGACGAAGAGCTGGATGACGACGAGGACGGACCGTCAGACGGACCGTCAGACGCAGAAGAGGAGGAGGATTCTGCGAGCGCACAAGATGACTCAGAGGACGAAGCCGTGCAGCCTGAGCCGACGAAAAAGGACCGAAAACGAAAGCGCAAGGATGACTTCGAGGATCTGGAAGACAAATACCTTCAAAAGCTTGCCGAGGATGACGAGCACGAGGAGAAGCGACGGAAAGGCGACGCCGAGAGCAGCGAAAAGGTGCCCAGCAAGAAGTCAGAAGCCGGGGCTGATGGAGACGACGATGAGGAGCAAGATGATACACCCATCGTGCATGAGTCGTTGCTTAAAAAGGCCGGCGAGGAAGAACACGCAGATGTAGAGCTCGACAAGGCAAACCGCACATTGTTTCTCGGCAATGTGTCCGCCGAGGCTATCAACTCCTCCAAAGCCAAGAAGGAGCTCATGACACACCTTGCTAGTCCCCTGGCAGATCTGGATGCATCCTCAGGTCCGCATAAAATCGAATCCATTCGCTTTCGCTCCGTCGCCACTGCCGGCGGCGGAATGCCCAAGCGCGCTGCCTTCATCACAAAGTCGCTGATGGAAACAACCACCAAGTCTGCCAATGCCTATGCAGTTTACTCGACACCTCTAGCCGCACGAACAGCGCTCAAGGCACTCAATGGCACTGTTGTCCTAGATCGCCATTTGCGTGCTGACAGTGTTGCGCACCCGGCCCAAATCGCTCACAGACGCTGCGTCTTCGTGGGCAATCTGGGTTTTGTGGACGACGAGACGGTGTTGACGACAGATGCTGATGGAGAGACCAAGACAAAGAAGCGTACCAAGGTCCCAGCTGACTTTGAAGAGGGCCTGTGGCGCATCTTTGGCCAACACGCAGGCAAAGTTGAGAGCGTTCGCCTACCACGAGACCCCAAGACCCGCGTAGGAAAAGGATTTGCCTACGTGCAGTTCTACGACGCAAACGATGTGGAAGGTGCATTGCTGCTCGACGGCAAGAAATTCCCTCCCATGCTGCCTCGAATTTTGAGAGTCAGCCGTGCCAAGGACCCCAAGAAGACAGCCTTGGCTGTGGAGCGGACCAACAAGGCCAAGCTGGAGGCTGCAAAGGGCTCTGATGGTGCTGCCGGCAAACCTAAGAGCACAAAGTATAAGCACAAAGCGACTCCTGAGCAAAAGTCACTGGCAGGAAGAGCAAGCAGACTGTTTGGACGCGCAGGCGCCGCGCGCGAGGCACAAAGACTAAAGGGTGGTGAGAAGAAGCCGAGACACAGGGACAGCAAGGCGGGTGGTGATGGTGTGGATCTGAGCACGATCAAGACGCCGGAACAGATTGTCTTTGAGGGTCGCCGCGCCAGTTCAAAGGATGGCAAGCCAAAGGATCTCAAGTTCGGCAAAGTCAAGGGCAAGAAGAGACCTCCGTTGCAAGCCAAGAAGCGCGGAGCACGAAGAGCCGCAGAGTGGAAAAAGAGTGGTGGTAGAAACTAAAAGGCAGGCTTTTTTTTCTTCTTGTTTGACTACCTATACATACCCTTTTTGCCCCGAGAAATGCCTACCGGACTTGCAACACACCGAGTGCCTAATTTTTGAGCCACCAGCTGTTGTAATGACAAGATGGGAAAACCCATGTCCTATTAATTTGTTTACTTTTAAACAAGAATCTTGCTCTTGCATTGGCGCCGTTGGATAAAACTATAGAACTCCCGGACGAGGCAGAGCTCCGCTGCATCAGGCTGCTGCTGGCTTGCTGACCTTGACAATGAGTGGTTCTACCTTGATGTTTTGTTTTGCTCGGACCCCAACGTGAAAGAAGGTTCTGACTACTTGGAGGTCGTACATACATGGATGGACTTTACATGCGCGGACTCGGATCTACCTACCTGTCCCAGAAATCTGACATTGCCCGACATGCAGGTACACAAACGCACACACATGGTGATTGGGGAGGCTGTGTGACTCTTTTGACTCGGCAAAAGCCATTTCGCGCCTCACGTCCGCATGCCCCTCCAGCTTACCTACCTACCAACATAAATTCTTAGGCACGGCTACATGTGGTTCATACATTGGCATGGTCGTACAAGGCTTGCCTTTGGAGTATGCTACACATCAACGGCAAGGTGTTTCAAGTAAATTTTACAATCCCGAGTGCTGAAAAATCACGTCGCTTGTTTTCGATATGACAAGGCTGGTCATGATGCTTGCGTCTTCTCGCCTCCTCCATATGTTGTTTAGGAAGATATTCGATCATAATTTTCTCTCACTAGTTTCATTGGTCAATTACTTCTTGAGTTTTGGATTTTCGTTCTCGGATCAACTTCAACCAACTTGGCACACACACGATCAATAGAAGGTTCTGCAAATATTGCACAAATATCTGGAACAAACAATAATATATCCATCACGAGTTTAATTTAGCCTTTTCTTGACCAAGAAAGCTCCATTCTATCCTTTACGACTCCAACGTCCATTAGGCTGGTAAGCCAAGCTCCTTTATTTCTGGCCATCATGAGAGAAGCCCCATCAAGAAATGAAGAAGGAAAATTTTGTGAAGCCGTATAAAAACGAAAGGGGTATTGAACATCTGCATAAATAATCCAAAGCCCTGCGTCTAGTACTCGGCCTCCTCCTCCTCGTCGGCGTAGCTGTCGGCAGCAACCTCCTCGTAATCCTTCTCCAGAGCAGCCAGATCCTCGCGGGCCTCGGAGAACTCTCCTTCCTCCATACCCTCACCAACGTACCAGTGGACAAAGGCACGCTTGCTGTACATGAGGTCGAACTTGTGGTCAAGTCGCGACCAAGCCTCGGCAATGGCGGTAGTGTTGGACAGCATGGAGACGGAGCGGTCGACGGAAGCGAGACCGCCATCGCTGGGCGAGGTAGTAGGGACAGCCATGGGCTTCTGGTAGTTGATACCCAGCTTGAAACCGGTAGGGCACCACTCGACCAGGTTGAAAGAGGCCTTGGCCTTGAGCGCGGCAATAGCGGAGTTGCAGTCACGGGGGACAACATCACCACGGTACAGCAGGGCAACGGCCATGTACTTTCCATTGCGAGGGTCACAGACAACCATTTGGTTGTTGGGCTCGAAACCTGTTCTACTTTAGCAACTTTCTCAATTCAAAAGGCCTTTGTGCAACTTACACTGGAAGGTAAGGTCGTGGACCTTGAAGCTCTCGTGAGAACTCTTGTTAGCAGACACCACGGGGGCGTAGCTGATCAAGGGGTAGTGAATACGAGGGTAGGGCACCAGGTTGGTCTGGAACTCGTTCAGGTCGACGTTGAGGGCACCATCGAATCGCAGGGACGAGGTGATGGAGCTGACAACCTGGGCAATCAGGCGGTTCAAGTGCTCGTAGTTGGGACGGGGAATGTCCAAGTTTCTCTTGCAAATATCGTACACAGCCTCGTTGTCAACCAGGAAGGTACAGTCCGAGTTCTCGATGGTGCTGTGAGTGGACAGGACCGCGTTGTAAGGCTCAACAACGGCGGTCGAGACACGGGGGGCCGGGTAGACGGCGAACTCCAGCTTGCACTTCTTGCCGTACTCGGTAGACAGACGCTCGAGGAGGAGAGCACCGAAACCAGAACCAGTACCACCACCGAAGGAGTGGAAGATCAGGAAACCTTGCAGAGCACTGCAGTTATCGGCCACGCGGCGGATTCGGTCCACGACATTGTCGACCATCTCCTTTCCGATGGTGTAGTGACCACGGGCATAGTTGTTGGCGGCATCCTCCTTGCCGCTGATCAAGAGCTCGGGGTGAAAGAGCGACTTGTAGTCACCAGTTCGGATCTCATCAACGGGAGACGGATCAAGATCGACGAAGATGGAGCGGGGCACATATTTGCCGCCGCTGGTCTCGGTGAAGAAAGTCTCGTAGGAACCACCATCAACCTGCTCCTTTCCTTCCTGAGTGACGGGACGACCGTCAGCACCGAGGCCATGCTCGAGCAGGTACCTTTGATTGAACAGGGTCAGTCTACAAGATTTCTTGCATCGCGGGGATATCGAAGGATCGCGGTAATGGTGGTGATATGCAGCGGTGTACTACTTACAGCTCCCAAGCGCTGTTACCCAGCTGGATACCAGCCTGACCGAGATGGAGGTGAAGAATCTACAAACGCGAGAAGATGTCAATCATGTATACTCGAGGAAGGGCGGCATAGCGCTCCTGGGTCGGTGATGATGGCATGGCCGACAAGGCCAATTGCACAAATGACCGAGCAAGCGAATGTTCTTTGGCCTGGTCATTTTCCAAGCATTTAGGGGAAAGGGAAGCAAGTTCATTTCACTGCGGGGCAGCTCTTTGTTTGTTTGAGGTCCAATTTCAAGAGAGTAGACAAACAGACTTACCTCGCCCTTCATGATGAATAGTGGTACTGGCAGAGAGATTGAGGTACGACGATGGTCAATTGGAGGAGTCGGAGAGTAGGACGAACGGACTGGAGTCTCGACGGAACACTGCGCACAGCGCTTGCTGAGTTGGAACAAACAGGAATACAAAAGGAGGTGTGGACTCTATTCAATTGCAATAGTTTTGTGTGGAGTTTGGGACTTGTGTCTGCTAACGCAGCTGGGTGAGGGGCGGGCGATCCCTGAGAGGTTGTGGTCGTTGGCTTGCAGGCACTTGGTGGAGGGGTAGGTGGTAGCACGGCAAGCGGGCATTGAGTTTTGGGGGGAGGTTTGTTAGGGAGCTGGTTCTTTCTACCGGCAGCGGTTGACGCTGGATGGAGGTGCTGCTCCAGGGTTTGCCAGGCGAGCCAGGTACCTGCTAACAGACACACCGCTCCCACGACACGCCAATGAAAGGCAGGGGTCCTTCCTAACACGACGCTAGACAGGGTCCATCAACTCATTGGCCCCACCTAAGCTCCCTGGCTTTTGCCCTGTGATAGCCGAGGCCTGCACCTATCTCCAATTGCCATTGGCTGCCGCAAGTGATTTCTTGGTAGCACAAGCATTCAAAAACGAATCATCGTCGACAGTCACAGCAGCCGCTTGACTCTGGTCTCGAACACGCACTGCTGACTACACAGCACATTTCTCTTCAGACTGCGATCCTCAGTACATTATAGCATATTCAATGGAACATATTGACAGAAAGAATATACAATAATCAGAATAAGAATTGTTATATTGATATTGAGACGCTATTCCAGTATTGGTGGGTAAAGCCGGCAGCTTGTACCAGCGTGTACCAGCTATACTTGATCATCGCATTGAAGAGAGTTGGAGTACGATTCTTATGCTTATTAAAGTCGATATCCCTCTCAAGATTGATTTGTTCAATTTTTTTATTGCAGCTCTTTCTGTGGCGGCGACATGATAGATTCTTCTTGGATGAGCTCATAGAGAAAGGCTTCTGCAATGGAACTGGGAAACTGACAGTGGCACGAGTTGATATGGAACACTGATTGGGCCACGACATTCTACATGAACCGCCTTTGATCTACCGCTTCAAGGAAAGTGAAAGGTGTTCGTCTTGAAGTCATCGGGCTGACCGGGAGAACATGAATGGCTTTGAACATGTCAGCCCTTCTGAATCTTGTGATCTAGTGCTTATCGCTCTGCGGATGCCAACCTCAAGATCTGTATATAAAGCTTATATTCACTCATGCATCGTGATCTTGGAAATTTGCGCAAGCCTAACGTTTCTGCCTTCAATACTCACTCAAGTCCATTTTTCATGGTCTATGTTCTGCAATGACATCTGCTCAGGACAAATTCAGAATTCTCATTATTGGCGGAGGTAGGCATACCAAGTACTAAAGTTCACGTGTACAGAATGAGAATGTGCGTATTGTTGACAACGAGGCACAGGAAATTGTGGTCTTTCGATTGCCCAGGGATTGAAAAAGGTTCAAATCAGCATTCTAATTGCCTTCTTCGCACGACTGATATCTCGAAAAGGCGGGCATATCTTACACCATCTTTGAACGCGATAGCGAACATGACTTTCTAAAGAAAGCTCGAGATTGGGGTGTGTTAATTCCTTCAGACTCAGATCGACGCCTCATGCTATGGCATTAACATGACATCGTAGGTATGTTGCTACACTGGGGGGCTAAACACCTAGAAAGTCTCGTCCCGCCTCATCTACGAGCCCGGATCAAAGAGCCCAGAGTTGATCCTCACCACGAAATGACGGAGCCGATACCATACATTAATGGGAAGACTGGAGAAATCATTGGCACAGTCTACACCGAGGGCATTACGCGTGTCTCGCGAAAGAAGCTGCGCCATTTCCTAAGTCATGGCGAAGATCTAGACATTAGAGTAATTGTTATTGCAACACCGGTGATCGCAAGGGGAGTTTAGAATGTCGCTGACGGCTCTCCGTGACAGTACAATAAGCGACTCCAGCGTCTCACCTTTGACGATTCCGAGAAGCATGTGACGGCATATTTCGATGACGGTAGTCAGCACAGTGGAAACATGGTTATTGGCTGCGACGGCTCCAGGTCCAAGGTTCGAGAGTACATTGTGGGCAGCGAGGCGGCCAAGCAACAAGATCTTGGCATCACAATGATCAATTTTCCCAGCTCACATTATATCAGAGAGCAGGCGATCCGAAATAGAGACCACCATCCTATACTGAAACTATCATTTCATCCAGAACTGCCTGGTACCACTCTTTTGGCAGGTCAGTAAACCTTTGTGATCGCTGGTTTCCTGCGGCAGGATTGAGGACTGAGGCGGTCAGAAAACTCCGAGGTACATGATTGCTAAATAAATATGCACAGCCCTTGATACATCTTCTCCAGATCCATCAGACTGGAAATTTCAGGTATTTTCAAAAAACGCAAGAGTCAAAGATATGATACTGACCGCAACGCTTTAGAATTACACCTCATGGTGGGGATCTCCGTCAGCACACGAACTACGTGACCCCAAAGTGAGGTTGGATTTCTATCGAGACCATATGAGTAAATTCTGCGAGCCCTTTCGATCAGCTGCGCTGGGCGGCGTGGTCTCGGACATGACGAATGGCTCGGAAGCGGCGGGCGAGGCCGGCGAAACCGTCGAGAGTGAGGTCGTCCTTCCCATCTACGCCGGCCAGCAGTGGTCACCCTTGACGCCAAGAACCTGGGACAACCACAACGGCAGAGCGACGCTCGCCGGCGATGCCGCACACAGCATGTTGCCTGACCGTGGCCAAGGACTCAACAACGCTCTCGCCGACGCCGACTACGTCGTCTCGGCGCTGAGGTCAGTGGTCGTCGACAAGGAACGCACTTTGGGCGAAGCAATATCGGCCTATGAAGATGAAATGCGCCCACGCGGCGGAAAGGAGGTCGAGTTGAGCTTTGAGCAGGCCCTAAGATCCAAGGATGTGAAGTCCATGGCCAAAGATGCTCCTATTTTCCGCGTCGGGCATGCACGACAGTGAGTGATGTTTATGAGCTATTCGGCCCTCCAGGAAGAGACGGAAAATGCCAAGATCGCTACCTCGTACTTGTCAGTCTTTATATACAGGCAATGCAGAGCTCGACTTTGATTTCAGCAAATTCATTCCGCTGTTCTCGGCCAATGCGTGTTTGTGATCAGATGATGCAGACTGTCGCAAAGAATCTGAGACTGTTGACAAACACAATAAAGCTATGGCCGGTAGAATAGAAAAATATTTGAATTGGTTCAACTTTCCAATTCCTCATAAATCACATGAATGGGTATATCATCCTCATCAATCATCGCTGTTATCAAACAGCGGCTGCAACGCTGCTTCGTCTCCTTCCTGCCCGTCTAGCATCTCTTCCACCATGGCCTCAATGTCAATTTCTGTGTTGTTGCGACGACTGACTTCCTCCATACCTTCGCATGCCGTATCAGCAAAGCGATGTAGCTCATCGACCGTGTGCTGGTTAAAGTTGGGAAAGTAACCGTCAATAGTCTTTTGCCAGCACGAGGTGTTATTGTTGTTGACATCGGAGAGATATGCGACTGCATCCCAGTCCCGTCTTCGGATACGAGATGGTCTTTCCGTGTCGGCATATGCCCAAGTACAATCCACTTCCTCTGGCCAATACTCTGTATCAACACTCTGACTATCCTTGAACTGTTTCATGCCCATGGCCACCTCCACGAACCGTTGATCTAGGCTCCTCCCACGGCCATTGGGATCGTGTAGATCGTATACAGGCCAAACGTTGGGCCTCAAGCCGACGTGGTATTGATCGTAGCCAATGTTGGTCACTCGACAGACACGCAGTTTAATATTCAATTCCCGAATAGTCATAGCGATCCACCTATGATTCGTTGGCGGATGCACATTTGGATACCCGATCCACAAATTTTTGTCCAAATCTTCGGGCTCGTGTGAGTTGTAGATAGTTTTGAGGTAGACGTGATTTAGAATCAGCTCCTGGAGGGAACTTCCAAAGCATTTGAACAGAGATAGAAAGCCACAGGGCTGAATATCAACGCGTCTAAGTTCAAGCGAGGCGAGATATGGTAGAACAGACTTGGGTGGTTTCCGTATGGTAGGGATAGATCTGAAATTCCAGTCGCTCAGTGTACAGTCACGCTGTGACGTGCGCTTGACCTGCTGGAATGGCAACTCATCCATGTTCAAGCTAATCAGACACAGGCTCTTGAGCATGGTAGCCTTGCCAATCATCTCCCATAGTCGCTGTTGAAATCCAATCGTGTGATATCTTTCGCCTTCATGTCTCCGGACGGACATGAGCAGATGCTCAAGGCTGGCGAACGAGTCCATGATATTTTTGATGTCTTGAGGGTTTCTCCATAGCCTGACGATTCCAATGTCTGTCAGATTCTCCATGACCAGTGTCTTGAGAGGTGCCGAGTCTTCTGGTCTCCTTGCGAGAGCTTCAAATGTGTTTCCTAGAAGCATAGTCGAGGCATGAACATGTTTAGATATGAGCTGAAATGGAAGATTCAACCGCACCGCCTCCACGTTCATGGCCTGTTCAAACATGGTACCTAGATGGTCGCGGTAGTCGGCCTCTGTGAAAGATTCCTCGTTCAAGCAATACTGGTCGTAAAGGCCTTGAACAAAAGACTCCATGGAGGGTATCTTTTTGAACAATTTGCCAAGATACTCAACTTCGCCTGCAGATAAGATATCAGTACTGTATGGGCTAAGTCACAACTATCTCGAGAGTAGACAGACCTTCGTCTCGTATCAACATCATGTCCAGGTAGAGAGCCCGGCAATGAGGACCAGCTCTCGCCAATGCAGACGGGTCTGCTGAGAGCTGCGGCGATCGCATGAGTCTCGTGCAATCGACCTGGAGCGTGTGGAGGCCATATGGCTTTAATATCTCGTCGAACAGCCGACATACTGTCCGTAGCTCCAAAAGATCATTCTTCTTGTTGTAGTGGTTCGCGACGCAATACTCCAGAATGGTAATGAGGATCTCGGGCGGGAGCCTTGTCACGATCATGGCGGCAGGGATCGGTGGTTGCCTGCCCGGCGCATCTGTTTCGTGGACCGCTGTCGGTAAGTCGATCGAACCAGGCGGCTGGTTCTATCGTCGATAGTTCCACAGGACGAGGGGGAAATCGTGACGGCGCGTGTCCGGTGGAATCGGATGTGGTATCGTTGGTTGGTTGGTTGCGGTGGGAAGTTGAAGCTGTCCACTCAACTGTTCAGAGCCCTGCGAGTTTGGAGTTGGGGGGTAGCTTACCCAGGCCAGGCCAGTGCATCCCTGTAACTCTCCGCTGTACATGTAAGCTGTGGATTACATTAGCGACAAGGAACCCCCAGCTTTCAAATTGACTTGGGCCAGCAAGCGAGCGAGCGGGGGGTCGACATGTCACATTGATGGTTGTAGGTTACACAATGAGCCAAAGTCTCCACATGAAAGCTGTATCATTTCTCGTATTACAAAGTATAACCGTTTCTTTTCTTATTGGGAAAAAAAGAGAGAGGGAAAACAAGGGAAGGAGTTATTATAGAAGCTTATTTTTTAATACTTGTATATTTGCCAATTTATAAAACAGAAGAGAAACTTGCAAGCGGTACGCAAACTTCTGCCCATCCAGTGTACCTATCATATCATATATAATACATGCATATATTATAGAATATTTACCCCGAATAAGATTCGATATGTGAAGTGAGCGCGCGCTCTTTTGAATCTTTTTTTTAAACAAAACCAAGTACTGCTCACTATTAAAGAATCGAAATCTATCGCCGGATATGTTACCAATTATAATATGAGGTAGGCGCTCAAACTGCGGCGGCATGAGCCAAGATGGCAAAGGAAGAGGTGACATTCGACAAGACCTTCCTAGGTTTCAACTGTGGACAGGAAGGAGTTCAAATAGGCTATCTGGATGAAAAAATAAAGAAACGAGAGTCTACAAGCCCTGGTCTTCAAATGTCCTCCTCGTACACTCTCTGACGGAATCAAACAGACTCCCATTCCCTGGAAAGGTGAAAATGTTCTTTTCCACAGCCCAAACAAATTAAAGGAGAGAACTTTCAAACCACAGGACCAGCCGCTCCTGAGTAGAACTACATATTCAAGTAGTTCTGGAGAGTGTCTATTCCCAGACGCCAAGCACTATGTACCAAGAGAAATTGGTAGAGTCGAGGCATAATGTGGATTCTAGACCCAATGAAGAGTAGATACATCACGAATTCATCCACTTGAGCCAACAGCCTTGGGATTAACTCCTTGAGCTTAGGTTTTTGCCAATGATAAAGATGAATGTCAATTCTATTTTATATATACACACAAACCTAGCATTATGGGCTACGGTGACCAAGTGCTTAATCTGGCTTGTCGGTCACGCTAGCGAACATCCATTAGCACCGCCACGGCCGCTGGCAAGAGAATAGTATCAAAAAAGACGTAGGATTCATCTGCCAGGAGACAATTAGAGAGATGAAGCACATGGGGAAATCATATGCTGTATTGAAGAGCTTGCTGAATATAGCAGTACTGGTGCACAACCCGTAAGCGGGCATTGCCTGGGCAGTGCCGCGGTTTCACTTGAAAAATAGTTCAGTCTAAGAATAATGAACCCATTAAAATCCTATAAACGCCATGCTTGTTTCTATAGCTGCCAGCCAACCGAACCATGAACGCCAATGCCAAAAGCAAGAAGCTGCCAAAGTGTCCCCGAATATGTTCACCCCATTAGAGATCAAGGAAGTCTCAATTACAGAGTTACCTCGATACTCCCGTCCTCTTGAATAAAGTCAGAAACACCATACCTCTTGGCGCCAAGGCTATACACAAAACAACAGTCAGCGGGGGCTCTTTGGAAAAGTCAAGTTACAGACACATACCTCCACTCAAGATTACCAGTATTCACCATTCGGAACAGGTCAATGACTTTTGATAGAGCCTGGCGCGTCTCTACATCTTCCACAACATCTTCGAGCAGCATCATGGCTGTGCTGTCATAGACCTCGACGAGCTGCTGGATGTGATCCACCGACAGCTGCACGGCCAAGTCCAGGTCGTTGGACGCGTGGAACATGATGGCCACGGAGCTCAGGACGCTACCGGCACGCATCTCCTTCTTTAGCGAGATCAAGTCGTTGACGCTGTTCAACATGGGAATGTCAATATTGATACCATCATGATGAGATTATACTCGGAAAATGACTTACATTGAATTGATCACAATAGTAGACAGCCACAGCGTCTCGTAGGCTCTTGATGTGACGACGCTCATGGGAAGCTTGACTCCGAGAGCAAATCTGGAAAGTACATTAGATGTCTGAACCTATGAGCCATATTGTTTCACAACTTACTCTGACATTCCCAGTAGTGTGCCCATTCCACTGGTAAGAGTCCTCACCTCCCAGTACCTCTCCAGGCTGGGGACTGATTCACTCTTCTCAAACTCAGTTTCTACCCTCGTGGCGTCGATATACTGATCAAAGTGTCTTAAAAGTTCTTCTCTTTGTTCTGGCTTTAATGTCAGTTCCCATTTCCAACTTGCAACATCAAGCCAATTTTCTTACCAATATCATAAGCACCCCGGATCTTTTCGGCAATTTCTCCAAAATTCCTTATCAGGGGATTCAGGGGCGCTGGCTTGCTCGCCTGGTTGGACAATCCAAAAGTCTGAGCAACAAAGGTCTTTGTGGCGCATCTGAACTCTTCGGCTTCGTCTGGATCCTCGAGCCGCTCAACATAGTCGTCCCAAATGCCGAACCATATGGTCAAATCTGTCATGACTTGGAAAGCTTCCCAAGTTGATGTGGGCCACCATCTTTTTCCCTGGGTGTTAGTGGATAGTACAAATCAAAGCATGCGTAAAGCTTTTCTGTCTCACCTGGCTGCTAATAAAGCTGGATCTGCGTCCTTGACGGCTTGTTGATGTTTTGCACTTGGGAGTATGCTATTGTGTAGTGTGAGTACGATATTAATTTTGTGTGTGAACCGGGCATAAGTCATACTGAGGTAGCTTTCTGTCAACCACATCCTTCATCCGGCCATAGTTTTCATTTGCCAAACTTGGCCAATGTGAGAAGATGGGCTTGAGATCAGGAATCACCAGCTTCTGGCCCTTGAGCCTTTTGGCCAGCACTTGTGTTTCGAGCTGATGAGGCATTGTGTAGAACCCAAAGTATCGGAAATGGTATCAATAGAGAGCTTTTCTAAAAGAACAATGCTCAGTTTTCTATGGGAATTTTCTCCTTGGACTACTAAACTTGTAAGTGGTGAATCTGGTCTCTATATATACATTTTCGCTATATAAACATTTGAAAGATGGGTGAAGGCCTCCATGTCTCTCTCTCTCTTTCTCTCTCTCTCTTACACACACACACACAAGCCAATATCAAAAACAATTGATGCGGCCCGCCTGGCGTACCAGCTCGATCGAAAACCGGGATCTCCAGCTCACAAAGTCCCCATATTGCATTTACTAGCTCGACAAAGACTCCGTCCGGAGCTGAAGGTTGATTGCACTGCAACGGAGTTTTTACAATCTCGATATAATACACCGCCGCGCTACCGTTGTCCTACAAATGGGAGTTCGCAGAGTCGACTACTACTGTCTCTGTCCAGCCCACAACGCTCAGCCTCATACTCCATAAGAGGATATTCAGCTGCCTGCATGCTGGCCGCAAGCTGCCGATGGCGTTTTAGACCACAGCTGAGCAGTGGGGTCGGCTTTCCGCATCCGGCAAAACAGGCGCTATCGGGAGAGGGCCGTTGGGATATAACCCCAGTATAGTCATGATCTCTTGTGCCTAGAAGCTTTTGAGGGTCTCCATACTAAGATACTACCCGTGTTCAATTCTGCAGCGATGTCGCGGCATGCTGCAGGGGTGAGCTGATTAGAAGCCTCAGAAGGTGATGCCGTCTCCGTTGGTTCCAGACAGACGGGACGTGGCCCTCTAATTGGGACACTACGCCTGGTGATTGGATGCGCACCGAGTATGAGTATGTAGTCTGTATGGGTCTCGACCACTACATGATTGAAGACATCTTTTCAGACGCTTCGGATGCCCGTAATATTGCGCCCGAATAGATGCATGCACCCCAAACCTCAAAGCACTCGGCCTTCCATGAACTCTATGTGGCCAGCAATGCCAAAGGCCAGCTAGCCCTATGGACACGCCATTGGTGCTGCAGATGTAGGACTGGCAGGTTCAGCTTGCTGTTGAGTAGCAATCGAGATGTGCTTCTGAGTATGGTCCGTCATTGCCAGGTGCAGCACAGACCGCACATTCCGAAACTTCATCATGGTAGAATGCAAAATCTAGATCTCGTATCACAGCTACCGGATCTAGACTCGATTGAGCTTTTTGAGGTTGAATCCGGCGACACAGTCAGCACCCGTGTAGAGCTGAAAGAAGTTTTGTGCTATGAGACAGTCAGCAGAATCTGATTGCACGCCTGCCAACCACGTGCCTGTGGCTGATCAAATTCGACCAATGCGTTTTGTGCATTGCCATGGGAAATCTTTAGGCTTTGCTCTCTGCTGGTTGATTCGTAGTCTTCCTGCAAGCTGCCGGCGAAACATGTCCGGAGTGGCCAACATGTCCTGAAGGCATATCCGACTGATCGCGACATTGTTGTTGCATATGGCAACAGGCGCAGCACACAAGGCGTTACTTAACAACTTTCCTCGCTTAGAGATTGTGCCGAGCAGCGAGACCCGGGCTTTGGCCCATTTTCCAATCTGTCTCGTGCACAGTGAAGCACAGGTCCTATCCCCCTTCCGTGCTTGAATGGGCAGGTGTCTATTTTCAACATGGCATCGGCATTCTAGGTTATCAGAATGTCCCTATTCTGCAGACCGTCTCAAGTCGCGAAAAGGTTTGGGGGCAGATAGGGAAGCCAAGGCGCCAAAACGCCAAAACGCAGGAGACTTTCTGGGGATTCGGCATTCGGCGGCTGAATGTTGCCATTCGTTGATGATCTGTATGGTGGGCGTATGTACCAATAATAGAAAGCCAATGATCTCGTGCTTTGTATACCTACCAAGACCCCAGACTACCATTTTAGGATGCCACGTTTGATATAAAAGCTGGTTTTTGTCAGCATTCATTCATGTGATCGACCATCAACGGGGGGATTGATTGACTGGAGGTTTACATAAAGAAATACTGGTCTTGCGGCTTGCGGCGCTTGACAGCGGCTTTTAGTGCCAGTCCTGCGCGCACTACCTCTAGAATACTGTACTTCGTACGTACAAACAATTGGCGACCACGTAAAGAAAACTGCCATGGTATGGGTCTTAGTCTGAGCAGTCTGGAAATTTCTTCTTTATCATCGCACTTTACCGAGGGTTCGGTTGCTTCGACTCATCTGATACACGTGCTTATATTCGCCATACACAGTCGACAACACGATTGCTTTGATGCGTGATATTTCAAAGCGATGGTCGTAGTGAAACATACTCTGTGCCCATGTACTGGGTTAATAATGTAGCTTTTGGCCGGTGATCTTCAGGGTCCGGCGCCATTATGAGCCACCACCGGTAAATCATAAAGGCCCCTCCTCCACTGGAATGGTTGTATTGCCACGCCTTCCCGTCTGTTTGCTTGCCCAATATCCATATCCAGTCCATACGGTCACAACATTTCTCGGGAGTAGATTAGTCAGAACAGGTACACAACCACATGAGATGACTCAATAGCTCAAGGGAATAATTACACTAGGAACCTTACTGCTGCTTCCTTCTCTTTGTGGCTTTCGGCGCCCAGAATTGCGTGATTGCCTTTGAACACCTTGATGCATTTTCCCGCCTTCACTAATATAATAAGATGACGGAATTTGCTGGAATGATGATGCTTATAAACCACAGCATAACTGTCAGTAGCTGATTCTCCCATCCTGTCAACATTAGAGAATATTATATATATATATATATATATATATATATAATAGAGCCCAGCCCATGCCCACACGCCAGTCCCTGTAGCCGTCGAAAGACACTTCCCACATGCTTGTTTAGGCCATCCTCCGTCTTCTCTCTCGGTTCGCTCTCGGCTCCATCCGCGTAACAATTACCAATAGCTTGCCCATTCTCACACCTTTTTTTAGGTTATAAATACTGAAGATTTCTTGCAACAACCGCATCCAAGCCCGCCTGCTGCTTTGCCCGGCATTGTTTAGTTGCTCTTGTGAATCTACTGTCCCGACTCCCGCGACCAGGAGGAGAATTTCAACAACTCCCAATTACGTACGCATTTTTCAACAACAAGAACAGGTACCACTACAATGACAGTCCCCGTTGAACACCCCGTGGCTACCCCGCCGCGGCCAGCATCGCCAGTCTATGGCTTTGGCACCCTCGCCGTCCATGCGGGCGCCCCTCATGATCCCTCTACCGGAGCTGTGATTGAGCCCATCTCGCTATCCACCACATTTGCTCAGCGCGATGTTGGCCAGCCCATTGGTCTTTATGAATACTCGCGGAGCTCCAACCCCAACCGCGACAGCTTCGAGCAAGCAGTCGCCGCTCTAGAGCACGCAAAGCACGCCCTTGCCTTTGCTAGTGGAAGCGCCGCCACTGCCACCATTCTACAGAGTTTGGCCTCGGGAGCTCACGTCATCAGTGTTAGCGATGTCTATGGCGGCACTCACCGTTACTTTACACAGGTGGCCAAGGCCCACGGCTGCCAGGTCACATTTACGCCCCAGATTGAGGTCGACATTGCCGACCACATTACGGACAACACCAAGCTGATCTGGATTGAGTCGCCCAGCAACCCTACGTTGCGCCTTGTAGACATTAGAGCAGTCGTCACGGCGGCGCACGCCCGCGGTGTTCTCGTGGTGGTGGACAACACATTCCTCAGCCCTTATGTACAGAACCCCCTGGATCACGGCGCAGATATCGTCGTGCACAGCGTCACCAAGTACATCAACGGCCACAGCGATGTTGTCATGGGCGTTGTTGCCGTCAACTCGGATGACCTCAGGGCACGTCTAGCATTTTTGCAAAATGCCGGTGGAGCAGTCCCCTCGGCTTTCGACTCGTGGCTGGCTCACAGAGGTATCAAGACACTTCACCTCCGTGTGAGGCAATCCAGCATCAACGCCTTGACTATTGCAACGGCACTCGAGGCCAGCCCCCACGTGATTGCGGTCAACTACCCGGGTCTGGATTCGCATCCCCAGAGGGCCATCGCGCTCAAGCAGCACCGTGAGGGTCTCGGAGGTGGTATGCTGTCTTTCCGGATCAAGGGTGGCAGAACCGCCGCCGAGCGATTCTGCAAGCTTACAAAGATTTTCACTTTGGCTGAAAGTCTCGGCGCCGTCGAGAGTCTTGTCGAGTTGCCCAGTGCCATGACACACGCTGGTATCCCCAAGGATCAGAGAGAAGCTGTTGGTGTCTTTGATGATCTTGTGCGTATCAGCACTGGTGTCGAGGACTCGCGGGACTTGGTGCTGGATATTCAGCAAGCCTTGGTCAAGGCAGTTCTGGGAGATGAAATTACTAATGGTCAATCCAACGGCGCAAACGGACATGGAGCTCACTAGACTGCCTACCTGCTACCCGGGTAAGGTTCAAAAGTATCAGGCGATTCTTGGTTTCAAAAGCATCATATAGACTAAAATGAGTCAGCCTCTAGTTGCTGCTCATTGATACAATTGATTTGTTTTGCCGAAATCATTTGTTGCATCATTGACAAGCCATTGGAATGTGATAGTGGATGGATCACTTGCAATGTGTATGTGATAATGTTCCCAGATCCTATCCTTGACCTTTGATGCATTATCATAGAGACCACATTTACAATCGGCGAGCCCTGTTGACTTTGGGGTGCAAGGCGCAGCTGGCATTGCATTCTGGGGATACTTATCTGCCTTGGAGTATCTGTGTCTCGAGTATCTCATAATTATCAAGTAATCCTTGGCCGGGCTTGTAACCGGGGATCTTCAACTAGCCAAAAAGTCATATATAAAGGTCGTTCGACGTGACAACATTCTACACCCCCATATCAGGCCATGCAGAAAGGGAGTGTGTGGTGACCCATCATACGCTTTTTTTTTTTTTTTTTGTTAGAAATGAGTTTCCATATGTTCGCAAGAGTTTATAGTGTCAACTACGGTAGACTCATTCACCTTGACAAATTCGAAGGAATTCGTGAGCCATTGAATGAGATTCCCCAGGTCTCGTTATTAACCCACGAAATTACATAGCAATTTGTGGGTATTGATCACTCATATTGACACCCGTGGCTTACCTGTCTATGGTGGGCTTTCGCGGGCCGGCAACATGATTCAAAAGAGTCAAGCAAGAGTCTGAACTCACATGGTAAAGAATTCACCACCCAAGTCGAATAATTCATCCAGCTTCAAATCAAATAGACAACATATTAGACCGGAGGACATCAAGCGTTATATATCGCAACAGATACTCCGTCTTTCTCTGATCCATAGTAATACATCAAAGTTCACTGCTGCAAACTTGATCTCAACTTCACTAACTAGTCAATTATGGTATAGTTGCTACCATACACGGATTTCTGCTCTGTACCAAGAGGTCGACGCCCTGAAAGTTGTGTTCGTAGTATCGCAAAAGCTGCCAAGAACAAGTATCGTATCGCCCTTCCCGATGATGACTTTGTCTACCATTCAACTATGTTATAATGTAGGTAAGATATTTGCGACAACCGTAAAGACCATGAGCAGGACTAATTCGGGCATTGATCGCCGGCTAGGTGGATAGTAGAATGCTCAATGACGAAAGGCATATGGGTATCGACGATGACTGCGCAACAAGGAAAAGGGCTCCAAGAGGCACAAAGAGCTACTTTTGGGATGAGCATAGTATAGACAACTCATTCTTCACAGATACCCGATGAATTGAGTGACTGCTCTTCGATTATATCAATTGACATTGAATACAACGCCACGCCAAATGGCACCTCTCGAGTGCATGCTATAAGAACTAATCTCCGCACAAGACTTGAATGTCTCAGTTCTAGAACAAAAGATTTTGTATACGACCTATGCAATGGAGGTCGATGTCCACAAAACTGACAATGATCAATTGTTGGACTATTGATAAAGGTGTCGTTGATCGGTGGCCAAATCTCGGTAATCGCGTCCTCGACATCTCATCTAGTCCAATAATGACGACAAAAAGTAAAAAGGGGATGAGGATCAGATAATGATCTGCAAGGCACCAGGTTGCTTGGAGCACATTTTTATTACCATAGTCAATCTCCCAGCTCCATTTGTCATGACCCAAAAAATAACCTCACGAACCCCCCGGTCAATACAATCGGCAATTGGTGCCACAAAAGCGCAAACCCGGACCGAAGGATATTCATTCAACCTCCACATTCCTCGATCCGCAGCGTCCGCAGCCTAGGGAGTTCCCGCAGCATCCGGCCTGAGAATAAGCTCGACCACCTTACAAACTCTCCATCCCCCAGGCATTTTTATATGGGGAGATTTTGGAGATGGTTAGACCGACAGATGGACTAATTCTCATAATGCAGCCTGTCGGTCGGCCGTGCCTGCATTGCTGACAAGGAAGCGGACATTCTAGGGCCTCATTCTGTGCACTGCGCTCACTACACTAGCGGATGATCGAAGGGAATTTGGAATAGTTGCTGTACAGTTGAACCTCGTAACCCCTTCGTGTCGTCATCCAAGCTTCATTTCCTCTCTTCTCCCCGTGCCAGTTCTTACCCTGTATACAGAAGTCCCCCACAAGAGCTTATTAGTGTAATGAGCAGCACCATACCCAGTACGCCTTGTTTGGACTTCCGACGGGGTGGCTTGGGCCCGGATTTGTAGATCTGGTCATGGCCGAGACAGAATTTGGAATTGACTTTACTCGTCCCCAGAGTATTTAGATGTGATGGATGCCCCCCTGTGAGATCCATGGTCTGTGTTTCGTGTTACCTCGCAAACTCAAATCTACGACTCCTGTGTAGACATGGCCCGAAGTAACACCCTATTGCTATCCCTCACGGCGGCCGCCCTCGCCACCACGGCTGCCGGCCGACAATGCCAGAATCTCACGATTCCAGTGACGGCCTCGGCGAGAAATGGAGTCTTTGGAATCGAGGCGCCCCAAACTAATATTGACGTGACGAATTTCATGCTCGATCTCAGCCAGGTCGGCAACAACTTGACCGAAAAGCTCCTGACTGGCTATGCCACCGTCTCGGGAACCTGCAACGTTGCGGCCACATACTGCGAGCCCGATTCTGGCCCGGGCAAGGCCCTCCAGGTCCTGGTCCATGGAATCGGCTTCGACCGATCCTATTGGGACTTTCCCGCCGACAACTATAATTACAGCTACGTGGACCAAGCCCTCGCAGCTGGCTACTCGACGTTTGCCTACGATCGCCCAGGCATTGGACAGTCCCAGCACGGCGACCCAGTCAACGAGATCCAGTCGTTCCTCGAGCTCGCCGTGCTCATCGAGCTGACGTCGCAGCTGCGTGCTGGTCAGGTCGAATCCGTCGCCACGTACGACAAGACGGTTCACGTCGGCCACAGTTTCGGATCAATCCAAACTTACGGCCTCGCGGCCCAGCGTCCAGAGCTCACTGATGCCATTGCTCTGACGGGTTTCAGCCAGAACGGCTCCTACAATGCAGAGTTTGCTCTCGGCGGCAACTTTGTTCAGGCCAACAGCATCCCCGCCTTGGGCGACTACCCGGATGGATACTTTGCATCCGGCTCCGAGACTGGCGTGCAGATCAACTTCTTTGGCCCTGGCGACTTTGACCCGGCCATTCTGAAGGCTGCTTACAGCACTGGCCAGCCAGTTACTGTCGGCGAGCTGCTCACTCTTGCTGGCCCCGCCTCAGTGCTCAACACCTATCCCGGACCAGTGCAAATCGTTACTGGAGGTGAGTAGTGTTTTTTGCCTTCCTAATCCATGAGATCAGTATTGATAGTCTTCTTTCCTTTAGAACGTGATATCCCATTCTGTGGTGGAAACTGCAGCGTGACCACTCCATCTGTTCCGGAGCAAGCTGGGCAATATTTCCCCAACGCCACCTACTTTGATGCCCTTGTCGTCCCTGGCGCTGGCCATGGACTCAACTTGGTAGGTCATGAGCATTTATTTTTGCTTCTTCCCCGATCCAAGTTCCTTGGTAGCCAAGATACTAACACCAGTTCCAGGAGTACACATGGCCGGTCACTTACAAGACCATACTTGATTTCTTTGACGAGCACTTGTAGATGTCATCATTGATATCAGGATAGACAAAAAAAGGTTCTTTTGCAGCCTAAAAAGAAATTTTTTTAATACTTTGGCAACATAACCAGAAATACCCAGAATAATGTGAACATGCCCTATCAAGCAAGTCGCCCGTAAGTGTATGTATGTGTGAACTGTATGCAACGAGGTACTGCACACATACACGGCACTCATGTCTGACCAGTGAAAGCAAATCAAGAAGCAGAAAAAGAAAGAAGAGTAAGAACAGACAGAAACGTACGTTGTAAATTCCCCCGGCTGATTCACATTGCGCAAATTGTGCAAAGCAGTGCAAGTGTATCCCATAGCGATGTGTACCCTGACTTGAATTGCAAAAACAGAATTAGACCAAGTACCTTAGGCGAATGCAGTATCGCCTCATCGACGGCGCCATTAGCGGGTGTTCTTGCCTAAAATCACTGGAGTCAATGGCTGTGGTTGGCCGCTGAAGACCCCTGAATTACAAGCACGGGCCATGGCTGTAGCCTAACGACTGCCTGCCTGCCAACCTCCAAGGTACCTGCATACCAACGTATCGATCAATCACAGCTAGATTATAAGGTAACTAACAGTAGTGCTGCCTTGTAACGGTATTCTTGTACTTGCTCAAAAGGCGCGACTTGAACCTGGGAAATTTAAACACACCACAAAGAAAAGGGAGAGTGCAGCGTCAAAGAAAAACTCAACCTGTGAATCACAAACGGCCACCATGTTCACTCACTGTTCTTGCCATCAATAGAGGCAGAATACGGACTGCTGGTGTTACTATTTAGGCGTTTGTTTGCCTCGCCATTGTACAAGTTGTTTCCAGCTGTTACTGTATCTTCTTTGCCATCCACCATCATTGAGCTGAGCACAGAACAACAAACATGGAAGCTTCCACCACAACAGACCACGATATTCCGGGTATCTTGCGTATGCCTTTGGAGCTTCTCCAGCTAGTCACTCGCCATCTTACCACGCCCGACTATGGACACCTTCGCCAGACCTGCAAGCATCTCGATGCCGCTCTCTACGGTGGCTTCACCAAGGAGTTCTTTAGGAAGAAGCAATTCAGTAAGCCATTTAGAGCGCCAATCTCTAATTTTCATCGACCTCCCTTTCAAGCACACGTTTCTCCCGTAATGGCCTGACCCAACAGTCTCTTGTTAAATGCTCAGTGGCCTAGCCGCAATTCATGCATGCATTCATACACAAAAGAAATCGCTAACTCATTTTAAAGTGCTCTCTCCATTTAGCCTGCAAGCTCTGATCGACATTTCGAATTCAAGACTTGCAAATGGCTTGCAGCATGTCATCATAGGGACGGAGCGGCCCTTGGAGACAGACCGATATGTCTCATCTCTAGGCTTTGGCGCCCATTCACCTCTGCAGAGGAACAGCTTTGTCAGGCATCTTGAAGACCATTTAGCCCTTCTTTCCTGTGGATACGACATCCAGATGATGTCTGAGGCTTTTGCTAAACTGGCCAACCTGGAGATTGTCGAAATTCGTGATTTTGCTTCCAGTCGCCCTCGGGACGGTACGACTTGGAAGAGCTATGGCTTCGCTACGTTCCAGACAGAGACCGGCTTGACAGTCAGCCGTCGCGCGCTGGTCCATCATCCCAACGTGGACCAAGACTATTCCACTCGCCTGTTCCAGAACATCCTGCGAGCGTTGGGCAAAGCAAATGTTCGACCGAAACGGCTCGAGGTTAATACCCGGCATAGTACCAGTGGTCTCGTCGACAGAGCCTTCAAGGTCCAAAAGTTTGACGAGTCTCAAGTCATTCCGGTTCTCGCCGGCTTGGAGGCTATTCATCTCGACTTTTCCCACAGCGAATTAACAACATTGGTTGCTAGCCAGGAAGGGCCCGGCGACCTCCCTTGCGCTTTGTTTCACCTTCGGAAGTTTCTCTCTTTGCTTCACAGCTTGAGAACTCTCCGACTCAACTTTCAAGCGATGAACTCCGACACGGAAACACACTTATTTCTGGACTGGTTCCAGTCACCTCTCCCATTAGATATGCCCACAAGTCCGATTCAACATGACCCCGGCAGTCTGCCTCAAGCTCCACCACCTGTGCTTCTCGAAAAGCTTGAGCAACTGGAGATTGGAAAAGTGGCTGTACGACTGGATACCCTCGTGGGTATCTTTGAAAAGTACAAGAAAACTCTGAAGAATGTCCAGCTACACAGAGTGGGAATCAAAGATCCAAACCCATTGGAGAGCAAAACCAATCAGTGGGCAATATTTTTCAGACGAATGGCACAGCTAGACTTGAACATCAACTCTTTGACCATGAGCCACCTATACCAGTCCAGACAAGGATTCCCTACTTCATTGGCTCTGGAGTTCAAAGATACAAAACCTTCTCACACACGGAAGTGGCGCGGACACGACCTACGTGGAGCTCTCAAGGATTTTGTCCAGCACGCTCAAGTTGACTGGCCACCGGAGCCTCAATCAGACGATGACGATGACGGATCTGAGAACAGTATGGAAGACTCTATGGATGAGTATGATGATGTTGATGATACCTGATCTTTCACAAGCGCCATGAAATGTTCCAGAGAACAAAGAACATGACGAAGGAGGGAAAATATCTGGCCTTTATGATCTTGTTGCCAAGGATGGGTTTGCGACACAGGGCTGCCTTGAGAAGCCGTGATAGTTGTGCTTCTCTTTGTCATTCGATGAGAATTCTGATTTTCAGTGTGTCTAGTTGATGGGCTGGAGGCAAAAATATCTTGATTTCAGGATTGTCATGGACGCCGCTCAGGCAGGTGTAGCGGGCCAGGCGAGGACAGTCATGAATTCGATATAAGCAAACAGGGTGGTATCATTCGTCATAGTGTATCATCATATCTAAACTGGTCCCAACATCACGAGCTCAATCTGAGCATCTCATCAAACATTTTTTTTCATCCACACATTTAACAACAAATCCATGCTGTTCATCTGCACGCGTAATTTGTTCGCAAGCTCATGCAGTCTTGTGGTCCTCGCCGTACTTGGTGCCCATGACGGCTTCCTCGTCAAATTCCTGACCACTCCGCCCGTCGTACGCCAGGCTAATGTCGGTAATCTCATCACCAACCTCCATCCACTTGTCGCTGGTGGCGGGGACGGGCCAAATCTTGCACAGGCCCCAGTACATGCCCGACGAGATAATGAAGCCGCAAAAGAAGTTGAGGTTGTAAATGTAGGTGGCGCCGGCGGGCACGTCGCGGCCAATAGCGCCCGCGAAACCGACCACGTTGATGAGGATACCGCTAATGTAGGCGGCATAGGCGCGCCAGTGCACACCGTACGTGTAGTAGTAGGGGCCCGTCTTGCGCGCGTCGTAGAGCTCCTTGATGTCGAGAAAGCCCTTGCGGACAAAGTAGTAGTCGGAGATCATGACGCCGGCAATGGAGGACAGGAACACGGAGTAGGCGCTCAGGTACGTGGTGAACTGGTTGCTCGTGGTCAGCAGGGTGTAGGGGCACATGGCGAGGCCGACGACGGCGCAGACGTAGCCGCCGCGGCGGATGTTGAGGAAGCGCGGCAGCAGGGCCGTCATGTCGGTTCCGGCCGAGACCGAGTTGGCGGCGATGTTGGTGCCGAGCTGGGCGAGGGCGAAAGCCGTGGCAATGACAAAGACGCCAAAGCGCTGCGCCGAGCCGCCGTCGTTGATAAAGTTCTCGAGCAGGTCCAGCGGGTCCCAGATGGGCTCGGTGCCCGGGTAGATGACGACCGACGACGACGAGACAATGATGCCGATGAAGCTCGTCACGGCAAAGCCCGTGGGAATGGTAAAGAACTGCGACCAGAACGCGTCCTTTGGCTTGGTGGCGAAACGAGTAAAGTCGGGGTCATTGACAATCAGAGTCGCAAAATTGGCAATGGAGCTCATGATGCCTGATATATAACAAGGTCAGAGGGTCTGTACTCTAGATATTGCCAATAATGAAAGCCTCGACTTACCCTTGACAATCTCCCATCCCAGATCAGAGCCAGTTAGCGAGGAGGGCTGGTGAACAATGGGTCCGATACCGCCGGCACGCACGATTGCCCAGATGAAGAAAGCAATGCCAGCACATGGTACAAAGTAGGCCTTGACGGTGAATAGGTGGCGGATCTTGTGGACGGGGAACCAAATGGCCGGGAGCGAGCAGAGCCAGAAGAGGAAGAACGAGACGTAGTCGGCCGTGGTGGCACCAGAGTCCTCGGCAAATGTGTTTGGGATTCTTTCACGATCCTGTGTTTTTCTACGTGTCAATATTGAATTCTTTGAAACCCCCGAGGTCTATAGTGCACCTGAGGGGACAAGTGTGTTTTGACATACCCAGCTGAGCCATATCGATCGGATCATGAGATACACGCAGCGTCCACCAATCCACGACTGCACGCCGTACCAGACACAGGCCATGGCAGCACGGTTGAACACGGGCCACAAGCTGCCCCAGATGCCAAAGGAGGCCCGGTTGACGACGGGAAAACCAATATGGTACGTGGCGCCGATGCGGCCCGTCGCGCAGATGAAGCAGGCGGCAATGGCGTAGCCGATCCAGACGCACAGCCAGCTCTGCCACCACGACAGGCCGGCGACGATCATGGACGACGAGATCATCCACGTGTTGATGTTGAACGAGTCGGCGATCCAGAAGCCGACAAAGTTCCATGCGCCCCACTGTCGCCGCTCGGGCTCGACGGGTTTGAGGTCATAATTTGTCAACTATGGTCAAACATAGGACACAGCCAAAATGTTAGCTCATACATTCTTTTTCCCCCCTTTGCATCTCAATTGGCCTCTGAAAAAGAAGCACGCGGGAAAGTGGATCTGTCCCGGACGGCACAATATATATATAGCAGGCCGGGCTTGCGGGATGAGGGAATGCGCAAAGTTTGCTCACCATTAACTGGGCCGTCGTCAGCCCGTCTTCATTGTCAACGGCAAGCTTGTCGGCCCAGTGGCCTGCTCTAGAGGTTCTGAGCCTGGACATGCTGGGCAAACTAAAATGTAGTTTATGACCCAGGGTCCCGGTTCCTCGGGACGTTTTTTTTCTGGTTTCTTTTCTTGGGAAACGATGCTTGTCTAGGTATGGCGAAATGCAAGGTCAAGGACGGGGATCGAGTAATTCTCGAGTAATGGAAATTGAAGAATTGAGCCGCAGGTATACTCTCTTCTTCTTTTTTAAGCTACCGGCACACACACACGTGCTTGGGGGAATTGAGGGGGGATTGTGTTGCCGCTGTCAAACTAGGTAGGGATATTGGAGTAAAAATGGGAACGCAAGCCAATGCTTTAAAAATATAAAGTTATGACGCTACACCCTGTCTTTGCCTATGAAGAGGGGGAGGAGGCTGCTGGGTGTGGTGTAAGACTTTGTAAAAGTCTTGAAAGGGAAAAAGTCTATGTCGCCCGATGTCGAGATGGGCCAGGAAGAACGGTCAATTCACACGACAGATGGATGGGAGGGAGAGAGAAACTCGAGCATATTTAAGAATATCCTCGAGGGAGATAACGAAGGGCTCGGCTGAACTCTATTCGTACCATGTACTACAAAACTACGCACTGGATCTTGACCCCAGTTTTGCCAGTCTGTGCCTTGTCTGTTCCCGCTGATAGAGATAGCATCCTGCTCTTCCATGGGAGGCAAAGAGACAAAAAGAATGAACAACGATTAAAACATCTGATGATGGGGGAACTGATAGCGATTACACACTAACCTAGGCAAGCTAAGTACTGGGCTGCTATGGGCTCCCCCACACGAACCCTTGTCACTTGGCATACTCCATGTTCGCATCCCCAAATCGGCTTGTCCGTTGATTTTTTTTCCCATGCTCTGTAAGTCTTTCAAAGTGGCTGTCGCTTCCAGCATCGCAACTGGCCATGTGCAGTCGGAGTCAGCCGACGACCGGCAAACAGAGATTTTTCTCATCTATGCTACTCACTTGCATACTGCTGAAAGAAATGCGATCAATCAGTCATGGTTGTTGACCAATTCCAGCCAAGTCTTTTTTCTTACCCGTTCCTCGCCGTCTGACCGTTTTGGCCTGGTTTGTCTAGTCCCCAATCGAGGGCAGGGTACCGACTCCGCGGGAGCGCAGATCACCCCCGCTTATCGGACTCGTAGAGCTGGTTTATTACTCGATCACATCGAGTCAAAGAGATATGGAGACGATAGGGAGATGCGGCTCACGCTCGGGTCGGCAGATACTACGTACTATACTAACTAGCTCATCTTCTTGTTCACTTTGCGTAGTGCGAAATCGTAATGGCAACGACACTGGGGAAAAGTCATAGCCGCGATATATTCCGTTGCATCTTTTCAACTCCTCCGCTCGCGTATTTTATTACTTGCCCCGTGTGGGTTTCCTGCCTATTCCCCATATACCATGTGCAGCCGAGTACCAGACTTGCAGAGGTGGACCGCATTGCCGCGCCAAGCAATCCCGACAACTTTTGCCGTCTCATTCTACATAACTGGGTAAGTAGATAAGAGCAACGCCATGCTTGATCGAGACTGTCGAAGACTGTCGAAAATTATACTTTGGCTATACGCATAGTACACAAACAGGCCATGTAGAATCAGGCGACATTTCTTCTCCCGATGTCCAATCATCGATCCCTTGTACGACCAAGCCAAATATCGGTATGAACAGTTGCAGAATCGTGTCACTATTTGTATGTATTAGAAAGAGCGATTTCATCCTACTCAATGTCTTGTTTCAAAGTGCAATGCAAGACGACACTAGGAACCATTCTTTCATCAAAGCCACAGTAAATATTACTACACGGTCGTATTAAAATCTACGAACTCGACGTCTCAGCATTGACTAGTAAGTCAACTCTGACTTTGTGGAAGTCATTCCTATGTACACACTCAGCCAGCTTGATAAAGGAAGCAAGATACCTCCATTTTGAAGAGCAGCATTAGATATCAGCTCATAATGCACCGCCTTATTCGTCTCCCAAAATCAGACCAAATCCATAACTCATCAAACCTTTGCCGACCGTCGGCACAGATACTCATGATAACCAGGCATTTTGAAACGCCATGTCTCCCTACCGGACCGAGCAAGGTGAACCTTCCAAACGCCGCCACATGAACAATCGAAGGCCCTCGATGCTGCTCAGTCTTATGCCAATCCGATGTCCTACATGCGAATCCGGAACAAGTAACGGAGTCGCACCTGAGCTACATTGTAGGCAATGTACTCATTGTATAAGAGGTAGGCGTTGGGGACGTCTGTCTGTCCCGGCTTGACGCTCACGTCTGGTATCTTGACGCCCTTGAGATCCGGATTGACACATTCAGCATCCTTCCATGCACTCGGGCCCGTCGTGCCCTGTCCCCAAGTCGAGGACATGCCCTTCGCTGCCGCATCTTCGCCAGCGTTATACGAAGCATTCGTGAGATGCTGCATTGGGTCACCAAGCTCGGCCTCGCAGAGAAGCAAGAGCGCATGTCCGTTCGTGACATAGGAACGGCAGTAATTCGCCGACTTGGAACTCATATCAGCAAGGTAAATACCCTTACCAAACATGTATCCAGTCGCCGGAGCCTCTGGAGGTGCAATTCGCAGACCTTGAGACAAGATGCCACCAAAATTTGTCGCGCACGATCCATGCCACAGCAATCGTCGGTCTCGAGGGGGGCCCGCAAACGGACTGGCTGCAAAGCGGTCCTTCTCTCCACTCCGCTCAATACGGAAAATCTGGTCAATCTGGTAATTCGCGTTGTGCGTTGCGCCTCGGGTCTCCATCAGGTAGTTCTTCAGTTCCCTGAACTCAGCAGAAGTATGCTTCAAGGGCGACATTTCTTCCATGCCCAAACCCTGGAATTGTCGATCGAGGACATTCAATCTCTCAATGTCGGTCTTATCCTGCTTCAGGATCGCATCTGCATCTTTCATGTCTGACAGGCTTTCAAGAAGTTCTATTTCTTGTTTCAGCATTGCCTGATCGCGGATGACGGGTAGAGCTCGTCTTCCAAAGATGTGTGGAATTAGAGAGAAGTAAGAATTAGAGAGATGTTCCGTGGCACTTGCAAACGTGGTATCATACTGGCTAGTTGCCAGTGTTGGGTCATTGAGAAGGGCAGCCAGGTCCTTGAGCGCTTGATAACCCCGTGTAAGCGTCGTCTTGCTCAGCTTGCCCAAGGGAAGCTTCTTCACGTCATAGTTCATGGATGACATGACGTTGGCAAAGTACTGCTGATTAAAAATCAGCTCCATGAGTTCCTGGACGGGCTTAGCCAGCCTAGACTCCGGTGCCTCGACGCCATTCTCGCTCTTTGTCTTCGTCTCTTCGTCGTCGTCTGAATCCTCAGCATAACTGCGCTCGACAAATGTGTATTTCTTGGGCTTTGGCGGGGCAGTGCGATCTGACCAGGCCAGGCCAGACTTGTCCTTGAACTTTTTGTTGAAGTTCTCCAAGGCATCGGGCAAGGACCCATTGCCGAGAACACCGCTTTGGCCCCGATCCCCCACGCGGCCCCAACGAGTCCACGTCTTGTAGGAGCCTGCAACACTGCGTAGCAGCTGAATGCGGTAGAATTTGTTGTTGTTTTGTCCTGCGTTGGTCTGATTGAGAGAGGCATCATAAATGACTCCGTCGTCATCAATATAGACCTCGAATTGAAGGAGTTCGGATGGGACAAATTCATCAAGAGGAATCTTGATACCAGGTTTGGCAATCTGAGCATTCTCAACTTCCTCTGGTTCCAGACGAGGTGAGGATTTGTCTACGGCAGGCTCTGCATCAGATGGGGCAGGCTGTGTAGGTGCAGCAGAGGCCTTGGCCTTCTTTTGTGTAGGCTGCGAATCAACACCGTCAGTGGCTGTGGACCGCTTCTTGCCACGGGCAGGTTTGGCCTTGGCGGGTTCGGGGTCATTGTGGGCATCAGATGCAGCATCGTTGTCGTTGTTGTCTGCTGGCGTGGCAGCAGTCCGAGCACGAGAGCGAGTCGCTCTGCCATTACTTGCAGGAGCTGCTGCAGGTGCAGCGGTTGCGGCCGCCTTCTTTCTGGGTGGCATTGTCCAATGAGGTAAAAGGGGGTAGCTTAAGCTTAATTTTGAGTGGGTTCCAGGGGACTGATGAATCTCTGGGGGGGATGACAATGATGTGTAAAAGGTAGGAGGGTAAAGGGCAGTAACCACTCAATTGGGTAACTGTTCGTGATGGCTCGTGACAGAGTGAAGAAGAAGACGGCTGAGAATCCCTACAGGAAGAAAGAAATTCAAAGGATCATTTATGTTGACTTGGTCATGAATTTAAACAAAGATCGCGTAACAGAGGCAACAATACGGTTCTTGCTTAAGTGCAAGGCAGCAGTGTGGGGCCTTTCAATTGGCCGCCGTTGGGGCCTTAGGTAGTGCGAAAAGTTCCTGCCATTTCATTGACCAATTCGTGATTAGGCTCATTCAAGCTGAAAAAAGAAAGGAAAGCACAGACGGCCTCAGGACTCCATACCTAGAGGAGATCTGAAATCATTGATGCGTGAATTTTCCTGGGTTTGGTCGTTATGATCCGAGGCAGCAGCCGCCAAGTACTGAGGCGACAGATTTTATGACATAATGCATATATACATTGCAGAACACACAACACCAAGGCTTCAGTCGTTCATGATCAAAGGAAAATATAGCGCATGGAATCGACAAAGCGCCGGTGCATTTTTCTTTTTAGTCTCATCTCATAACAGCAGACGTGGCTTGTCCATTGTTTGTAGTTGTATTGGCTCAGACGATACCTTTCTAGTTTACAACCATCTTACGGCAACTGACTTTGGTCTCTCCGCTCTATGAGAACATTTCAAATGGCATCACGATACAATGGTGATTTGAATCCCCGACTCTGGCAGCCCCAGCTGCTCTGTAGGTTGGAAGTTCGCCCATGTGAAAATGGGGGGAAGTGAAGAGCTTTATGGGCCATGTTGCTCCGCTCCATCTTTTGTCAGATGTCGTCCAGGGTACTTGATGATTAACTTGTTAGTAGGGACGAAAATTCCGTTCTTTCTTTTCTGTTCTTTGGACGGATACAACGAGATGTCTCTGTCGGTGATCTTCTTGGCGGCAACAGCTTGATCATGTTAGGCTCTTGAAATGGGTAGAAACACCACCGCACTTAAGATCATCCTGGCTTCTTTTGAGAGCTCTTGCGCCCTCTGGGAGAGGCTGAAAAGAACAAACGACCAGCAAGTTGAGTCAGGAAAGGAAGAAATGTGGTAGCGATAGATCTTGGATTCGTAGTATTTGGAAGCCGATTACTTGTCGAACGTGATTTATATCCAATCAGGACCTTTTCAATCTTGGCTGCATCTTGTTGCGTCGAACATCACGTTTTCTTGGTTGCTAGGCCTCCTCGTTCGTAGAGCTTACCAGGATGGCTGCGTAACGCAAATAGACCGTCGACCCTTTCGCCGGATCGAGCCTCGTGATGGTATTGCATACTGTCTAGGCAGGGCCAATCCATATTCTAGAGCTACAGTTTATTGTGTTTGATTGGCTGTTGGAATCATGGAGACATGCAAAGTGAGGAAGGTAGATGCGTCGCAGCGACTGGCACATCAATCTCGGATGGAAGCACCTCTGGATCATTATCAATTCTGCGTCCTCAAACACAGTTGCTACGAGCTTTATTCTGTACTACTACGACGTCAATTGCACCTTGGCTGCATATTCCAGAATATACGAACGGCAGTGCTCGCTGGCAATACCTAGGTTTCAATGGCACTTATAGATGGAAGATTTGTGCAGTATATATTGCATCCACGTGGATTTCAGCATCCGATGAACAAATTTTGCAACCAGCCACCAGAAAAGAGTGCAATTCCCCAAGGAAGCGCCTTTCGCTCCTTTTCCACTGGCAGATTTTTGACAAAATCAAATCACATGCTCAATTACCATCACAACAAACAGGACTGGAAATTTTTACAAAATACTTGCTTATAATTACCGAATAACACTTTGGCAACGGAAATGTAGAAACACGAGATTTTCATCGAGTATGGACCAAAGTAGACGCCTGATCATTTTCCCTCATGGGACAACCATTTGAATTACAGTTCCTGGCTTATTGATCTCCCATCATTTACTCCGAGACACTCTGACATTATGAAAGTCCAAGGAAAAACTAATCATGAACCCGCGCTATGCTCGTTCGATCAAGTTTGTCCAGTCCACTACCAGAAGCTGCTTGTTGAATCTGCATTGCGTAAGCTTTTTTGCGTGCATTCAAGTTGTGTGTAGCAAAATTTCACAAAACTCACCATAAACCATCTCGGTAGTAGCGTCAATCCCCAAGAAATAATACTTGCCATGCTTCCTCTCTGTACAGTGCCTTGTTTACCGGCAAGTATATCGCTCACTACTCGATTTGCGTACTCGGCTGCTGGCATCATTTGAAATCCATGGTCCTGTGCCGCAGACTTGATATCTTTTTCAATTGGCTGATAGTAGGATTCATTGGGTAATTTGAAGGTTGGTACGTTGTCAAACCTGTACAAGCATTAGTTGACATTATCTCTTTTTCGAGTCGTCCGACAATACAATCCCCCACTAGTTTCTGCAACCAAATGTATAAAGCGGAAATGACAGGGCTGCAGACACGTACCAAGATGTCTTGACAAAACTAGTCGTCACATGCAGACACTTTACTCCAAGAGGTTCAAGCTCAACACGTAGTGTCTCAGACATGGTGCGGTTAGCAGCCTTGGAACCGCAATACACACCTATGATTCCCACCTGGTCAGCAACGTATTCACAGAATTGGAGAATCAGCAGAGACACATTACTTTGGTACGCAAGTCCAAGAGACTCTGCAGTACTGCCAACCGTGACAACGGTTCCTCGAGCCTGGACGAGCATGTGTTGGACTGCCTGCGTTACCCGCATGGGTCCCCAGACATTCACCTCGAACAAGGCCTTGGCCACTTCAATGTCGGAATCCAGGTACGGCATAGTGTATCCGCAACCGGCATTATTGACAAGAATGTCCAAGCTGCCGCCCGTGGCTTTCTGCAGGGTTGTTACAGCGATTTTGATACTTTCGGGTGAGGTGACGTCCAGGGCTAACAGAGTGATATTAGGGATGGTGCTTAACTCGGACATTTTGGCAATGGATCGAGCTGATGCGTAGACGTGGAGGTTGGGGTGGGAAGCAAAACATTGTGCCAATGCGGCACCGATGCCACCATCACTGCACCCAGTGATAAGAACTGAGCGTGTTCGCGAGGGTTCTTTGGTTGCCATTTGTCAATGATGAACACGTTCTTCCTGGGAGAAGGAAATGAATGGACTTTTTGAAAGTTTAAGAATACGCTGGTATGTTTTTATATGTACTCGGAAATTATCCACGTCCTTCCGGATTTACTATTTTTATTGTGTCGTAGAGTTTACTGATCCAGTAAAAACTATGCGACTTCGTATAGTTTTACTGTCTAGTTTGTATGGTGACTGTGAGATTCGGATAGTTTTGAAACCTCCCTTCGGATAGTTTCATAACACCGCCATAATGTAACCACTTCAGACCAGCAAGTTGAACTAGATTATCGACCTTGGCAATGCTAGTACCAGAGTAGCTATACTTTTCGGCACACATTTATGCACTCAAAAAACATGATTTTATTCTTGGTATTTATCTGACGAAGCAGGGCGAATTTCGTGTAGCATACAATTATTGGGGGCGCCTATATTTGGCCTCCCATTGCAGGGTCAGTTGATTAAATCAGTCTTATGAAGAAGAGGCATAATAAGGGCTTTCCTGTTTGAACTTTCAATATTCATAGACAGAAAAATGGTTTCTTGGGAGCCGAAAGAGTTACACCGAACCAGAAACAAGAGAATTCGACCACCAAAGGCAGGGACGAATGTGAGAAACTACAAAACCTGGCCTCGCGCACTTTTATGTTTATCATCTTCGCATGCATTTTGTGTGCATTTTCAAGAACCACCCATTTCTTGCCTATTCCATATGGATCTCGCGCGCGGCTCAGCCAAGCGCACTCTGCATGAGGTCATGGTGCTCCGATCTGGTGGTGTGTTTGCTGCTACACAAATCGTCTTCGAGACGACACATTATCAGACCAACTCATATTTGACCATCACATGAAATGTGATTGAAGACGATTCTACAACTCACCATGTAGTGTGCAAAATTGTGAGGGAAAAACAAAAAACCTATTGTTAAGAAGAGGCAGATACAACAAAAGATCATGCTTCACCACCAATGAAGAATTGGCAAAAAATATGGAATTAGATAGCACCACTCCGTTTCGATCGGAGGTCCTCCGGGTTATGAGCCCGGCGCGCTTCCGCTGCGCCATGGTGCTTTGATGAAAGAAAGGCCGGTAATGTGTTCTGAAGTATTGAGACAAAAGGAAAGTGGATCATGAATGAGTCACAATCTAGGGCTTGAGAAGCGTGTTCGGGTCGTCAGTGACCATTGTATTGGTTAGGATCGCGCATGTCATCTGTCATGTGCCGGCTAAGGTAGAGCCCATGGGACCAGCCATGGTCGCGAAGATTTGATGTTGGACAATAGGCTGGGCAAGTATCCCACAGCCTGCACAGTTTTCAGTTCAAGGCTGGCGAGTCAGGAGAATGCTACTCACAGCGCTGCAACAAGTTAACAGCGACTCAGCGTTCAAGATACGGATCAGGGCAAAGGTACAGTCATGATGTGAATACATGCAGTCATGTATGGTGTATCTGGTCCATCTACCTAGACGACGTGAAGTGACGATGCATTGTAATGGAAACAACCCTTTTTACAGGCAATAAAAATTACGGGACCCTGAACGCCTTCGCCTTTCCGGATATGATGCTGGTCGCCCCTAGATGTGTGTGTAAAAGCAGTAAACTCCTCCTGATGCACTGGCCTTTTCTACTCAGTCTCAGACCATATTCTGGCCCCCATCAAAAGGACCCCAAAGAAAGCACGGTTTTTGTAGATCAATACCCAGAACGCTTCTTTCTAGCCTCCTTCTCTCGCCTCAGCTTCTCCAGCAGTGCCTCTTCCTTGGCATCATCCTCGCGAGCCTGGCGTAACGCTCTCTGCTCCTCTGCATAAATGTCATCGGCACCAGCTTCCATGTCGCTGTCCGAGTCATAGTCATCGGCGTATCTGTAGCCACGAGGAATCTCGTCATCCTCGCCCTCGTCATCGTCAATGAAGTCGTCCATATCTGAATCTTCTTCCTCATATCGTTCACGGCGTCCAGTACGGGGCATGGCTAGTAGACCACCGCCTGTACGAGGACGAGAGGATGCAGGCTTGCCACTCTTGGAATCCGATGCTTTCTTGGGTGCCGGTCGTGCTGTTCCGGTATAGCCTGTTGTAGCTGTTGCTGCCTTCTTGATCTTTTTGTCTGCCAAATCATCTCCAGCGGGACTGGGCCTTCCACTACCCTTGGTGGTCGGCCGGGAATCCTTGCTGCTACCATTCCGAACATTCTGGACCGACTTTTCTCGTGACGGGAGAACATTCGGCTTTGCTTCCGCATTACTCTTTCCAAGCTTCCATTTTGAATCCTTCTTACTCGTAACCGTTTGGCCAATCGCTTTGTGCTGAATAAGCCCAGCTTTAGGTGCTATCTGCTGGGCCTTCGCGCCGCGTGCCATGATTTCAGCAAATGAACCCTTCTTTGGTACCTTGCTGGGGCCTGCACTGGTTGGCGTTGTGGGCGACGGCTTTGCCGATGCAACCCTTGGAGCGCTGAGGGTGGTGGCACTTCCTTGAGGCCGGGCAGGGCCGGCAGCCCCATCTTTCCTCGCCGGCAAGGTATTGATTGCCTCCGGCTTTCGATTTGCGCGAGCAAGGGTAGCAGTGCCCGTATATGGCTTGTCGCGAGATGCGATGGTGGATGTTGTGGTACTGGTGCGCTGGCCATTTGTCGCGGCCGGCTTAGCTACAGTACTCGAGCGGGCAGGCGGAGGTGAAGGCTTCCTTGAAAGCGAATCTCGTGAAGTTGCATGCGACTGCTTGACTATCTTGTTCGGCAAACCATTACTAGTAGTATCGCCATCGGCTTTGCGCTTCAGCACTGTTGCAGTTTTCACAGCAGAGACAGGAACAGCAGCTGGCTTTTCGCCGCTGATCTCAGCAAGCAAATCTCCAATCTAGTCAAAGGGGTTAGCAGGTCCACGGGGCTTGCGTTGAAAGATGAAATCAACTGCTAGATGCGACATACCGGCATGTTGGTGAGAAGATGTGCTGCGATCAACAAGAAAGGAAGAGGGTCGAATCCTAGAGAATACCGCGAGTGCTAACCGTCAAATGGTGCCAAATGTCAGGATCAACATATTAACGTAGCGCTGCTGGTCGATGGATGCATAATCTGCATGGATGAATGCGCTTGTCTCTCTTGGGGTCGGGAAAGATAGACAAACGTTGTTGTTTGGTGTTGCTAGACAACAGACTGTGTTGTCTTTTATGGTGACAGCGTGTGCAGAAAGTCTGTCGAGGTGCACGGCGACAGCAGTCCACTCACCCTGGGGCAGAGGAGCCTAAATGGAGACTTGACCTGACGATCGGAGATAGTGATGGGGACGTGCAAGTTGGAAGGCTTGCGAACAGCCTTGAAAGTTTAGACGACCCTCTACCGAAAGAAAGGAAAGGCGCCGCTGGGGGCTTTTGCAAGGAATGAGGAAAAGTCCGTTCCCGACAAAAGAAAAAAATGGTCTTGATGGGCAGACCGACGTCACTTTGGCCTGAAAACAGCCCCTAACAACCTGAAGTCTGGATACAGAGGTACCAGCCAGTGGATGCTGGCTTTTGCTGGTGCTTTGGAGGACCGACAGCACTTGAAGGGCCTGAGCAAGCAACGCCAATTCCAGGCTTCCAGGGCAGGTCAAGTCACTGGCAGACTGGCCAGCGGCTGAGAAGAAAGAAAATCCGAGCTCGGGCCATGCCTTGGGTAGTCCGGCGCTGGTAACCAGCCACGCTAGCTGCAATTAAACGAATGGCGCGACTCGCGATTTGACTGCCAAAGCGACCCTAATCATGTGACCTTTGCACCGGGGAATTGGCGGAATCTGGCCCCACATCCATCCCACCATTGGATTTTTGAACAGGAACTTTTTTCGCAACCAAGACCAGACCTGACCTTTAACCATCACGACTTCACCCAGAACTCGAAGTTTCAGTCTCCGCCCAACTTGCGGTTAAATTGATTGATTTCTCGTGTTCATACAATCAACACAGTACGTCCTCACCACTCGATCACCTCCGCTCTACGCGCCATCAGAATATCTGTGCAAGCGCATTTTGTGCGTGTGGAAATTTCGCGAGCTTCCCGCTGACTAGGCTACCGCAGAACCAAACCACCAAAATGAAGCACCTCGCCGCTTACCTTCTCCTCACCCTGGGTGGTAACACCTCCCCCAGCGCTGCTGACGTCAAGGAGGTCCTTGAGTCCGTCGGTATCGAGGCTGACTCCGAGCGCCTGGACAAGCTCCTCTCTGAGCTCGAGGGCAAGGACATCAACGAGGTACGAATAAAATTGCAATAGCATGAAAATGGAGGACACATGACTAATGATTTTTTTTCTCTACAGCTGATCGCTGAGGGTTCTTCCAAGCTCGCTTCCGTTCCCAGCGGCGGTGCTGGTGGTGCTGCCGCTGGTGGCGCCGCTGCCGCCGGTGGTGCCGCCGAGGAGGCCAAGGAGGAGGAGAAGGAGGAAGAGAAGGAGGAGTCCGACGACGACATGGGATTCGGTCTCTTCGACTAAGCGATCCACCTCATACCCTTTGGATCACCTCACGAGGCAATGTGTTACGGAAGGAGTGGCGTCTAAAATGGGCCACAGCATTTTTGCATGGCATCGGCATCTGGCGTGGAAGGTTTTGCTTTTCATGAGTCTCACGAGGTTCTACCGGATAGTCTGACGGACAACAAGATAGATCCGTGTCGTTGCGACGAATTAAGTCCTGCTTCTTCTGAGCACAACAAAATATTGTCTTTTGCAACTTGCTCAAATGTGACCGTGTTTAGTCCGACATAGTGTGATTCAATGTAATTTGTTCTTGGACGGATATGACAAGCAGCAAGTTATCGCAAGTTGGTACTGTTGGCCTGCTTGAACTATATACAGGGAGCAGAATAGCAGCAAAGCAACCGAGCAACTATCGTGCAATCCAATCGTGCTGTATTCGCTTGATGATAATAATGTAGTCGAACTAACAATTCAATACAAAATGCTGCGTACCTATTACAGCACCTAATACCCTTTTGGCTGCATAATTAATAATATCAATTGAATAAAAGATTATGCTATTCGTTAGTGTGAATTTTCCATACCAAACCAAGAAATAATCCCGGCATGCAGGTGGTTGCTGCGCAACGACCCGCCCCAATTCATTGGATGATGCGCAGCCACCAGCAACAAAAGAGTCAACGACCCCATAGTTGCTGGGTCCCCCCAATCTGCCCCAAGATGAAGATCTAGCAGAAACGCGATATTCAACTTTTCGCACTGCGCGCCGCATTGCTGTCAACTCTCTATCGATCTGCGAATTTTTGGATCATGGGTCGCTTTGACGCGTAAAAACATTCTTTATTCCACCAACAAACAACAATCATCGTCATATTCCGGTAACACGATACCGCGAGGCTGGCGAATTGCTTTGCACATTTTTGGCACCCTTTGACGTCAAATCACTTGTACTACCGCTAGCAGTCACAACACTTATACATCTCAACATCGCCATGGCTGCCGCATCGCCAACCCCTCTGGGGAACAGCCACATATCGGGGCCTACCAGGAAGCCATCTCTCAGATCTGGCTTGAGGAGAACTTCTTCGCGGTCGCAACTGGACCGCGCGCAGTCAAATGCTGCCGCACACGCATCGGCAAAGTCGCAATTTGCTGCAAACCATGCCGATAGCTCCGATGACGAGATACCCGTGCCTATGAAGCTCAGCGCTCTCACCAAGGCTCTATTGAATGATGACGGTGTTGCAGAGCCCGCCGCGCAGGCCGGCCACGTCCCAGGTCGGGTCCGGACTAGAGCTCAGGCCCATCGCCCGTCATCGCCCGTGCAATCGGTGCTGGAACAGGATAAACCAGTCAAGAGACGAAGCATCTTGAATAACTCGACGAGCTCGAACGCGGAGGAGCGGCGCCAGACCAGAGCTAGCAGCGCACAGGTGGCATCATCGAGACAAGCGTCTCCCGTCAGAAGTCAGGCTAGCGAAAACAGCCCGGCGCAGAAACAGAGAAAACGTGTCGTACGGCTCAGCACCACCACGCCCGGAATTTCAACGTCATTTGGAGCCGTACAGCCCTCCAAACGCCGATCTACTTCCCTTTCAACATCCCAGAGAGGCGCTCGCCCACCAAGTAGGGAAAGTCTGGTAGACGAGAAGCTCGATATCTCCGAGCTCAACGGTATCAACACGCCCCAAGCTCAAGGCATCCGAAGTGTTCGCATTGCCGTTGGTTCTTCGGGAGGCCGCAGCCGTCTCAGTGGATCTTCCGGGAACTCTTTCCGTCGCCTCGATTCTGCTCAACCCCAATCCGAAAACGAGGCAGCAGAGGAACCAGTTACAGCTTCGCATCAACGAGTTGGCTTGGGCCAGGGCAGTACCTCTCGTCCGCGTACTCGCGACGAAGACAATCAGGCTATTCAGGGGTCGATGCGTGTCAAACGTGTTGGAAAGGTCACTGGAAGCTTTCTCCGTGGGCCAGCTCGGCGCGGTTTGCGACGACAAAGCGACGATGATGGAGGCAACGATGCAGATGGAGACGGCCTTCAAATGAGCCAGTACGAGGCTGATGGCCAAGCGCCACAGGACATCATTGACCTCGAGCCGGAAAACTATGCCTCGTCATATTATGTCCCGGATCGCCTTGCTTCGGGAAGCCCTGTTAGCGCCAAGAACTCCTCAAGATATAAGCGAGAAACATCAGCTGCTTATGAAGAGCCTCGATTACTCTCACACCAGAGCTCTCCAGTTCGCGAGCAAGAAGAAATCCAAATTCCTCATTACAGAGCCTCAGCGCCCCGGCCTGAGGTGCCTTCCCGGCATGATCAAGAAAACGACCCGCCATCAACATTCAGGAGGAGCAAGGGTCTTGGCAACTCAATCTTGGAAAAGGAAGCACAGCTACCTCCGCGGCCCTTGAGCGTCGACCTGGGCCCGGCCAAAATACCTTCACCTGAGAGAAAACCGCTCGCAGCAGTCAATCAGAACGAACCCCGAAGAATTGCACCGCCGCCTCCCCCCAAGATGTCAATTCTTGAGGCAGCAACATCGACAGCCGGGGCATCAACTACACAACAAGCAGCCAAGAAGCGAAATTATATGAAGGTCAACAAAAAGTACTACACTCGAATCGACACACTTGGCCGAGGAGGAAGTGGCAAAGTGTATCGAGTGGCAGCAGATAACGGCAAGATGTTTGCGCTGAAGAGAGTTTCAATCGAAGGTGCAGATGAATCGACCGTCAGAGGGTTCAAGGGCGAGATTGATCTTCTTGGCAAACTCGGCGGATGTGAGAGGGTCATCAATCTCTTTGACTATGAGATGAACGAGGAGAAGCAAGTCCTAAGTCTTGTAAGTTTCAGAAATATCCAACCCATCAAGAGGACCTACGACTAACTATTTGTACTAGCTTATGGAGATGGGCGAACTGGATCTTAACACACTCCTCCGTACACGTCTCTCGCCCGATACAGCTCGATTCGACCCTGTCTTTGTCCGGTTCTATTGGCAGGAAATGTTGGAATGCCTTGCGGCAGTCCACGCTTACGATGTTGTACACTCTGATCTGAAACCCGCCAACTTTGTTCTGGTTCAGGGACGCCTCAAGTTGATTGATTTCGGCATTGCAAATGCAATTCAAACAGACGAGACTGTCAACGTTCACAGAGAGACACAGATCGGAACACCGAACTACATGAGCCCTGAATCTTTGTTGGATTCCCACACCACGGGTCCTGATGGCCGCCGAATCAATACCGCGACCAACAGAGGACCAAAGCTCATGAAGCTGGGCAAGCCTAGCGATGTCTGGAGTCTCGGCTGCATTCTCTACCAAATGGTCTATGGCACACCACCTTTTGGACATATCCAGAACCAGATGGCTCGGTGTCACGCCATTATTGACTGGGACTACGCCATCACTTTCAAGGACCGGGGCATTGGTGATGCTCCTGTGCCGCCATCTCTGCTGAGGACAATGAAACGCTGCCTCAACCGGGATCAGCACATGCGTCCGACATGCGAGGAACTACTGAGCTTGTCAGACCCATTCTTGTACCCCGTGGAAACCCCACATGGTCAGCTCCCAGTCAGCGAGGAATTGTTGGGCCGAATTATTCACAGTGTTGTGGCAAAATGCCGGGAGCGCATGCCTGACGACGGTGAACTCTTGAGCGCCTGGCCAAAAGCATATTGGTCTAGTGTCGCCAAGGCTGTGGGACGTGACTTGAGGTGACAAAGTCCATGACACTGTCAGATCAGGACCTGGATATACACAAACTGTCCGTGTATGGAAATACCTGTCTTGCTAGGAGGGCGTTGCAGGAAAGAATGTACTGGAATAATGATGTTGCTTCTGAGGAGAAAAAAGAGCTCTAAATGAGTTGTTGGTTTTGTTTTCGTTTGTTTACGACCCGTCACGAAACGTTTTGCAAAGAGCCACAGGCAGAGAGCATGGCCCTGTTTTGTTTAGAACGGCCTGCCTCGATTCGAAGTTTTTGGTTATTTTATATATTCCCCCAAGGCGATGGAAAGTTCAATTCATGATATCTCTTACTCTGCTGAAAGTTATATGCTCCAATGTAATGACTGAAAATGAATGGATGAAATACTAGTCTTTACAAGCAGAAGGTGCTACATATCGGGAAGAAAGATGATTTCTATTGGAACCGCAGGAAAACCGCGCAATGCATAAATAATTGGTTTCTTTGATTCGTAATTTACAAGCCCATTGACAGCTGCTTAATCATAGATGTAACGATTCTTGCAAACTGTATAGACGCCAGACTTTTAATACATTCCACCTTTCCCAGTCTCCAAATGCTACTGTTGATATACACTCTTCCAGTCTAATTGGTACAATGTCAATATCACAGTCTACCCGACCAACAGCCCGCTGAAGACTGTGTGACAGGGCTTCTAGTCGTCCCCATCTGACAGATTCCAGAAAATTTCCCAACACGGCATTCAGTGCTTTTTTACAATCCAATAGCCTCGGGGCCCTTGAGCTTGAGATCCGTGATGCGGAGTATCGTGTACTGGTGCTTGCTCTTGACGGTCTTGTTCCGCCTCTGCCGCCTCTTGGTCTTGACCTTGACGCGCAGGGGCTCCGTCTCGGTGCCCGTGACGGTGGCGCGGCACTCGAACAGGCGCTCGTCAATGTACGGGCCGCCCTGGAGGGTGTAGTCGCGCGAGCCCAGGGTGGAGGCGCGGTCCAGGCGCAGCACGTCGCCCGGCAGCACCCCGGGCATCTTGAAGGGCAGCCGGATCCGGTCGCCCGGCTGTACCAGGTACGGCCGTCCCCAAATGTGTGCCGTGATGTAGTGGCCCGGCTGCGCCCGCAGGAGGGGGAGCAGCTGGCTGATGGACTGGGCGGCCTCGGGCGACAGCGGCGAGGTTGTCTGTGGCTGCTTGGGGTAGAGAGGCTCCGGGACGGTGCTGTGACCCTTTTGCGGCTGCAGGTCGCCCGACTCGGCAACAAAGGGATGCTCGGGCTCGGTGGGCGGCTTGGAGATGGCGTCGCTGGCTACCGGGTTTGGTGTTGTTGATTGCGACTGGATCTGGTCGTGCCGTCTGCTGGTGCTCGACAGCGAGCGCTGCTGGGACTGGATGGGCAGGAGGAAGGAGGGCGGCAGCCGAGTGAGAGGCGTCCGCAGCTCCAAGACGGAGCGGAGTAATGATCGAGACATTTTGTTCTCACTCTGTGTCTGTGTCCCCCCAGGTTGGCAGTCTGATCCAATTGCCCTCTGCTCTTGTGTTGGCGGCGCTCGTCGTTCTGGATCTGGCCCCGGATATCAAAATGCTGTTGCTGCTGGTTCCAGAAATTTAGAGCTTCCCGCCGATCAACCCTGCAAATGTATTGGCCAATCAAACGATGAATGCTGGTCAAGTGGAGACCCAGAAGAGCATGTACTTGCACGTAGTCGTCAACGATGCTGGGCACATGAATGCCAAGTCTCTGATTTGACCTGAATATGTACGATGATTTATTATGGTATGTAAATTATTTCATATTTCCAGGAGAGTGCCATTATTTGAAAAGTGTAATGGTTGCACACGCCTTTTGTTTAAAAAATAAATATGAGTCTGGTACATGCAGCTACTTAGCGCATATGGACGCCTGCAACATTGGAATTCGAGGTCCAGCGGGAAACTGGAGGTGGGGCACTTGGTTGTTCCGGTACCGATTAATTTTTTGAGAAATCCGAACCCACCCAGAGAGTCGATAAGTGGCGGGACGGCGATAAACCTCTAGGAAAGTCTCATTTCGAGCCAGGCTTGTTGTCCACCACCCACCCCCAACACTCCTCCCCCAGCAATCACGACAAGAGACCCCCGTGGGCCGCAGATAAAGTCAAGATGCCTCAGAACGAGTATATGGAACGGTGGCGTAAGCTCCATGGTCGACGACTGTACGTTTCTCTGCAGCCAAAAAAATGAATTGCCTATAGCTACGGCATCGTGCCCCAGGAACCAGAAAAACTAACCGAAATTCTTGATAAAACAGTGACCATGAAGAGCGCACGCGCAAGAAGGAAGCTCGTGCCGGCCACCAGGCCTCCAAGGACGCCCAGGAGCTCCGCGGTCTGCGGGCCAAGCTGCACCAGCAGGCGCGCCGCAAGGAGAAGATCCAGATGAAGAAGCAGATCAAGGCGCATGAGGAGCGCAACGTCAAGTCGGCCGCCGAGCAGGACCACTCGACGCCCCTGCCGCAGTACCTGCTCGACCGCAGCAACCCGACCTCGGCCAAGGCCCTCTCGAGCGCCATCAAGAACCGCCGCAACGACAAGGCCGCCCGCTTCGCCGTCCCCCTGCCCAAGGTCAAGGGTATCAGCGAGGAGGAAATGTTCAAGGTCATCAACACGGGCAAGAAGACGGCAAAGAAGGGATGGAAGCGCATGGTTACCAAGCCTACCTTTGTCGGACCCGACTTTACTCGTCGTCCCGTCAAGTACGAGCGCTTCATCCGCCCCATGGGTCTACGTTACAAGAAGGCCAATGTTACCCACCCCGAGCTCGGCGTTACGGTCCAGCTTCCCATCATCTCTGTCAAGAAGAACCCGCAAAACCCTCTGTACACTCAGCTGGGTGTGCTGACCAAGGGTACCGTGATCGAGGTCAACGTGTCAGAGTTGGGTTTGGTTACTGCCAGCGGCAAAGTTGCGTGGGGTCGTTATGTGAGTATACTCAATTTCTCGTACTTGGACCTTTTCTGCTCCCGCATTTGAAAAGGCCTCTCTGCACAAGTTGCATTGGCTTGATTTTGTGGCAGCCGTAGCGTCTTGTCTTTATCTATCACAAATTGGCTAACCTACCCATTCCAGGCCCAAGTGACAAACAACCCAGAAAACGTAAGTAATTCATGATACCATAAACACATGTCTTAGACATCAGACGTAAATTAACATATCAAACAGGATGGCTGCTTGAACGCTGTGTTGCTGGTTTAGAAAGTGGCGAAGGACACTTCAGGGATGGAGGAGATACCAAAAGATAAATTTCACAACGGCAAAATTGTGCATTGCAGGGTGTTTAGGCGTTTTAATGGGAGCTTTGCCCCGAAAGAAGGGCATAACAGAGGTTAATGTCATGTGTATGACTAGTCCTCGGAATCTTCAAATTAGTTAGATAGTCTTGGGTGTGGCAACAGAGAAAAGAGAAATCGATTTGTTGCAGCAATAATTGTTCGCCACTATTGGACCGTGATCAACTGTACATGTTTGTCATTCATTTACTGTGCTGTGCCCGTATTAGATGGTGCGGCTCCATTAGGCCAGCAGTATATCAACCCCACGTGTTCGCTGAATTGTAGGGTGAACAATGAGAATGAAATGCAAAACTTGTTCATCAACAGTAAAAAGTTTCCTATCGTGGAATACAACATGTACCAAAATCATCACAAATCCAGAAATCAATTTATTATGCGGATGATGTCAACAGTCAAAAAGCTGAGGCGCCTTGACCACATCTTGAGTATTTCACTCGGATACGGAGTGACACATCAACTTCCTGGACTTCCGGCTGCCAGCTCTAGATGTAGCTCGTCTCATCAGGTAGAAACGAACTCACTCAGTTCGCTTGCCTGTTTGCCTTGCAAAACGAGACCGACCCAGGGAATGACAAGCTCGCAATAAAATTGATCGAGTGAAAGACTGAAAAAGACCTCCAGCGCCTTCAATACCCAATGGAAAATCGAAGGTTGGACTTGATGATTGATCTTGCCCATTGCCTTGCAGGGTATTCTTAGAAGTGCATCGAGCGGCGCGAACAACTCAGCCATGGCACCTAGAACCTTATGTACTGAAGTAAATAAAGGCGTCTTGTGTATACGGCCGAGCCATCAATGCCTTGGTTTCGTCTGACTAGGAGGAGAACAGGAGGTTGAAAGCAAGTCTGCAAGCAGCAAGATAGATGGACGACGCAAAGAATCCAGATATGGCCAAGACGGTACTCCGCCAGTTGCATTGAATAATGAACAATGCCCAACGGAAAGTAGCTATTTGCGAGCGTTGATGAGCCTTGTTAATGTGTAATAGCGGAGGTGGAGGTCAGCGTTGAGGGAGGCGTTTGCGACGCTTGTAGCGGGTTCTGCTAGTTGATCTAACTTTTGTTGAATGGTATTGCCGGAATAACCTAAAGATGCAGACGCGTATAGATTCTGTAGCTTGGACAGTTTTACCTTTGGTTCGAAGGCCTCTACTGCGGCAGAGTCGGAGTCGGGGGGAGGAAGGATGGTTTGGCCGGGACTATTTTCTGTCTCAGTATGACATGCCTCTTTGATTGCAGGGGAAGTAGAACGGGTCATACGCGATGAGCTTCCAGGAGCCTTTGCGGCCGGCTTCGAGGCCGGCGGCATCTTGCCATTGCCTCTAAGACTGACTATGCTCTGGATGATAGCCAGATCCTCAATCTCTTTCTCATTACGTAGGAGACGTTGCTTAAGCGTGATCCTTCCGCCATTGGCGGCTTGTTCTTGTAATGCTCTCTCGCGCATCTCTGGGTCATGTACAAAGCGGCACTTGCCCTTCTTGCCACAAATACCTCCTGTGGAGTAGTATTTGCAGTGGGCTGTAGGATCAGCACGCGTGATCGGGGGAGGAGGCAGATACGATGCTGTTTTCTTAGTCGTCTGCGTCTCGGGGGGTTCATCATCTGAGCTCTCGGACTCCTCTTTAGGGGCACGCATCTCGTCACCCTCATCATTCGTTTCTCGCTTTCGCTTCTCTAGCTTGCGCTCAACCTCAGCCAGCTCTCGCCTAAGAAGTTCTGCCCGCTCCTCATCTTCATTCTTAGGAGCAGGCTTTTGTGCCTTGCCGGCTTCGGCGCGTTTGGCGGCTTCAGCTTCTTGCTTCGCCTTGACACGGGCCTTGGTAGGGAACCTAGCTCTGCGCTCAGATAGCCAGACAGCCAGATCGCCGATACTAAGGTGAAGGATACATGTTAGTGTTCATGGAGTTGATGTTACACAAGGAGGGACTTACTCGGGAAGATCGTCACCAAGGGTCTCTACTATGCGCTTCTCCTCGTCGATCTCCTTATCGGAATCATCAGCTTCACCTGGGGTTAGGCCAAGAGTGTTGGTCTTGCGCTTCTTCTTCTTTGCAGATGCTGCATCAGACTTCTGAGCATTGTGATTTTCGTGATGCTGAGGTCTTGGCCCCTTGTGACGAAACTTATCGTTACGATCGTTGTGATGGCCACCTCGACCCCTATGTCCAGAAAAACCATCGCGTCCGCGACCTCTATGACTGGGATTGTGCGAGTACCCGGATGCTGGGGGTGCTGGGCCAGGGTAAGCAGGGACAGGAGGAGGGTAGCTAGGATAAGGAGCCGCGTATCCCGCTGCGGAATGGTGAGAAGGTGGATACTGTTGGTTGTAGCCATTGCTCGCTTGAGGGGCATGAGAGCCGCCCTGTTCATAGCCTACACGTAGCGCGGACGGGGCAGAGTCAGATCTGTGACCACCTCGGTCACCGGGATAACCGCCTCGGCCGCCTCTGTTGGCGTAGCTTCCGTAGGAGTTACTATCGCCCCATTGCTGAGCAGGATACTCCGGTGTGGGCGAATTATACGTTGGAGTGTAAGTGGCACGCTGACTGCTAGCATGATACGCCGCGGGTGGGTAAGTAGCCGGTGACTGTGGCGGATAGTTGCTGGGCGAAGCGTAATTTGGGTGATAGTTGCTTTGAGGCAAAGGAGAGCTACTGTGCGCAGCAGGACTTCCACTCCAGTAACCACTCGAGGGCTGCTGGCTATATGAGGCAGCATTGTGCGAAGAATAATCTTGCTGGGGGTAACTGCCATAAACAGACCCATACTCAACCCGGCTGGGACCCTGAGCGTACCCGCGGCCCCTACCACCAGTACCTGCTCCGGCGCTGCCACCGCGAGGAGCCGACGAGTATGATTGTTGACCGTAAGGGTAGCTACTAGCTGGTGCCGCCGAGGGGGGCGGCGGAGGAGGAGCGCCGTACGGATACTGGCCAGACATTCTCGGTAGGAATCGCAGATGGAAAACTTTGAGGTAAACAGCAGTTCTGTCTTGTTCGAGATCGCCTTGAGAAGCAAGGGTTTAAGGTCTCTCAGCAATCGATGTCGAAGTCTCTAGGGCACTTCGTTCAAGTGACGAGAATAGCAAGGAAAGGTCGCTGCTTTAGTGAGGCTGGTGGTAAGAAGTAGAAACGCGTTGTTGTCGCGAAAAGTTGAGTGTCAGCCACCCCTCCGTTCTTGCTGCTCGACTCGACGCGGGAAAAGGCGCCACCAGAAAAATTGACCAAGAATACCAGCAGTTCTTCTTGAAAAACTGCGAGATATCGTAGAAATGAAGAACTCAAAGTGTACCCGAGGACGAATGCACAACTTGTTGAGGGGGCAGGAAAAAGTCCTTTTCGCAATGGATGGGTGTTCTCTGGCGAAGTTGACACGCCAAGGTTGACTTCCAAGTTGGGTTGAGCACTGAAGCTAAAAGCTGCAGGGACCGCCACGACGGACACGACTGCCGACCCAAGACCTTAAAAAACGCGAATAGTAGTGGAAACGCTCGGGCGCAGCCGTTGGGCTGTGGGTACACAACCGCGGATCATCACTTGCGCATTGTTCAAAGCGATGTTACAAATATCTCAGGCTTTTTAGGAGTATTTAATTATTCTATATTCTGTTAATTATTTATAATGATTATCTGATCAAGAAGTAAAATCTTGGTATCTTTATTCGGCTTATTTGAGTCTCTCTAAAGCAAATAACAAATTTGGGATTTCTAAAACTGTGAACGGATAGACGCATACAGCCAGACAGCATACACAAACGTATAATCATATTGTCAAACAATGAGTAGATACATCCATGGCCATTGCATTCGATATGATCCTCTTTATTACTTACTTTGGCAATGACCCACAAGCTGCTATAAGTATTTAGAGGAAGGAAGTAAATAGAAGCTATGATTGAATGACAGCAATGAATCGAATTCTAGTGCACTTCATTCAACCAGCTTAACAGCAGGAGTTAAAGTTCCAAAACTTACCAATGCACACACACTGCTCGATTAAACCTTGGATTGTGAGAGCAATGGCTTTACACCCACTTTTCTAGGCAATACATTAATTAAATGCATATTCGAAATATTTATTCACACTGCATTAACATAGCAAAATGCTTATTGTACCTTACCTACCTGTTCTGTAAAGCATATAAATCGCAGCCACTGGGCGGTGACAGTGACCAGGCGGCAGAAAACAAGCATCGGCAGCTTGTGCCCCACATTGAAAGCGAGAGCTCCGGAAAAAAGTACTAGACAATCGAACGGTGGACAAAGACACTGAAGGACATGATTCAAAAAACATAAAACACCCACACAAGACACCATGTTCATTTTGGTAAGTATCATGGAAAATCAAGTGAAAATGGCAAAGAGATTGACAGTCTTTTGCAGACAAAAATCGCCGACCTGGTGCAGATTGCCCCTGCGCAATTCGAGAAACACAGCAGGGTCGCTATTGAGAACAACATCAATGCAAAGTATGCGAACCGCGTAATCCAAAAGATTGGTCTCTGTATCTGCATGTATGACCTTCTCTGGGCTTCCGAGGGTCTCATCGGACACGGTACGGGACTAGTCAATGTCAATGTCGAGTTCCGCCTCATTGTCTTTCGCCCATTCAAGGGCGAGACCCTGCTTGGAAAGATTAGCAGTGCCACGCCCGATGGCTTGAACAGTGAGTTCATCAAACAAGTCAGGCATGAGTGTGGGCAGGTAACTGACTGATTGAAAACAGTCCGCACCGATTTCTTTGAAGAGATTTTCGTCTCTTACAAAGAGTTGCCCGAAGGCTGCGAATTGTAAGTTTTGGCATCACAAACTCTCAACGAGAATGAGTCACTGAATCTTTCCAGTGACCACAATGAACAATCATGGGTCTGGGTAGTAGATGACCAGCGCATGTACTACGATAAGAACGAAATGGTCCGACTTCAAGTCGTCGATGAGGAGTGGCATGATCAGGTCCCAGACAGCACCTCTGAGGAGGCAGTCGAAAAGGCCAAGAAGATCTCCCCATATAGTGTTCGCGGAACCATGATGAAGGAGGGCCTCGGCTGTTGTCTGTGGTGGGAATGAAACAACTTCTGCTTAAGAATGATGCATTGGATGGCGTTTTTGGTGTTTGCATTGGTATGGGCACACATGGTGTTGCTACGGCTGCTACAATTTATTTAGACTTGATACCCTGAAGCAATCTGTCTTCAACACCGTCCAGCACCGAGTAGTGGTCAATGACCGCCAAGTTTTCTGCCTCCGTCTGAAACTGCTTGTCGGGGTCGGTACCCGGACCAAACATGTTGGGAGCCTGAGGTCCCATACCCTGCATCTGCTGAGCCATCTGACTGGCAGCTATCAGGAGTTAGCAGTATTCATGTTGGGGATATCTCATTCACAACTCACCTGCTTCGTTGCCCAAGAGCAGGTTGAAAACAAACTGAAGGCCAAAGTAACACAGGAAGTACCAACTGATACTAGACATCCATCGAGGATCCATCTCCTTGGTGGCGACTCCTGCTTGCAGCATGCTCTTGAACTTGATGGTAATGGGGAACGGCAACTTGAGAATCACAAATCCGGAAAAGAACGCGTTGATCCAGCTCATGATGAGAGTATTGGGGATGATCATGGCCATGTTGTTCTTCATCATGCCCATCATGCCGTCCATGGCACCAGGGTCCGTCATCGGGTTGGCAGGGGGCTGTCCCCGACGCTCGGGATCCTTGAGGTAGGCACCAGACTCGTATGCGGTGGTGAGGGCCTCGCGGCGAGCCTTGAAAGAAGGCCCAGTCAGAGCATGGAAGTTGGACCGGACCGCGATGCCGTGGACGAGGGAGCGCTGCTCTTTGAGTGCTGGTTGTTCCAGTTTCTTGGGGGCAGAGGCCATCAATACTGTCGCATAGTGTCGCAAGACGCCGGTCAAAATCATCACCACCGTGATGGGAAACAGGATCCAGTAGCTGGACGAGGTTAGCGATGAAGCGAGGCATGGGGCTCGACCGAGACATACAATAATTGAGGATCCCTCTGGATCGTCTGCGGTGCTAATTGCGCCATGTTGACTCGTATGCCAGACCTGCAGCGATTGGTAGGTGTATGATGATGCAAATGGCACAGCAGTTGTTGTTACAACTTGACGTGCAGGTAGCAGGATGTTGGAGCTGAGGCTCGGAGCTCTAGCGGTTGGCGTTGGCTCAGGTCGGGAGCTCGGGCCATCGGCCACCCGTCAGGACACCTTTCGCCGTGAGTCCTTGTAGGTAGCTTTCAGTGCCATTTATTATTAGCGGGACCCTTGAAGCAGCTCATCCCGACTTACACACGTCTTTCAGCCATATACATTGTTCCAGCGCCTACCCTCCTCAATCTGTCTCGCAACTAAGCCAATTCTTCCGATTTTTTCAAAGTCAAGACCAGGAACCGAGCAAGGCAACTATCATGGCCTCGCAAGAGAAAATCACTGTCCACAATTTGGCAGGTAAGCAATGGGATTACGTCCTGTCGCAAGCTACTTTCCTGTGGCTGCAGGTTGCTTACACAATGTAGATCTAAAGAACACGTCCGATGATGCTATTCCCAACTACCTGAACTCGTTGAAGTTCAAGCAGATCCACACTCTCACCGATACACGCCTCGCGCTAGGATACAGTGCCTTTGCCATCGCCGGCGCCTGCTTTGCTTGGGATTACAAGTTCGGCTTCGAGAGCACCAAATATTACACCGCTGCCGCCGTAGCAATCTACGCTCTATTGAACGCTGTTCTCACATACTGGATTGCCTACGTTGAGAAAGGTGTCGTGTACCAAGGAGTTTCGCCCAGTGGAGAAAAGGTGCGTCTGGCTTGTAGAGCATTCACGTTCGTCCAAAGAGACTGACTAGTCCGCCTCTAGATTTCGATATCCACCTCTACCAAGAAGAACGTGCCCGAGTACAATGTCAATATCTCAATAACTTCCAAGAATGGCAAGACGGAAACAATCGAAATCAAGCGCTCGTTCACCGAATGGTTCGACTCGGCTGGCCACTTCATCGCACCTCCTTTCCAGACCCTATTCGCGACCTCGGTTCCCCTGATCGCAAAGGCTGATCCGAAGAGAATCGAAGCTGCCAAGCCTGCTCAGCCCTCGCAATCGAACTTTACAGATATGGACCCAGAGCTGTTGGACGCCTTGGCTGCCGGCTCAACAGGAGCTGAGCCCGAAGCCTCGGGCAAAAAGTCGAAGAGAAGAAAGGCGTAATTACTGGTGCACCGTATTGATACTGAAGTATCGCGGTATTGTACCAGATGATCACGACATGGGGCCATATATATGTAGAGGACAAGAGTTTGTCTATAATATGCATTACAAGCAATATACCCATAGGTCACTATAGTGCTGAGTTTCGACCTTACCTACCGCAAGCATCTTTATAAACAGTGCATCAAAAGACTGCTGCTAATGATAGCTCGTATTCGACATTGATTGGGCCAGTAACCATGAAATGACCCAAATTTGTGATCCCGTCGGGCAGCCAGTTCCGGGAACGACATGTATAGTCGGGAGCTATGTCGAGTAAGACCTTGCCTGGTCCTGGGTATCAAATTACAAACATATCAAAACTTTTCTTCTTTGGTTCTATTTTATACCATATGACCCACATTACAATCTCAGCTTAGCCGTCAACAAAAGCCTCGCTCTTGGCTTTTGCCAAAGATTCGTCGGCAGAACCGTCGGGTTTTGTTGAGGGACGGTTGGCGATGAGTCTCTGCTTGGGTGATTAGCATATACACGAGCTATGAAATTGGGGATGAAAACCAGTAGACATACAACTAGGTTTCTAAGCAGCACTGCGATAGTGACCTTGCCCACGGACGGCACATAGATCGATGCCTTCTCCTTGATTGCCGGACCGTCAAAGTTCTTGAAGGACGAGAAGTTGATGCAGACGGCTCCGTCCCGAATGAGCTCCGTTGGGACCTTGTACTTCTCGGTAGGAACACCTCCAATGATGACATCGCTGATGGGGATACACTGCTCCAGACCCCAGCCCTCCTTGTCCTGGACCTGGTGCCTCGGGGCCTTGATGCCCTGGCCGCGAGTAAAAACTTGGACGCCAGTCAAGTCGACAGAGTAGACTGTAGCTCCGTCGTTGGCAAGGAGAGCGGCAAGAGGACGGCCGTTGACCTCTGATCGGTTGATCACGGTAATGGTCTTGCCGAAAAGTCGGTTGCCATATGCCAGGATGGGGTTGTAGATTTGGAGATGCTCCAGGATCTTGACGACAGCCAATGGAGTGCACGGCAGGATGGACTTCTTCATGTTCTGAGGAGGATCCAGGAAGCGGATGTTGTGATACATGTTGTAAATGTGCTTGTGGCAAAGACCCTCAACGTCCTTGGCCAGGGACACAGTCTCCTGAATGTACCTGTCGTGCGCCGGGTTGCCAGGAAAGATGGGATAGTAGACAAGAATACCGTCAACCTTGTCATCCTCGTTGGCAGTCATGATCTCCTCCTCGAGCTTGTCCTTGTCGACCTGGCGGAGCTCAAAGTTGAAACCACTAATTTATTCATGTGAGTTTCCAAAGCCATGGCAATGGTGTGATTGGAGACTACAATGCAATAACTTCAATTGGCTTGAGGGGTTATCTTACTTTTCCTCACAAGTCTTCTTTGACCATTCAGCGTACTTGATAGCAGCAGGGTCATCGTTGGCCAGGAAAGCAACCAGAGTTGGCTGCGAGGCAGCACCAGGCTGGACCGTCTTCAGGGTGTCTTGAACCTCCTGCAGGAACTTTTTGGCAATGGTTTCTGCCAAGATGACCTTGCAGGTCTTTGGCATATCGTGGGAAGCCATAGTAGCAAAGGAAAAAGACTGTAGTGGCGCCAGTCAGTCTACCTATGTAATAAATTCCCACCGTGTCATGTGTGGAAAGAGAAAACAGGGAGAGCAGTATTTCAACAAGCACAATTCATGGCGGATACAAGGGTAAAAAAGATGTGTAAGTCGGTGCTGGGAATCGTCACATACCTGCCCCACTACCCCGCGATGGGAAGTATTCCCAGTCCAAAAGATAAAAGGTAAAGAGGTTTGACCCAAACTCCGGTGCCTACAGCTCACATCCACAGAGGATGTCCTATAGAGGCGAGTGAGCAGATAAGGAGAAGATTTGGAAAAAGAACTAAAAGAAGAGAGATGTGAAGGAGTGACAAAACGACCGACCCTCATGCTGACTACCATTGGACACAGCAGGGCGGAATGAAAAATAGACACAGAAAAAAAAAAGTACATTAGTCGCGCCAAAGTCTCCAGAAAAATTCCTTGACCCCTCTTACTAGACACGGCCTAGTGCTTGCAATATACAATTTTCGATTGGTCAGGACCTGGCCCGCCAGACAGTCCCCAGCCGACGTCGCTCCTACTGGATACATTAACCGTGCACAATTACGTTCCGCTGAAGTAGAACAAGGCGCTGGGACTGATGCATATCAAACCACCGTAGGTAAGTCGGCGACTGTTGATCTTGTCTTGGTACCTATATCAATTTTGATTCCCAGAAGCTGGCATTGGCTAGCCGACATTTATATTGTTTATTTTTCATGTCGATGCTGATTGAATTTTTTGCGCAGTCATAAGCACCGCCACTGTCTGAGGAGCGTGGTGATAATTCCTGGTAGCAAGGCGACTGTCACGTTGCCCAACACATCAAGATTCCGAACATCAGAGCTTGGCGCAACAAGCTTCAACACCCAACTCATCACTGACGCACAAAATCTCCAACACGGTCGTTGGGGGAGTCACCTGTACGTCGATTTGGCATGCTCGTCCTTGCTACCCATATTTCTATCATTGTCACATGTCACCTTCTATCGGAGTTTAGCTGACAAACCATGACGAGATAGCACTGCGGTTGGATACAATGGCCAGCAATCCATTTGACGACCTTGCGGTAAAGTATGTGCTGCAAGATGATGAGGCAGCACATGGGCAGGCAGCACAAGCAGCAGTCGATCAGATTGAGCAGGCCGCCGGAGCATCTCCGACAGCATTGAGGGCCGCCATCGGCCAGTGGGTAGCGTCTATCAACCGATGGCTAGTTCCCCAAGCCGACGATGAGGACGACATCATATCGAGGGGCAAGGCCCTAGGATTTCTGGCGAGCACTTTGGATCGTCTTAATCCCAGCATTCTCAGAGTCGATCAGGTTAAGCTGCTCCTCGCCTTCTTCTGCTCTCTCTTCTCCAGCGACCATCGCGCCGGTATCGATGCAGCTTCCAAGGCACTCAGCTCCTTGGCCAGCATGTCTTCGTTCCGGGCAATAATGGGAAACGACATCATCATTGGCATCACGAAGCTAGGCAGCGATGATTTCAAACGACAGACTCCCGCTACACGGCTTACGATCTACCAGCTGGTTCGCGGGCTACTTCAGAATGAAGCGGTCGTTAAAGACTTGGCATCCCAGCACGAAAGCTCTTCGACGTTTATGACGGCCTTGATTGACCTCTGCAGAAATGAGAGGGACCCCCAAAATTTGATTGTGTGGTTTCAGATTCTCTCGCTTTTCCTGCAAAACTTTGAGCCGGCGGATGAAGTAACAGACGAAGTATTCAAGACTTTCTCGGCGTATTTCCCAATCACATTACGGGCATCAGCAGCCCCGTCTGGCATTACAGTCGACGACTTGAAACAGACGCTACGTTCCTGCTTCTCTGCTCACCAACGCGCAGCCCGTCTGGCTATACCGTTCCTGCTCAACAAGCTCGATCAAGGTGAGGCAGTGACGGTTTCGGTAAAGGTTGACATTTTGCACACACTTGAGGCATGCCTAGCACATTACGAGAATGTCCAGCAAAGCGTTGTGCCATACACGGACCAGGTATGGTCATCCCTCAAGTACGAGGTTCGGAATGGGGAGCTAGTGGATTCCATCGAAGCCACTTTGAAGACTTTGGCAACTCTTGCAAGGAGGCTGCAAGGAGAAGAACTGCAAACGTTTCTCGGAGGTGTGTGGATCGATGTTTCTGATGACATCTCGAATGAGACGTACACTCGATCTGCCGGCAGATTACTTGCCGCCATTTCCGGTGCGAGCAGAGAGTCCTTCTCTCTGTCTTCGAAGCAGACTATCCCCCACATTACGGCAACGTTAAAGAATACGAAGTCGCCGTCTCACCAGGCCGAGCTACTGGGCGTTCTGAACGCTCTACTCCAAGTGCGAGCCGTATTGACAGAGGCAGAAGGCTCATCCGAGCTTCAGGATGATTTATTTGGCGATGCCCTGTTCGATGATGTTTTCACGCGCTTATGGTCAACATGGACCCAAAGCCAATACTCGCCTGACCGCCCTACGATTATTGCAAAGCTTATCGACGGCATGTCGTATATGGTCATGCAAAAGTCAAGCAATGGTACCAAGGAGCGCCTTTGTTCTGACGCTACATGCAACCGTGCCTTCAACTGGCTAGGCACCCCTTCCATCATATACCCGTTGGAGGGCCGGAACTTTTTGCTTGGACAAGATGACAAGGAGTATGAACAGATCATTGTTGGTGCCACAACTGCCCTTTCGAGATTGTCGCACTTGTACCCTAGCGGCTTCCAGCAACTACTGGAGCGGTTTCTGAGCGCACTTGGCAGATATGCAGAGAACCACTCTCCAGCAGGTCGTGATCTGTCTACGATCAAAGATGTTACAACGCGGCTTTCCATAATGGCATTCAAGTCTGAGGAGCTCAAGCAAGTACTTGTCGGAAATACTTTATCGCTAGTGACTGCCTTGTTACAAGGACTACACACGCTAGCAAGTGCATCGCCAAAGTACGGGCAGGCGTTCATCGAAGCTATACATATTGCCATCATACGGCCTCTCTCCACCATTTCGGATTCCCTCTTAAAGTCTAAGCAGCAAGCACCGGGTCTGGGAGTTGCAGAATCGCAAGACTGGCTAGAACAGCTGAACACTCAAGTGCAAGGCTTACCCGATGTTAATAAGGGCAATCTGGGCGATCTCACCAAAATTAGCGAGGACGTGGCAAAGGAGACAAATGATCTGGGTCTCAAGTATCAGCTTCTACTCAGATTCTCCATGAGCCTGGTCATTCAGCTTTACCGCTATTCTCTGGACGTACGACTGCAACATGATGCGGAAAACAATATTAGCATCGATGTTAAGCCTGCTCTTTTGAAAGACGCAGACATCTACCTACACCGCCTGGGTCAGTTTGCTGCAGACGTCATACGGTATCTGAGCGAGATTGATCAAATCCAGCTGCGTCTCGGCCATGAGGCGATTCTATTGTTCACCGAGCCACAGGATGCTGATGACCAAGAGACGAAGATTGCTCGCGCTGCAGGCCGATCGGATGGAACATGGGCCTTGTGCAGAGATACTCACCGGACAGCACCCCTCGTGCTGGGGATAATACAGAGCCTTCGACCTGTTGTTCTCGAGGACCTGGTAAGTCGTCATACAATTGAGAGAGGTGTGTACTCAAGAGCTAACAAAAGGTAGTATATCCACAGCGTTGTCAGTGACCTTTGCCGGAGGTTGTGCACCGTAGAGCCTACTGTAATTCCACCGGATTGTCGGGCAGCTCTAGACGCCATGCTCCTTGTATTGTCCAATAAGCTTGGCAAAGTAGAACTTGGACTCCATCTCGACCTACATTCGGCTTCGTCTGCAGCTATGCACGAAGGCTTCCGTTCAGCCGTTGAAAACAATGTGGAGGCTAGAGGACAAAAAGTACTCCTCATGTTTCTAAGCACTCTGCACTATCTTGCAGGAGATGTTGCCAATTACTCGTCCAATCAGCAGCGAAATCTGCTCCTTCTGGAACTTGCGCGGCGCGCCCCAACATGGCCACGGGTCGGACGCCAGTTCTGTCGGTACTTTGAGATTCTTCTCGGTCCGAAGGACTATTTGACCAAGAAAAGCTATGCGACAATCAAGCCCCTGCGTGGCCAGTGGCTATACAACCAGATAGTCAAGCCCTACCTTGCTGAATGCTTTCCTCGACCCGCGGCTCCGGGGCGTACTGGGATTGACGATATTGCCGCTACAAATCGATCGGTGTTCGTCTTCTCACTTCTACAGCATCTCGACTACTCGGTATGGCGAAACGAGGCCAGTGCGATCTTGTTGATCGTGATTCGTGCATTGCAGACTTTCGGTATCAGCAAGGACATTAACACTGTCCTGGAGATCCTGTCAAAGCTCATGGAGGCGGATGCGGACCTAGTCAAGGAGCATCTGAGACCGCTGATCACGAGCACTCTTGCCGTCTACGAAATGGCTCGAAATGTCTACGATGCGACGGGTTTCATCAGCGATGACAATGTACAATTCTCAAAGAGAGAAGCCGCCATGTGCCGCAAGTTGTGCCTTGCATTCATTGGCAGGCTGCCCAAGGCCTTTGGTGGCACAGTTCGTCACAATCTTTTGCCAGAGCGCCAAGCCGTGCTCAGGGGCCTGTCGCGGGCATGCGGCGATCCGGTTCGCGAAGTAAGAGAAGTAGCCATCGTGGCTCGTAGGGACTGGGACGGTCTCTCCTAGACGGTAGCGTTGTATTGTCTGGATGATGAACCAGTGCAGGTTTGCGATGGGTAAGGCTGCAGAGAGTGCAATAAGTAGGATTCTAGCCAATAGCATCATGTAAGATGATTGGTGCAAGGGCTTGGAATAAGGCATAGACACTTTACTTCAAGTTCCATTTGGAGAAGTTGCATTTTCTTCACCAATCTAGGGGTGAAGTATGAAGTGCACAACCATTGGTCAGCGTTGTTTGCCCATCTAGATAGATTCACTTGTCCCATTTGACATCACGCGAGGAGTCTACTGAAGACAACTTGAGTACATAGACATCAATGACATGTCTTTCGGGCTATTGGAGCTCATTGAGCGAAAGGATAAGAAAACCCTCCTTTCGGCAACTACGATTTGATGAGTTCCTCCATCCTGTGTTTCCCCAAACCATGCCAGGTAGTGCGCCTCTTACTCCATCGCACAATATAGACTGCATGCATTCGCGATTTGTACCGACCAATGGGCAACAATAAGCTACTACAGGTGTTCAGTACATACCTAGCTATTCTGACTTGAATGAAGCGGCTTGAACGGCTGCTCCGCTGACTGGGTTCCCCGCCTTTTTGGTTGGAGTTGGCAGTCGGGGGAGGCTGGGGTAAATCGGGTACGCCGCGATTTGAAGCTTTCGTGACGTCAATAGCGAAGGAATGGAATGCTAGGCATGTTGAACTAGAGGGCCGATATTTCCGACAAAGACAGTTTTCTACTACTTCTCGTTGCCATCTGGTCGGGACCTATACTACCTAGACTATGCACCAAAGATGGTTCCCACTATCGTCGGTGGTGTCAAATCCAAGATTGGAGGAAGATATTTCGAGTTGTCGTTTCATAATGTATAAACATGCAGTTGCAAAAAGTCTCGGACTTGAGTACGAACCCGCAAGGCTCAACTTGGTTCTTTGCAAGGAAACCAATCGCCCTGATGGCAGGAGACACCATTGCCTAGACCAGAAGAGAGAGAGTTTCTCGAAATTTCTGACGTGGTTTGCAGCCAAGCAAGCAGGTAGGTCAGACCTGGACAATGGCATGGGCCAAGCTGAGAGAATTTGGCACTACACTCACTAGGTTAGTCGTTTACCTTGCATGCATGCAGGTGCAAGTCGAGGATGATGGGCATGTTGGCGAACTTGGTTACGTACAAAATGGGCACTGCCTCTTTTTCTTAAATACAAGCATTGTCTACATAAAAAGCGGCATCCGATTTCTTGTTTTATATTTCACCGGCGTCGGCCGCGGTTGATTTTCTCACAAGCCTCGTTGCGTTCTGGAATGCTAGAATCGACCAATGTTATGATCACACATCTGATACTGGATTGACAAAACCTAAATTATTACCTCACCTGTGCAGTACACTGGAATTCACCTTCTCGCAGATATATTCACCAAAGTGGAGAGCAGACTTCGCACAACCACGAGCTATCACTTTGAAGCATGGCGTTGTTGAAAAAGTTCATGCTTCCCGTGGCGGTGGCTTTGCCGGGTTGGGTATATGGTCTCTATATCAACGGATCCGTCATTGCACCATGCGACTCCCCACTGTACTGTCAAGGCGATATCCTGGAGCAAATTGAGCTTGCCAGGCCATTTTCCGACTCCAAGACCTTTGTAGACCTGTATGTATCTACCTGATGGTTGAGGCCCTCTTTTCGTTTTCTTTTTTTTCCCAGTCCCCCTCTCTTCCGCCCGTACACACTGCTGACGATTTGTTCAAGCCCCACCATTCGCCCATTGGACGAGGTGATTGCTGCTTTCAATAACTTGACCAAGCCGATCAGCAACAATACTGAACTGAATGACTTTCTCTCGACGTATTTTGGAGAGGCCGGCTCCGAACTGACGTCTGTGCCCACGGATCAGCTCACAACAGACCCCGTGTTTCTCAACAAGACCAGTGACATTGTGATTCGGCAATACACAGAAAAGGTCATTGACATATGGCCGGATCTCACGCGGCAGTATGTAGGCGCAGCCAACTGCACGGGCTGTGTGGACAGCTTCATCACGCTGAATCGCACCTTTGTCGTTGCCGGTGGCAGATTCAGAGAGCCCTACTACTGGGACTCTTATTGGATTCTCCAGGGACTATACCGGACGGGCGGGAGTTTCACACAGATTGCCAAGAACATAATCGAAAACTTCTTGGACTTGGTTGAAACTATTGGGTTCGTACCAAATGGTGCTCGTCTCTATTATCTCAATCGGTCGCAGCCACCTCTTTTGACCCAAATGGTCAAGACATATGTGGAATATACCAACGATACCAGTATCCTCGAAAGAGCCCTGCCACTACTGATCAAGGAGTATGACTTCTGGGTCAACAATCGAAGTGTAGAGATTACAGCAGGAGAGACCACCTACACTCTGAATCGGTAATGAAGAAACCTTACCATGCTGATGTGAAAGTGCAGTGCTGACATGCTTCAGCTACGACGTGGAAAATACTCAGCCACGCCCAGAGTCATATCGAGAAGACTATGTATCTGCCAATAATCAGTCATACTATGCCACCTCGGGGATCATCTACCCAGAAGTGAAGGCCCTTAACGATTCGCAAAAGGCAGACCTGTACGCAAATCTGGCGACTGGGGCAGAATCGGGTTGGGATTATTCTAGTCGCTGGCTTGCCAACCCATCTGATGCAGCCGACGACGTTTACTTCCCCTTGCGGTCCCTGAACACGAGAAACATTGTCAGCGTTGACCTCAACTCCATTCTTTACGCAAATGAGATACAGATAGCCGAGTATTTGGAGGCCAGCGGAAATGACACGGGAGCCAAGGCATACAGAGAGCTGGCGGATGCGCGATCCAAAGCCATGTATGCACTAATGTGGAACGACACCTATAACAGCTATTTCGACTACAATCTCACATCAGCTTCGCAGAACCTCTATGTCCCGTCCGACACGGACACCACCGCTGCACAGAAAGCTGACGCTCCAGATGGCTACCAGGTGTTCTTTCATGTGGGCCAATTTTTATCCCTTCTGGCTCGGCGCTGCGCCCTCACAGCTCAAGAATAACCCATTGGCGGTCACGATTGTCTATCAGAGGGTGGCAGATCTGCTCGCTGAGAAGGCTGGAGCGATCGCAGCGACCAACTATCAGACAGGGCAGCAGTGGGACCAGCCCAACGTCTGGCCGCCGCTCATGTACATCTTGATCAATGGGCTGCTCAACACGCCGGCAACATTTGGAGAGGATGACCCGTACTATATCCAGACGCAAGACCTCGCCCTCGCTCTGGCCCAGCGCTACCTCGACAGCACGTTTTGCACTTGGCGGGCCACGGGCGGCTCGACCGATGACGAACCGCAGCTGCAGGGATTTAATTCTTCCGATGTGGGCATCATGTTTGAAAAGTATGGCGACAACTCGACCAACGCCGTCGGCGGCGGAGGCGAGTACGAAGTGGTCGAGGGGTTCGGCTGGACAAATGGGGTTTTGATCTGGGCCGTTGATACCTTTAACTCGAAGCTTACACGGCCCGATTGTGGTAATATCACGGCAGCGAATAACAATGAGAAGAGAAACATGCCACCGAGCGCAGTCGAGTTGCATGCTTCTGATGCCAGATGGGTTAAGAAGTTTGGTAGGCGATCTGGTAATGTTTAGGTGGCCGGCGGAGACGAAGCGTTTGGACCATGTTGATGAGAAATGAATAGCTCTACGTCGATGATTCAATGGTTATATGTACAATGATATTGCTTATTTTGAATCATAATTCCATCTCCAAATATTTTGCTCTTTTGATCCTGCTATGGTGGCTACAATGCTGGTTGGGGACAATCTCTAAGAATGAACAATTGGATCATGATCCTCAATATATTTGTATCATTTCTAGATGAAAGAGCAATATTGAATCAACATGATCCTTCACCAGTGACATGGGACTTCTGCGCCTATACTACCTAGGTAGGATCGACACCATTGATGCAGTGTACGGATTGTGCGCCACCCTAGCTAGGATAGCGCTAGGCAGCTGTCCGACTGGATCATACTTCCAATGTCTACCACAAGCTCTACAAACTGGACATAATCTTTTGGATCGCAGGCATCATAGTACATTGAGTGGTTCGGTCCAGGCAGAAATGGTATTTTGTATTTGATGAATTACACGGGCTGGCATCTGCCTGGTCACGGGACCTCGCACGATTCTCGCGTTGAGATGCTTGGCTCAGGCAGCTCTAGGCAGAAGAGCGCGCTAGGGAAGGCGATAGCTTCCTTCTCCTTTCCATGCAGCAGCGCGTGAAACCAAGGCGCGCCGCTGCGGCCTAGGCAATTAGCACCTCACCTCTGCAAATTCAAACAAGATGCATATGTTCAGGACGTCAAAGGCCTGGAGACGGGGCAAAGTGTATAAAAGTGATCTCAACTCCTTCGTTTTGACATGAATTGACTCTGCTCAGTTACACCCGTTGTTTCATCATTCGCAGGCCACCTCTTTGTTCTTTGATTCAGACAAAAGTAGCTGCCATTACACACGGACAACGACAATTACTCCCCAGTTGTGTTCAGAGTCGTCGAATTACCCATCATCATTCTTCTCCTCAAAAGCCTCAAGACAACGAAATGGCCATCCCAGAACTTCCCAAGCTGCCAGTTCCTCACAACGAACTGGTAAGCTATATTGCCAAGAACCCAGATACCCCCATTGAGACCTTGGTTGGTCCCTATCGCAAATATGAAGCCAGTCTGCGTCAAGTATATGCGCAAGATCGCCACAATGCAGTCTTGGACGACCCTTACATGAATGTCCTGCCCCTCTTCACCAAGGACACGCCAGATATCAAGACGCGGGCACGCAACCTGGCCGCTGAGTCCACCGAGGAAAAGGAGAGATATATCATGACCCTACCCGATGACAAGCGTCGAGCAGACGGTTCTCCTGCCGTGGTGGAGTCATTGAAGGAGTTTCGCCACAATTTCAACGTTTTCTGCGAGTCCTCACTCGTCGATCTAGACTGGAACAATGTCGTTGCAGCTGGTTCGTCTGCTGTCAATTGCCTGCTTCCTGTGCCTGAAGGATACAAGAAGTCCAAGAAGACTTTGAGAAAGTATTGTAAGTACCGCCTAAATATGGGCACAGGTTTCAATCCTTTCTGACCAATGTAGACCACGAGAAGTTTGCTCCAGCTTCTGACATTGATCTCTTCCTGTATGGGTTGAACGAGGAAGAAGCCATTGAGAAGATCAAGCAGATCGAGGCCTCTGTCCGCGACGCTATCCTATCCGAGGTTACCGTTGTTCGAACCAAGAATGCCATTACAATCTGCAGTCAATACCCGACACGCCACATTCAAATCGTGTTGCGAGTCTACAAGAATGTCTCCGAGATCCTGACCGGATTCGACATCGACTGTTCAGGTGCTGCATATGATGGCAAGCAAGTCTACTGCACACCAAGAGCTTTGGCGTCCTATATCACTCAGATCAACCCCATTGATTTGAGCCGCAGAAGCCCCTCGTATGAGAATCGACTCTCCAAGTACAGTCACCGGAATTTTGAGGTATACTGGCCAGAGCTTGATCGGTCTCGAGTCGATCCAACCATTTTTGAACGCAGCTTTGGAAGAACTCTCGGTCTTGCTCGTCTCCTCATTCTCGAACGTCTTCCCACGACCAATGCCCGGGAGCATTACTTGAAGAAGCGCCGTGAGGAACGTGGACGTCCTGATCCTGGTTACCGACATCAGTATAGGCTCTTTGGCAATATCAAGGACGCCCATGAAGACGAAGTTGCCGACTGGGTCGATGAGGAAGAAGTTTCCAACTACCACACCTTTACTGTTCCGTACGGTGCCAAGTTCAATGCCAAGAAGATTGAAAAGTTGTGCTATACCCGAGATTTGCTGCTCAATGCCGAGTGGAATCAGCCCAAGGAGCGCGAGGTCTACCTCCATCGCCATCCGGCTTTCTTTGGAAGAGTCCAAGACGTCGTTCAAGACTGTTGTGGCAGTTGTCCCAAACCAGAAACTGCAGAGGAAGTTGAGATTGCAGAAAAGGAGAGCGAGATTTACGTCTCAGGCAAAGTCACCTTTCGCATCGATGACCCAGGTCGACAGCAGATTGGCTCTTTCAACCCGTTGACCGATGACGATTGGACCGAAATGGCCTATGTTGGAAACACTGCACGCCTATGCCAGGCCATTGTTGATGAAGACCTAGAGCATGTCGAGGACTGGCTTGCTCAGGAGGGTGCTGACCCCAACCAGAGAGATTACACTGGCAGAACTCCATTGCAACTTGCCGTCACCAGTTCATCCCCGGCTATCGTGCAAACTCTGGTAGACCGCGGCGCTAGACTGATTGCTCGGTTAGCCGACGGTAGAACTGCTTTGCATTTAGCTGCTGCTCGTGGAAATGTCGAGATTGTCAAGATTCTTCTTACCAAGAGTGCTACGAACGAAGAGGAGGAAGAAGACAAACAGGACCAGCGCCACAAGGTACGCGAGGCTGAGACGAAAACCGCCTTGGAAGGTCAAGACTCGAAATCAAAGAAGATTGAAAGTGACCCAGACAAGACAGACGACGAGGACGACGAGTCAGACGGTGAGATGCTTGATGATGAGAATTCAGACAATGATGTGCACTCAGTCACGACTGGTTCTTTTGTCAAGATTGACAAGAATGAGGACGCTGCCAAGGCTGAAGAAGCTATGCCGCTCGACGATGACGCATCTGATCCAGATTTCTATAAGATTGATGTCGTGGCTTGGGATTCACACTGCAGCGCTCTGCATTATGCAATCGTTGGTGGTCACGTCGATGTTGTCAAGCTCCTTTCACAAGAATTTGCTGCCGATATCCTCAACCCCGTCAAGTTTGGCGATGCTTCGCAGTCTCATGAGACTCGCGCCGCTATCCTGACTCTGGTCCTTGCCCTGGCTTTGCCTATGGATAAAGCCATTGAGATGGCCAAGACTCTCCTGGCTCTAGGTGCAAGTTCGTCCCAAGCTGACGTGGATGGTGTCACGGCTTTTCACCGTTACGTGCAACATGGCGATTCCAAGCTTGTTGAGACTCTTTGGGAGAACGACAAGTTGGGATTAAAGACGGCCATCAATCACATTGCTGTCCGTGGCGCATTCTGGAGGATGAATGCAACTAGTCCTCTCATGACAGCTATTGAGAAGAATAACCCAGTCATGGTTCTTCGACTTCTTGAGGCCGGAGCCAACCCCCAGGTTGACTTTGAATCGTGGCTAAAGGGAGCCAAGTTTTCTTTCGAGAAGAATCTTGCAGAGTTTGGCTTTGAAGGAAATCAAAAGAAGTTCAAATCTTCTACAGAGCAACCCCTGATCCTTGCTATTCATTCAATGGAGCCAGCCATGGCATTGGACCTCCTAGAGCGTGGAGCAGACCCTAATGTCATCACCAAGCAAGGCCAGCAGGTGCTAGAAGATAAGTGGTCACGCACTCATCACAAAGGATGTGCAGCTCTTGATGAAGTGCGCCGATGTCTCGAGATTCTGGGCGAGTACAAGGATGAGCCGACCAGATATTTTTTTCACACTACTGTCTATGGCGGTGGCCATCGTTTCCAAAACAAGTACACTGAAGCTCCTCCTGGGCCACAAGGGACGGAAGAATTCCTGCAGAAGTTCACGGCTGGCACGTATCAGCATTGGCTTGTCAAACATGACATCGACCACAAGTTCAATTTATACAATCATCAGGTCGAGTTGTTTAACAAGGCACGACAGGAACACAATGATGACGACATCAAGGCCAAGAAGGAAACCATTAACAAGATGATCTCACAGCTTCAACAGGTTGAGGAAGCCCTCGTAGCCAAGGGTGCTCTGACTTTTGCACAGCAGTTCCCTGATATCCCACCACCAGTCAAACAGCCGAGAGGAGATAGTAACGGGAAGGATCGCGCGTACGAATACAAGTACACTATTCATGGTGCTTCTGATGTGACTGAAATCCGAAGAGAAGCCTATATTGAGCTGTAAGTACTCCCATCACTCTGACTGTACAGGAGAAGCCATGAACTAACAGCTTGTCAATAGATTCGAGGCTGCGTGGACTGGCGATCTTGAGAAGATCAAGTCCTTGACACTTTCTGCCTGGGGGACCGACAAGTCCGAGCCGCCTCTCAAGGTGGCTGTACTAGACCTCGGCTGGAATTCACCCTTCTCAATTGCCTTCTTGAGAGGTCACCTTGACACAGCCAAGGCCATTCTTGAAATCGTGCAGGCCCAATGGTCACCCCCAGAGGAGAAGACAAAACGCTACAAGATGACCCGAGACGAGGACGAGAATGGCAGCGATGAAGAGGCGGACGACGACGGTGATGACAACCCAAGAATCTACGAAGAGATTGTAGATGATCAGTTCACCATTGAGAACATTGGCCAGGTCTCCATGAAGGTCAAGAGTCATGAGCTGCCTAGCTCCGTACTAAACAAGTCGTGTCCTTTATTCATCATGCGCGGCGATCAGATCGAAGACGAAATTGGCAATAACACTCCCCTATCCTTTGCTCTGAAACACAATGACAAGGAACGATTCAATTTTCTCTTGGACACGGACGTTTACTTCAGAACCCACGCGCCTGCACAGACAGAAGAGGATGAATCGAGCCGATTCTACTCACTTTCCGAGGCTGACTTCAAATTGGCTGTCAGCCTGGGCCGGACCGATATGTTGAGCGACGTTATTGCAAGGTTTGGCGCGGGTATCCCACTTGAGCACTTGGTGAAGAAGAGTGGCGTGGAGATGAAGACAAAGCCAAAGTACTATCAAGGACTTACTGTGTACGGCAAGAAACGATCAGACTGGGCAAACGCCGGTCGCAATGTCATTGTCAAGGCAACAGGCAGTCAAGTGCCTCCTTTGTTGACTGCTGCTGTCGAAGGCTCTTTGGCCTCTGTCGAGTGGTTCTTGAGCGATACTCCGACAAGGCAGTACCTGGAGTTTGGAAAGTCCAAGGTGGCGAAGGAGGACCCGCGCCTAAAGCATTTGAAGCAATCACCGGGTGGCTTCGACAGAGCCATTACAAAGTGGCTTGGTCTTCAAAGTAAGCTTACCTGGATACGTCCTACTTTTCTTGAGGCTTTGATACTGACTGTTTAAATAGATGATATGGTGATTCATGCTGCTGTCCTCGGACCTCTTGGGCATGAGACCAATCGTCTCATCAAGTATCTGGCCCGGGTCTATCCATCCTCCTTGGAGGCAAAATCGGAATCTGGTTACACACCTCTGTTTCTAGCTTGTCTCATGGGCCGCGTAGAGTTTGCAAAGACTCTTGTTGATGCTGGCGCTGATCAATCCGTCAAGGACAAAGACTACAATAATATCATCCACGCAATGCTGGCCAACAAGCCAAAACTTGGAAAGCTTGAGAGCCTTCTCAGCCTATTGGACCCAGAACTCAGGGCTCATCTTTTCCTTCAACGCACTCACCTCACTCATGGAGGTGACACGCCGTTACATTCCTGGATCAAAGATGCCAAAGAGGTCAAGACAACTCGCTCTCATCCTTGGGAGGAGGATCATCATTTTGAGTCGAAAGAGAGCGAAGAACATGTGGAGATCACAAAGCTTCTGCTCAAGCTCTCTGGAGGAGATGATCTTGGCATCTTGAACGGATCTGGCGATACTGTCCTTCACAGTGCCGTGGCATACCAGCTACCCAAGCATGCCCAGGTGATCCTCGACCACAACCCCAATCTGCTGTACCGCGAAAACTCTGTCGGCAGGACTCCTGCTGAGATTGCGTACGATCAAGTCATCAGCATGAAGGTGAAGCCATGTCCAGATATTAGTATCAATTTCGACCGGTACAATGTAAACAACAGCTACGTCGACAGGCTTCCCAAAATCTATAAGATTCTCAGCGAACCGGCGATCCCAACCCGAAAGGAGCAGGTCTGGAATCTGGTGCAGAAGTACCAAGCGGACCATCCGGGCAAGCGTCGACTCGTGAGCCTCAACGAGGCAAATGACGTCGCTAGGCGTCTCGGAGAGAACTACTCCTGGCAGCGGTATTACTCCAAGACCAAGACCTCAAATCAGGACAACTCGAATCAGGACAATGAGCACGAGGAAGACGAGGAGAAGGAAGAGGAAAAGGAGAGTGATTTTGTGAGCATTCAGTACTCGAGGAAGCAGTCTACAGCATGGAGTGACGAGATGCCAAAGAAAGACTAGGTCATCTATCAGCAGCCATTGATGGCCTCGGGGACGGTATCGGTTGTCTCTGTCCGATGAAACGACACTGGCTGGCTTTGATAATTTGTGCTTTTCGCATGTCTCATGAATTTGCTGCTCGTTATACATGAGAGGGTGGCGTTACTGGCTCACATTGATTCTTGACTTGACGTCTGTTATTTTCCACGGCTTGGTAGTTAGCTTCATTCCTTACGGTCAATTTACTGCTTCAACAGACGCTGATTATCCTGCTGCCATCCAATTCATCTCACATCTTGTATAATCCACCATTTGAATCCGACGCCGTTCCATTGACCGTCGGCTCAGATTTCTGTTCGGCAGCCATTTGTTCAAAAACCTTGGTCAAGCGCTGGATCGCATCCTCGCCTACCTGGTAGTGGGTAATGATGCGCGGCCCGGACAGTTTGAGTCCCTGCTCGGCACCGAGCTGCTGAAATCTCGACGACGTGGCGCCAATGGAACTCAAATCCAGCCACAGCATATTAGTGTCAACGGGATACTGGAGCTTGCCGCCCAGATCGGTCCAAATCTTCTCGACGCGCTTGGCCGTGGCATGCGATCCTTGGAGCAGACCTCCTTGGCCGTTGGGGCCCTTGCCAAAAGTCCGGTCCACGGCGACCCGCGCCGCGGCCGTCACCACGCCAGACTGCCGGAGTCCTCCCCCGATAGCCTTGCGCATCCAGCGGGCATGCTTGACCACGCCGGCGGGACCCACGAGGACGGAGCCAATCGGGGCGCCGAGGCCCTTGGAAAAGCACAGATTCACGGTGTCGAAGCAGGAGGCATACTCATCGAGCCCGCCGGCCCCCGACGCCGCGGCCTCCCACAGCCGGGCGCCGTCGAGGTGCATCTTGATGCCGTGGGCGCGGGCAAACTCGGCCACGCGCCGCACCTCGGCCAGGGGCGTGACGACGCCGCCCAGCGTGTTCTCGAGGCTAATCACGCGCGTCGGGCACGAGTGCACGTCGTCGTCTAGCACGGCGTGCTGCTCCACGTCCTCGAGGGTGAGGTACAGGCCATTGGCCGGGACTATGGGCGACACCATGGCGCCGGAAAGACTTGCGACACTATATTACAAAAGGACAAGAATGATCCTCAACATCAGCCGCAAGTTTAAGAGAAAAATAATTGTGTAGTTTCAAGGCTGGTTTCTGCTCACCCTCCAGCCTCATACTTGATTATGTGGGATCGGTGATCACACAAGACGCTGTGCGGCGGCTGCGTGAGCAGGGACCGGAGGGCCAGCTGGTTGCCCATGGTGCCCGAGAGGACAAACAGGCCGGCCTCCTTGCCCGCCAGCGCCGCCACGTGCCGCTCCAGGTCAATCGTGGTCTGGTCCTCGGCGTAGACGTCGTCGTCGAGCGTCGTCACCTCAATGGCCCTCAGCATCTCTAGCGTCGGTGTGGTCTGAGTATCGCCTTTTTTTTTTAAAAGTAGAGAAAAACATGTCAGTTTTGTTGTATAAGAGAAAAAGAAAGTGTGAGAGTTCTAAACATGTGCAAGTTTTGGACTTTTCTTCTCTTCTTTCTTGCCATATGGTGCAAGTCATGAGGCTGCTGTTGTAGACAAGACTCACTTCGCAGATCGAATGCCGCATTGCCCCGGTGTCCCAGCCAGGTGCTGGCCGACCTTGCCCCATTCTCCTCATAGGCCTGGTTTGGATCAAGTTCTTGTTGAGCCATTTTTGAGCCTGTGGTGTAAGACGAGTGAGCTTGTCTCGATAAAAATCTGCTGTTACTGAATCTTGTTGTGCAGGTAGCCACAGACCGGAATGAAGATGCAAAGTGTGAGCTTCCTCTTCTGCTGGAGCTGGAGGAGGAGCCGTGATTACAGAGCAGCGGTACAGCCGATGATCGGTCGGCGGCTGTCATCCGAAAGGCGCGGGGCCACGGCAGTCTCTTCGCCGCCATTATCCGGACGTCCCAAAGCTCAGTGTGTGTAAAACGGTTCCGGCGAATCACAATAATATCCTACCGTGTATAAGAATATAGTTTTGAGTATGGGGGATTGAGTAAACGCGGCGCTTATCTCGATAACGCAAGTTGTCAATGCGGAGTAAAGGCCGCTTATCATTGAACCTTACGTGCGGGTAGCTCAGGCAGAGGACGGAAAACACGTTGAATCTTTAGTCTTTAATATGGGGCGTTTGTCTTAAAAACTGCGATGTCGTCGAGATAAGATCTCGCAAAAAAAGAGATCTGCTATCTACATTTTATTCCGTACACCACCTACGCCTAATGCAGGTTAGTCATCTCGTCTATACTGACTTTAATAAAACGCGCCACGCATCTATACCAGCCGCCATCAATGGTTTGAAGCAATTGGCTGAGTGTATAGTGATTTCATTATGGATTGCACCGAAGATGGTGTGTCAATCCCAAGCTAGAAGCTGTCTTGCCCGGAATGTGTGACTTTGATGTACTTTGGAACTCATAGGATTATTGGAGCATCATATACGGCAGGTCCCTGATCATCCATTGCCAGATATTAGTATCAATGCTTTAATCATTGATAATGGACGACGCGTGGTTGAGCAAAAGGGAGCTCATTTGTCAGATATAATTTGTTATTGGCGTCCCCCGTATTTTCTAGATTAGTGTCTTACGTATGGGGTCGGGCCAGAGCCGAGCAATCCGTCGTCAGAAATACTGGCATGAACGGACCTCCGGACGGCATCGTGAAGTTGCAGCAAAACTTAAACCTATTACATGCCATGACCGACTTGAACATACCAGTCCGGGTATAAAGACAATATAATGTATGAGCGAATTCGTGCAAAAAGGTTCATGCCTACATATCTTCTACGACCTAGTGTGTCTTGTTGACCTACTTACTAGGTCGAAAAACACCACACCACAGCCTCCTCTCCAATACGAGGAGCTTGCGTTGTAGTTATTGGAGCCAAGACTTGTCAGTGGAGATGCTGGACCCCCTACTAATCAGGTACTCTGTAGGTTCTCTTGGAAGGTGGAGAGCATTGATGAGAAGTGGCACAGAGAGAAGCGCCGATCCGACGTGGTATTGGATCAATCACAGGGCCAGGTCTTGTTGGTCTCGCTAAAAACAACACTCTGCTACTTTCAGGCACGTACAAATTCAATCCAATCCTTTACGAATGCCAATGGCCCATGGGAAAGAATGAAGCGACCACACATAACCCCCTGAAAACAATGCAGGCGCTAGGCCATGTTTGGATTCTTTGCGTGACGGCAGTGAATAACCTGAAAATACAAGAACTTGGCATGTGTTCTGTCTCTCTCGTCGTATCGTCGTTGCCCCTTTGCCTGACCTCTTTTTTTTCTTTCTTCTTGTCCAACTTGGCATTGTATCATCAATGGTCAAGCCGGAAATCGCCTTGGTGCAGTTTCACATGTGCGCCTCGACTTTTACATGCAGGCGCAACCTTTTTTCTTTCTTTTTGCGTCATGATCATTAAGCAAGGCGTATCTCTCTCTATGCGACTCAAAATAACAGGGACTGGTCACTGGTCACTGATTGCTTGCTTGCTTGCTTGCTCGCTCGCCGCCAGCAATATGCTTGCGCGCGTCAACAAGAGGGGCTCGTTGAGAGTCTCGCTGATCTTTACTTTCATCGTCTTTGCTCTGATCTGGCTCAATCCCAACTGGACGGACAGGTCGATTCACCGGGTTTTGCACGTTGGTCTGGATACCGACCTGACCACAGCCGATGCCAAACAGGGCCTGTGTAAGCAGCATGGATGGCAGCCCTTTGAAGGCTCAACGAGGCGCGTCTACGATCTTCTCATGGTGAACACGGAACTCGACTGGCTAGAAATCAGATTGAATACAACCTACGACCATGTCGACTATTTTGTAATTGTCGAGTCCCCCAAGACTTTTACCAATCTCGACAAGCCCTTGGTCATCAAGGACAACCTGGACAAGTTTGCAGCCTTCCGCGACAAGATCATTTATCATGAGCTCGAGATCCCACCCGGATTTCACTCTGATCGCGAGAACCCGGCATGGGACTGGGAGGATCTGCAGAGAAACGCAATGTACGATCAGGTCCTGCCTAGGCTCACCGATGCGCGGGCGCCCCGGCACAAGGACGTCATCATCGTGGCCGACGTGGACGAAATTATCCGTCCAGAGACCATCACTCTGCTCAAGACGTGTGACTTTCCGCGGCGACTCAACCTGCGGAGTCAGTTCTTCTACTACAGCTTTCAGTATTTGCACATGGGACAGCAGTGGGCACATCCGCAGGCAACCTTTTATCAGGGACAGGATACGATTCTTCCAGTCAATCTCAGGAACGGGGACGGTGGTTTTGCACCATTGATTGCATTCGAGACGGCCGACCTCTGGGATGCTGGGTGGCACTGCTCGTCGTGCTTCTCCACGATTGAGGAGCTCTTGACCAAAATGTCGTCATTTTCGCATCAGTGGATGAACCACGAGTTCTTTCGCAATAGAGACTGGATTGCAGATCATGTTCGGGAGGGTAAGGATGTCTGGGCAAGAGAGACGGAACATTATGAAAGGATTGAGAATAACCACGATATACCCAAAATTCTCCTCGACCAGCGGGATAGATTTAGATATTTGCTAGACAGGGACGGACCAAGTGCTGGATTCCAAGATTACCCATAGTTTTTGAATTTAATCATGATCAATTTCATACTCGACGCGAGTGAAATCAATTATCTTTTTTTTCTGTTATCAAACAACACCTGAAGTGAAATGCTTGTGATCTTCTGAACATACTGAGGATAAATGACATAATGAAACATGTGCAAGGAGAAATCATTAATTCAATGCAAGGCAACCTCGGGGTATTGTCCATGTTAGTTATTGAGCACAGAGTATCAACCAGGCAAGTCTCGTAGTTTACGACGCCATTGTCTGTTCACCGTAAGACAAGTGGAATAATCACGCGTTCAGCCGCACGTGGTGACGAGCAAACAACTCTCAGACGGGCCGGCGACTACCACGACATGGAGTACCCAAGGTCTTTAGACGCTGCAGGTACTTTTCCCTCCTACTGCCTCCGACACTCAGTCCAGTACGATGCAAACGAATGGCCTCGTTGCCTCGTCACCCATCAAAGTTGGCACCCCTTCCTCCTGTCTAACCTTTCTCTTCTTCCAAGCTAATCAACAATATCGAAGTGAGAGGCATCACTCTTCATTCTTCCTTCGAGTCTCCTTCGCTTTTGACTCAATCAACAACGTCGACGGCTTCATCGACTTGTTCACGCTCCTTTTTGTCGTTTCCACTTCACGCTCTTTCCTTGTCTTCATCACAGCAGCATCTCACCCCCGAGTCATTCGCGCCATCTATGCTGCAATCATGAAGCTGCTCAACACCATCGCCGCCTCCCTCGTCGCCTTTGGCCAGCGCGCCGCTGCCCAGGGCTTCCTCGGAAACTGCACTTGGCGCGGAGCCAACTTGACTGGTTCCTGGCTCGGCAGTAAGGTTTTTTCTTCTTTCCTTCTCAAACTCTCAAGAACTCACGTCTGTTCACACCCTTGATATTCTGTGCTAACCAAGAGCTTGCAGTGTACTGTCTTGACGACAATCTCGCCATCTTTGAGAACAAGTGGACCTGTAAGTAAACACTCCCTAACCATCCAAGAAAGAATAAAGCAAAAGTTGCAAAGCTCTTCCAAAGACTCTGTGATTACTTCCCCTTTGTTGATACCAAATCTTTTTACAACAACAAAGGGCACGATCTTAACCTCTGCGTCGCCAACAACAACGGCGAGCTCTACCCCTACGCTGATGGCAGCTACCAGGGCTCCTGCCGCGACTGCGGCCTCGAGGCCACCAGCCACCTCTGGATGAACCTCACCTGCAACTGCTTCGACATGGGCGGTAATCTCAAGCCCTCCAAGTACAACCTCAGTAAGGATCTCCCCTCCAGTCCTTCTTTCTATCCCATAGCTTCATCTCTTCTTTCCAGCTCGCCCCCAACATCCCAAAACAGAAAGGTCGGGGAGAAAGGAGAAGACGAAAGACGGAAAACTGACATGTGAAATCAAAAACAACCAGACCAGATCTTGTACAATCACAATGGTTCCCTGGGCTGCTTTGACCATTTGGGCAACAAGTCCGCCTGCGGCCCCATGTGCGATGAGGGCTATCGCCAGCCGGCCTACACCACCCCGTTGCCTTCCAACGCCAAGCGTACCGACGACGCCGTGTCCATGCCTACGCACCTCGACTTTTCGGCTTGAGAGAGCAAAAGAGACTTGAGCTTATTTTCCCCCTCATGCTCCCTACCCCGGGGAGGGGCAATGACTCTGGAATGTTCTGATTCAAAGCAAGCTCGAGGAAGGGGGCGGAAATCAACACTCGACTGATGAATGGCAGGGGGGAATAAAGAAAAAAGGTAGCAGGAGAAGCAAGTGATGAAAGCACATATTCAAGATAATCCCACAGCACACTATGGAATGATGTGATGGGCAAGAATTGTTCTCGAGTTCAATGTATGCAAAGGGGCTTCAGCTTGTGGTGTTGCAATAATTCATACATACACACACAAGTCAATCACATACACTTGTTCATTAAGAGAGACCGACCAGCTCAATGATTAAGAACTCTGACTTGTTTAAATTAAGGTTCCTGGCCTGTGCTGAAATATGGTGCTTTCATGGCCGTTAAGTGGCAAGCTAATCACATAGCAGCACATGAATAGTTCTTGTCCGAAGGATATTTCCAAATAACCTCTTTCAGACCTATATAGTGACGCATCTTCCTATCGGCGGTAACTCTCTTGGATTTCAAATGATTCCTATCCATTACCCCAAAATATGGATCATGAGATCCCCTCTCCATCTCGCAAGCTTCTTCCGAATGCCCGAGAATGGTGCAAGGTCTAGGTGGCTGAATTGCTGACATGGGCAATTATCGATGCTGTGCTATGGTATCGAGAGAATAGTGCAGACCATGATGCTGAAAAATGCTTTCGGAGAAAAAAAAAACAGTATGTCGTTTGGGATGCTTTTCCCAATAGAACGCCAAAAAATAAGACACCCAATTTCTGGGGCGTCTCTCATGCTTTAAAAACAATGCTACGCTGGTGTCTTGGCAAGTTTAAGTTCCTGTGTCTCGTCTTCTGAAGATGCCACGACTCCTTGACTTGCTGCGAGCCCTCTGCTTTTTATCAACGGCATCATCTGCATACTTGGGTTTGTGGATCCTAGAAATTGAGTCAGTTTCACGGTTTGAACAACAATGATCACCAGAATTCGACTTACCAACTGTTGCCGGGCATACTCATACCCTTTGCCTCGGCTGCACGATACAATTTTGCGCTCTTCTTCAGGTCTTTCTTGCAACCTATGCCTTGAGCGTAGCAGAAACCGGCCTCGGCAAGGGCATCCACATCGCCCCAGTTGCCAGCAATCTCAAAGCATCGTACGGCCAGTGCCTTGTCTTGCTCAATGCCCCAACCGTTCATGTGGCTGACGCCTAGCTCGTAGATGCTAAGAGCGAATTGGGCCTTTCGAGTTTTACGTTCGGCGGGATCAACATTCTTGTTGTGCTTGACCTGGTCTTCGTCCTCGGCGATTTCCAGACTCGCGCAGTCTGCTGCCTTGCGTAGCCATTCTACACCCTCCTTTTGGTTCGGACGCATGCCCCATCCATGTCGACACGCAAGAGCATACAACAGCATACCCGTTGGGTTTCCACCCTTGGCAGCAAAGCGCAAATGATATGTAGATTCTTTCACATCTCCATTCTCATGGCACTTGATGCCCTTTGCTAGATGCTCCTCTGCGCTTGTCTCGGCGGCAGTTGGTGCCACTGACTTTGCAGGCTTTATAGTACTTGCCGAGTCACTTGTTGACATGGAGGTCCGGCCTCGGCTCTGGTCGGCTGGCTGTCGACCCCTAGGCGCATCTTCGGATGGTCTCGGTGATGGCTCGCCGCTGATCGACATCTCATTAGACAGCTTACTTCGCTCCAATGATGGTCGTGCCAGGAGCGCATCGCCGGACGTGGGTGCTTCCAGGTTATGTGACGAGGAGCTGGTGGGCCTAGACGGTGGCGATGGTGGTGCCTGACCTTTGGCGAAGGGCTGCACATTGCTTGGCCCAACCACTGGCTGTTCCCACGCAAACTGAGACACATCGTTTGGGTTGAATATCAGCGAATTGCGCTGCAATGCCTTGCCTCTTGGTAAGTAATACTTGGTGTGAATATAAGACGGAGCGCCTCTCACACTTTCGTCGTCGGCAAATGTTTCACTGTGCATGCTAATTGGCGTATGGGCAGTGTCATCCATAAGCATAAACGAAGGTTGGCTATCTGACGATGCTTGTCGCTGAGGCGTTTCGAGGCCAGGTGTACCAGATCGACTTAGGGGTCTGGAGAAATTGAAAGATGGTCTCGGCAACGAAGCTACGGAGCTGATGGAAGGAGACCTTGCGTATGGCCGATTTGTTCCCGTGATGGGAGACGCCACCGGCCCGAGAGTGCTGCTGGCTGACATCTTGCGAGGAGCGCTTTGAGAGTGCTGGGAGTGAAATGAAGCGCTCAAATTGTCATCATTTGGCATCTCCACTGGTTGTGACATGATACTTGAAGACCTCTTTGGAAACATGGACCGCGGAGGCGCAAGACCGGATTCATGTGATATCTGTCGGGTGAGCTTTTCTGGTGATGGCGGTATCGAGACGGACTGGTTTGCGCTCGATGGCTCATTGAGATGGGCATCGTGATCTGCAGGTTTTTGGTCTGGGGGAACGTCTAGGTCATCGAACTCGGCGGGAGATTGCTCTCGTCGCACACCAAAGATACCCTTTGCCTCATGCTCGTCCAGACGTCCCAATTGCCTACCTCGCTCAAATGGATTTGGTAGCGGAATGTTCTGGTCGGGTGTAGGCGGAATGCGACTCATACGTGGGTGCATTGACACGGGCCTGTCGGCATGTTCTTCCACAGATGTGGTCATTCCCACACTGTTCTCGTCAAGGGGGATGCCGTCGTTCCCTTCTGTTGAGTCATATGAAAGCGCTCGGAAGTACTCAGAGCGGCCTTGTACAACCAACGGGCTCTCTGTCGTAAGAGGAGGTAGTCGGCTCATTCTCCGCCCATTCCTCTGACTTTCCTCCAGCTGCTTCTGAAGCAGCCGGCTCTGCGCAGCGAAGGCATCCAACGGCGAAAGAGCAGGAGGAGCCTCTCCTGCAACATGCAACCTGGGGGATCGCAGCGGACGAGAGGCATTGGTAGCGACAGACGTCGATGATGTAGACCGGAGGTCGATAAAATTCGGGCGCGAAGGAGAAGCCATTTCGCAATATTCGAATTAAGGTAAGCGCAATCGTATCAGGTCGTAATAATGAAGTCGTAAAGGGAAAAAAAAAAAAAAAAAGAATCGTGACGAAGCTGTCAGGTAGCTTGCGCACAACCGAAAAGGCAGCAATTGTTGTTCCTTCCCAGCGTGAGCCCGCAATGGAGCCGGTTAGGTTCGTCGCATGCAGGAACGAAGGTCGGTCGGTCGTATGACAATGGTTGCTCGCGATACAGTGAATGGGTGCCGGATATGGCTACGCTGCTAAATCTCTCGTAGAATTTGGTCGTCGTCGTCGCGAACTGAGAGTATAAGTGTTTGGAATGTCTCGTTCTGCAAGACACACTACCGTTGAAGGTGTTGATGGATGACCCCAAATGACGTTGGGCTAGTTGGTCCCGGCAAGAAACATGCAGGATGTGGCGGACTGAGCAGATCGCATGAATTATGAGGTCAACCTTATTGGGAACGTGAACGGGGCCCTGCTTCTGGGACCTGTAGCAGAGTGCGACAACAGGAATGCAGCAGGATCAATGAATGGCAAATAAGGGTTGCAGCAAAAAGGCAGGTCCCTGGGATGGGATCTAAGGGTTCAGCGGCACAACTGCAAATGTGGCTGGCTTTGGCTTTTGGGGGGTGGGTTGGCAGATGCCAGATGGGGGAGGGGGCATGAATCTTTGGTGCTTGCTTGCTTGCTGGCTTGCTGGCTGGCTGGCTGACAGCTTATTTTGCCTTTTGGGAAGCGTGGTACAAAAAAAGCAACGGTTCCTTTTTCCTTCCCAAGAGAGGCTGACTATGATATGACAGCATGTAGCGAAAACAATAAGTTTCCCCAATGCTAGTAGTCAATCGTGTGGTGTGTCTAGTCTTTGAAGTGAATAACTTTCCGTGACCAAAGTAGGTAACATCCAGTCAGTGGATTGAAAAAGGAGCGCCCAACGGTAAACATATACCTAGGTACGCTGGCTGCTTTTAGGTCGATTTTTAGTGTGCTCCTGACCAAGGAAGGATGATGGCAGGATGGTGATTAAGAGTTGGTTGGGTGTAAAGATTGGATGCACAACGTCTGTTTCAGGGAGCGTGCGACGTGGGGTTGGGGATGTGAAGGAGGAATTCAGTCACAAGCAGCCCGTGAGAATAGCGAAAAAGAACGAGCCACAGCGTGTTGCCAGCAAGGTAGGTTGATAGGTAGGTGAGTATTCTGCATGTAGACAGACAGATATTTTAGGTAGGCGAGCTGGAGCTTTGCACTGCCCGGCGATCTCGTACTGATGGAATAGCTCGGCGAGCAAATGTACGGCGGCGGGCTGTTGTTGGTTGTGGATTTGAGGCAAACGGACTTGTAGTCCGAAAAGGTCAACACAATTAGAAGCAATGACCAAGGACCAAGTAGAAGAAGAAAAAGTTGCCCTATCGTCGGTGCAGCAATAAGTGAATGGCTCAGAATGGCTTCACCTAGCCTAAGGGAAAGGAGAAGATTGAACAAAGAAAGGTGTCGACAACAACAACGACAATAACATAACAGAAGAGAAGGAAGGGTCCGGACCACGAACGACGACGACGACGAGGAGATGATCCATCCATCCCATCCCTTCAGCGCAGCACCAAAGCTCCAAGCTCTAGCACCCATTGCCTGGGCTTTGCTCCGGTCTCTCATTATCTGGTGCAGTCCAATGTTCTCCATCCCGACGAAGGGGGTCCCACTGGCGTACGTCTTGGCATTTGGGGACCCAGGTCGAGCTTCGACGATGCCAAAAAAGATGAAGGTGTAGTTTTGCATATGGGTCCTTTTTTTTCTGCTACTTCTTGCTTTTCCCTTCCCTGGTACTACGCAGAAAGAGTGGATGGCACAGCAATAAGGTGCCGCTGGCCTCGGAATTGGCTGACCACTTGGACCATTGGCTTTCGATTTTCCCCATCTGACCCGATCTTTGGAACTACTAGAAGACTGGCTAGCCAAAGTGATAATATCTGGTAGGTGGCATTTTATCAGAACGTACGTATCGTTATTCGACAGCGAGATTGATGAGCATTCTCACCACTGCAGCCGAACAGCGAAATTACATGCTCGAAGCTCGGGCGGAGGCTGCAAGAGACGCGCGCCATGCCTGAAGAGGCCCCAAAAACTACGAAAGACCAAGAAGACCCTGGGAACGGGCGGGCGATGCAGGGGCATTCCAGTTTTCCTTGGACCTTCGCGGGTCCGCTATCCAAATTTATCTCTGGCTGGGTCTAGCAGGTCTAGCCAGCGGGTTGGCGAGATGAAAATTGCTGGCGACGAGCGATGCACGAAAGTATGGGGTAGCACCGGACCGCCTTTTCTGTCTGGGTTTTGTTATTCCCTTTACATTTATTAAATTGGTAGGAATTGATGACTGCCATAGAGTTGAGCTCGTCTACGAATCGGCCCCCTAATGTTTCTGGTCTCATTCACACGGCTGGCTGATGCAGGTACCAAACACCTGTGTTCCGATCGATCTCCAGATGTTGCTGGGCATTCATGCAGTCTCAGTCAGGTACCTTGATCCGCCTGCCTCACATGGGCTAGATACAGGTACGTAAGCAGACAGGCACAGCGGGAAGCCAGCCACTAGGTTACAGGATTTGTTCGTATTGCTCGAACCCCTCATCAGGCCTGCTCTTACATATCTGTATGTGAAGAGACTGCATCGTACCTCGTGATTATATGAAATCAAAGATGGCCAATGGCTATTCTATGAATGAGCAAAAAGACTCAAACATGGTGAGCTCAAGTGCTCCCAAGTGACATCAACAAGATACCCCATCTCAAATTAATGCCCTTCTAGTATATATGGAATTTGATAGCTAGTGCCTCAAAAAGCCCATATCAGGCTTGCATAGCTCCAGCGATAGACTTCAATGGCGCCAGGGAAAGAAGAACACGAGGCTTCTAGACCTTGGATCTAGCAGCTATAGCAAGCACGCCAGGCCGTCACTGGCCTCTGTAGCCTCCTCCATTGAATGTGGTCGATCCCAACGGTCGCACGGCACAGAGCATAACTTGCATATGGAGATCACATTGAGCTGCCTGTATATATGCTGACTGCGAGACATATAAAATATTAACTATTGACGACAAAGCGCGGACAAAGACACAAAGATGAACCGAGGACCGCGAAATTGCGCCTATTGCAAGTCTCAGCGAGCCTATCGCAAAGGTCGCTGAGCCAATTGCAACTTTGACGTCGCAATTCGCGGAAAGCTGATCGGCGTGGTGGCACTTAAAGCAGTAGAGTGCTTTTCATTCAGCAAAATTATGAGGTGCACGAGTGCATAGGTACATTATATTCTAGGCAAGGGATCACCCCTGGGACGCCGGCGCTCCAATGTTACACGGGACCTGAATTGTAAGGGTGTACCATAGTACATTTACAATACATACACTACGGCTGCGTCGCGTGACTTGTCTGTTTTTCTTTCTCCTCTTCCATGCATGTACTCTGTACCTGCTCTCTCCTCGCTTCACTAAAAAGATTTCTTTCTCATGATCTGGGCGGGTCTTTCAAAAGTTGGCTCAACGTCTCAACTTTTTTTCTGCGACACACTCACGATTGAGGCTGTCCAGTGGTCCTTGTCAAGCACGTGTGGCTGAACAGCTGAACCAGCTGGATTGGCCAATGAAGTTGAGATTATGAGGGTTTACTGCTCAACCATGGTTCGACGATGGCTTCACTCCCCATCCACATGTAGCAAATTGTTTCTAGTGGCCTTTATGATATCAAACCACGTCTCCTCGGCTCAGAGCAACATGTACTCGTTCATCTCGGCCGGCCTGGGGGCGCGGAATTGATGCAGCGCATAGATCTACAGAGTACCGACTGTAAATGGTGAATGAAACCTTTCCCAAGAATGACCTGTCGTATGCTGTAGTACCTACCTACTTAATCAGCGCCTTTCTTTTTAGCCAGGCACCACGAGGATGGATCGTGGAGAACCCCGGGGCCCAGCTTATGGCGTGCGGGAAGGGAGGAACGGGAAATTACACACATTTCGCCTGGCTCGGGGCTTACTGACACCATGTGGACGCAAGCTTGTGAATAACAAGCGCCCTGACTAAAATAATATCAATTCTTCCGAAGGGGGGTGGTTCATCAGAAGGGAAGAAATGTTTCAAAGGTCTACCAGAGCAGTTTTGGGGGGGGGGGGGGGGGGGGGGGGGAAACGACGATGGCTTCGTAATTCGTCTCAAAAAGGGACGTACACATCCAAGCGACCATACTAGTACTGGTGCAGGTATGACAAGGAGACTTTCTCCTTCGTTGAGAGAGTCCTTGGCTCGGATCAACAGTCCGTGGTTCATCTGATGTTTCCAATGCTCACCCAAGGCAGCGTTTCAGTTTCTCACAACATCATTGGTTGACTGCCAGGTTTTCTCATCAAGCGAAGCTGCATGTGATTGAGTGGAGAGTGGCTCTTTTATTTTATTTATTCTTGCTGTCCTTCAATGTTGCACACTGGAACCCTCTCCTTGAGGTAATCCTTATTAATGCTAATTATTGGAAATTGTCATTGCGTTGGAGTCTGGACCGGCTCTTGCACACAATAAATTCCCCGAAAGAAGATTTGGTAGGCAATCGTTGGCGTTGGCGTGGTGGATCGTCTTGCGACAACAGTGGAGTCCGACCTTGGTTATGATCAATTGATGCGGCGCAACTCGTGCCGAGAATGTATGGAGTCCATCCAGCCTGGACTGCGCCTGGACAATAGCTTGTACACAGGAGACCCTGAAGTTACAAAACCAAATAGTTGATCGACACTATTCCCTGGATATAATTACTACAAGGTATCACAGGGTAGGCATCATGATTCATGCCGAGATATGATATGATTTCTCTTACTACAACCAAAACCCGTCAAATTTGCGCATGTCGTGTCCTGACATCTACATGAATCATTCAGGCTGGCAATACAATACGCATCATTGCTTGCATGTTCAAGCAAACTAGGAAAAAAACATCAATATCTCGAAAAACTAGCCTGTAACTCCTTTTTCTATGCATCTTTGGATCAAAAAAACAAATTAGCGCAATATCCTACTAGGCGCACTCCGCCCAGGCAACTCCTTTACAGATCCTTGGAGCGCAGCTTCTTGATTCTCGACGTGCCCTCAAACAAACCGCGGTCCACAGCTGCGGCTACTGTAAGTGTACCACCCAGAACGGCACAGAGACCCGTCAGGAAGCCAGTGAACGTCTTGGAGCGCTCCTCGCGGTTGATGACCTTCATGGGAGAAATATCCTGGTGCAGGTTAGCAGCGGTCTTCTACATTTCACCTTGGAAGGAAAGAACTCACGTAGGAGAAGAAGACTCCAGGAATACCGCCACGAGCGTGAAGACGCTCCTTGTGGCCGTCGGCGCTATCATCGCCGCCAGACAAGCTACGCTTGTGGCTTGTGACAGAATACTGGTGCGTCTCCAGGCTTCCGTCGTATTGCTGGCCGTAGCTGCCAATCCAGGCGCTCTCATCAGGACCCTGGCCGGAGCTAGCCTTCCAGCCTAGAGGCAGGTATGAGGTCGGGACAATCTTGACAAAGTACATAAAGTTGAAGTTGGGGTCATCGGTTGTCTGCTTGGTATCGTCGAGGGGGTTCAGGTGGTGATTGGTCCAAGGGCTGTTCTTTGAGCTCTTCTGAGCAATATCCTCGGGAAGCTGTGGACCGAATCGCAGCTGGTGAACAATGTGCTCGAACGAGTGCTTGACTGGGCTTTCCCAGTAGTTCTTGAGATCGTGAACGTGCATGTTGCCATTGCTGAAACTGCGGCCAGGCGCAAAGTGGAAGTTTCCAACCACCTTGTTCACACGTAGACCACCCTCAATACGGCAACCCTCTTGTCTTTGCTCGTCTAGCTTTTCCGCGTAGTGTTCGCGCTGGCACTGCTCAACGCCCTCGCCCCTACCGAAAGCCCAGGATGCCTGCGCGTATGCCTCTCGAACTTCGTCGCAAGTCTGGCAACATCCGGGCTTTGCAGCGTTGTTGGGGGAAGCTGCTCCGTAACAGTTACCGCAGTATTCGGGGTCGAGATGGGTGGCAGCTTCGTCCTCGGCGTGGCTGAGATGTTATTAGCATATCTGCACATACGCCTTCACCTCGTTTCCTAATCTACTTGTTAAAACTTACAGTGCCAATGCCTTGACATCTATGACGGCTCCTCCCTGAGAAGAAGGCTGAAGTCGGACCTTGCTAATTCCGTGCATGACACCGTGCTGCTGCTCGCCGGAGACATCCATGACATCGAGTGTAAGCAGCTCACAGGGGATCTTTGGGAAGGTGATGTTCATGTGGATTTCCATGCGCTCTCCTGCAAAACCAAGTATCAGTATAATGCGCAGCGAGTACAGTCAACAAGTGCTGCGGCGTACCTCTTCCTTTGTCGACAATCAGCTCGGGGTGGATGACTATCCTCCTGTAGTCGGCCCATTCTCCCCAGGCGAGCCAGAGCACCACGAGCAAGGAGACAATTGTGACAACTCCGCCAGAGGTGGTTCTAATCCGCGCATCCTCGACAGTCTTGGTGAAGGCATCGAGCCTTGTGAACCTCGATTTGGGAGGCATCGTGATAGTTTATCTGCGCGCAATGTTCTGGGCACAGATCGACGTCGTCTAAGGAAAGGACCGTATTCGGGTACGGGCTCGAGCAAGGCTGCTGGAATAAGAAAATAACTGCAGGCAGGAGCAAAGACGGAATGAGTTAATTGCTCGAAAATGAACCAGCGACTTTCAGTTCCCCCGCGATGGCTGCATTGGTTCGGCCACGAATGTTGGTGTCAACCAGTATTGTTCGCTGGCCAGTACGTTTCGCAAAGTAATTCACTTTAGTTACGACTTCGCACGGCTGCGTGTCCTTTTCTTGAGAGTTTCCAGGGACCCTGACGCTAATGCCGGAGCTTGGGCTTAGCGCGGGTCCAGCTCCCAAAACGACTCGTCAGCTACACAGTTCATACGGGGCAAGAGGTTAATCCGGTCCTTATTGCCGGTTGTGGTTCAAGACAACTTCCCAGCTGGAGGAGGTGCAGTGCCCAGTTCTTCTTTCACTATAGAAGGGCATGTGCTCACTATTATTACTGATTATGTTATCTGTAATGTAGCCCAACCAGAAGCATGTTGGAATGGAGCAACAGCCTCAAAGAGTCATAGTGCATTAATGTGAAGACAATAGAAAGATTTGCACTGCTGTGAGACTTACATGCCAATCTGTACTACACTACATGGGATTACATTTGAATGCTCTGCGTTGGGAAAGCCCGTTATGTGTTTTGATACAGTGGTTGATGTGTTATACTAATTATCAACACCGAGTCGGTATAGCCAAGTGTGGTGACCCCGCCGACAAACATGTTGCTCACTATAGTATATGCACGTAACGTTCCGATACGAAATGACTCATTTTGACTAATTCTGCCTCCTTTCTCACTTTTGAGCTTGTCCTTTCATGTAGGGAATCAAAATTCACATCTAATATCTATGAGTTCTTGTTGACCGTGTATAAGACTCTACACAAGCCTTCTGCGAATCCAATTGTTCAAGAGTCAGTGAGCCGACTAGGTCTTCCTCTGCTACAACGCATTAACTTTTGTATAACTCGTTCAGCCGCACCACTTCGTTCCAAGAAGCATTGCCAGACTAGGGCCTACTCTTGCATTTCACTTCTTGCATAGGTCTTGCGCGACTCATATAACATTGAGTCTGATAAAAAGAGATTCAAAATCCCAACTCAGATATCATTACGAAGTATGGCGCCTACAATTTCAGAGATCCCGGCGAGCGCCATTGTGACCACGGACAAGTGCTTCATTCGCCCTATCGAGATGAGCGACGCACCCGCCATGGCGGCGGCAGCAAACCATGCGGATATCTCGCACTTCATGCGCAACAAATTCCCATCCCCGTACACGCTAGACGATGCAAAGTCCTTCATCAATTTTTCGTCTCAGCGTCAGCCGCGCGTCAACTATTGCATCTGTTTGAATGACGGAACATATGCCGGTGGTATTGGGCTTATCCCTAGGTAAGCGCCATGATAGCTCTGCCGCAAAATCTTGATAGGCGAGAAAGGGAGAGAGAGACAGGGACAAAACTTTGGGAAGATTGATTCTTGTAAAGGGCATCACTAATCTGTTCGCTAGTGACCCGACTGACACAGAATGTCGGACCTGGGAACTTGGCTACTGGCTAGCAAAAGAGCAATGGGGCAAGGGCATCACAACGGCTGCCGTCAAGGGGTTCTGCAAATGGACTTTTGACACTTTTCCAGAGCTGCACCGTATTGAAGCTAATGTGTACGAAACGAATAATGGGAGTATGAAAGTCCTCGAAAGAGTGGGTTTCTTGAGAGAAGGCGTCAGACGCAAGGCTTATTACAAGCACGGCCAGTACTGGGATGTGACCATGTTCGGATTACTCAAAGATGACTTGTAAAAATTTTGTAGCCATGGTGATATTTCGAGGACATAACATCGATAATGGTGTTCACCAATTCCGTCTGTTCTGGCTAACAACAAGAATAGTCTAATATCATACGCCCCTGGTGTAAACTATGAAGATAATTAGCAGAACTATCTAAAGCTTCATACAAGATTTTATGCTTAGGAGTCAACTCCAACACAAATTGTCAAAGCATTTAACTATAGCGAGTCTGCTGTCATCAACTACCCTATTGTCTCATGCTGGTTTGGAATTCATACTTGTAATTTAACGTGTTTCTTATACTCACAAGTTGTGTGAAGCCAAGCTTGTAATGGTGTAGGTCTAATGCTTGCTCTTGTTTGCGCTTATCCTTTTAATTGGTAGTTGCCTAAGAGAGGAGGAAGGCCGTCAAAGAGGACATTTCTGATCAGATCTTGCAAGTAATCCAAACCCTCTTAATCGAGAGATGACGATGCCTTTCTGAGCTTCCGCAAAGCAAGTTACGCCCATATTTCGAGTCTGGGCCTTATCTTCCAGATGGAGATTGTAGTCACCACAACAAGAATCAACATAACGAAGAGATTGTCGTAAAATGTCCTGTAGCATTTCCCAGGTACAACGCCGTCTATGGCATATTCATTATGGTACAAAATGCTCGTATCGACCCTAGCCCAAATCATTTCGCTCATGAATCCACATCCATCTTCTCCGACTCTACTGGCACCTCTTGAACGCTGACGTACTTGCCAATCTCGTCCTTCTTGATGATCTTCTCATTCAGAACGGCCGTGGTGCCTCTGTTGAACTTGTAGTTCTTCAGCTTCTGACTTCTCTCGTTGGGCTTGACGAAGCCACGGTGGAGGGTGGTCTTGTCCTTGGTAATGACGGCAACGTCGACATTGGATCCAGATCCGAGATCGTTGAAGATACCAGCTTGAATGGCCTGCGAGCACAGCTCCATGGCCTCCTCCTTGTTGAGCTCCGGCTTCCACTGCGTCTCAAACATGGCCATGGCGGCCAGGGAACCTGAACCCATTGTGACGTAGGGAAGCTTGTCTGTGCTACCGTGGGCATGGACCGTGAACAAGTGCGCGCCTGTCGGGTCGACACCAGCAACAACCAAGTAGGCACCAACATGACCTTGATACTTGAAGAGGTGCTGTTTGAGCATGGTCATGCATGTGACGACGCGCGGCTTGCGGCCTGTGGATAGCGAGTGTAGTTCGAGGTTTGATGAGATGATGGCGGTTGTGAACTCAGTGTCAGCAGCTGTACCTGCTCCGGCACACCAGATCTGGGGGGCAATGTAGTGTAGCTTCTCGCAGTTCTTGTCTGCCACGATGGGACCGCTCGTTGCTCGAGTATCGGCTGCGATCTAAACCTCGAGTCAGTAAAGAGGGATGGTATATAATTGACACAAGGCTCGTGCTCACCACAACACCCTCACCATCCTTCTCTGAAGCAAACCGACATCCTACGATTGTGGTACCAGTGGAGGTGGCTTTCGGCAACGGAACACCTCTCGCATGCAGCGCTGCATTGCGACTGTGGTTGGAAAAGTCGAATCCAGGCATTTTAGATTTGTTCTGTGAGATATGGGCTTGATGCTGGGAAGATGGAACGGTCGAGCTGTTTGTTGGTGGTTATTTGAAATGAGTGAGAGGCGGGTTGGTGTTGCAGTGTAGGTAATGGAAGCAGGCTGCTGGAGGGTGATGCATCACCGAGCTAGCCTGGAAGCTTGGAGCTACCGGGGTGTTTACGCCAGCCGCATAGCTGCCTCGTCCAAAAATCGGACAGTGCGATCCTGACATGTAGCAAGCTGAAAGGCTCACTCCCATAAGGCTCCTGCCTGCCTGGAAAACAGTTGTTCATGCAGGCAACAAACATTTCGCCCTTTCTGGCGTTTGAGGGTTGAGATACAATAAGCGTCTGGATTTCTCAATTTTGGGACTATTCTCATTGGCATTACTATGAACCGAAGATTTATAATTTCAAGTTCGCCTTCGTATATCAGAATACCGATTTCATCAAGTCAGCAAACAAACTGGCCGAATACTGTTCCTGGGCAGTGTGGGCAGGTACTTGGGTACCTAGAACGCGCTAAAAATTAAGCAGCTCTGCTTTCGCGACCAGCCCGGTGGACAAAAGTTGCTTTGGGAAAACGAAGCTTCCCACGGTCTTCACGGTTTATTCGCATCCCAGCACCTGCTGTGTTGACACCACCGAAAACTCTCGACTTGGACCTCGTAGCTTTCGAGTCAGCCTTTGAAACCGATCCGAGTCTTCAACAAAAGTCGAGCCTAGTCACCAGCCTTTCCATTCCTGCTGCTTGAGGCAGCTCTCAAGAACTCGACTGCCCACACACAGATGCAAGCTTGGAAATCCTGAGCCAGCACCATGGCTTTCCAGCAGGGTCAGGATCTGGCCCTCATCCAGACTGAGCGCTTGGGCTTCTTGTCGCTCGCTGGAGAGGCCAAGCTTCAGTTGACGGAACCATGGACGCAAGCCGCAGCTTCAAACGCTTCTCTCATCAGTATAGCAAACCGCAAAGGACTGGTTGCGGCAGCTGGCCCCGACAATATCACCATTGCCACGACCGAAGCTGTTCGGAAAGCATTCGAAGCCCCAAAAGTTGGCGACAATGATGCTCGCCCATTCGCGCCTCAACTCCAAATTCGCCTCACCACCCGCATATCTCATCTTGCCTTTACCGCCGACGAGAACTATTTGATCATATCAGCCGAACTTGGTGGTGGTCTAGCTGTTTATGATGTGCAGGCGCTGCTTGGAGGCACGGCAGAATCAGCATTTCAGATACCCACAAATGGCGAGGCATTGAGAGCCCTTGTGCCAAATCCTCAAGCAGCAAAAGGGGAGCTGGTTGCTGTGGTTACCCAGAAGGGCAATCTGCTTATGGCTAATATGAACGAGAAGGCATTCGTGACAGGTCCTAATGGCCAGATCCTTGCAAATCAAGTCAGTTGTGTAGCATGGAGTACCAAAGGCAAACAGATCGTCGCAGGTTTGGGCGACGGCACGATTCAACAAATGACGCCCGAGGGCGAAGTTAAATCTCAGATTCCTCGGCCTCCTAGTGTCGAGGCCAATTACTTTGGTACTTGATTTCAGTTCCAAGTGCTTTCGCTTTGCTAACAAGCTCGCCAGTCTCGTTTTTATCATGGCTCGAGAACGATCTGTTCCTGGCGATATATGTATCTACCGGCTTGGATCCTCCACAATCGATATACCAATTGATCTCGCGACAAGGACAAACATTCACATGCCAGACGCTTACAGATCCTGTCGATCCATTTGGCAGCGATAAGGTTCCTCACCATACGGCGGTCAGGTTGAAGGACTTTCCCCCGAACTTGCAGGATCTCCTGATCTTTTCATCAAGCGCTAGTCCTGATGTTGGCCTTCTAACACGAGCAAAAGCGCCTCTTTCAGATGACAACGTCACAAATGCCTTCACGACCACCGAATTACTGGATGATTCGAAGCGGGCCACAATGCCTATGAATGACAGCATGGAAACACCAATTCCTATTGGTACAGCTCTTGACTTGTCTGGAAAGGAGCCTGTCTATAAGCCCATCCCGACGGATGAATTGGAGCAATCTCCTGGTCCACTTCCTGGTTATTGGGTTCTGAATGAAGAAGGAGTTCTTTCCGTATGGTGGGTTATCTATACCGAATCTATTCGAGAGGGCACCACATATCCTGGCCTGGCTGCTGTAGAAGGTAATGTGTCTCAACCGACTCAAGATCAAGCACCAGCTATTCAAATGACCAAACCCAATCCCTTTGGTGCTTCGAATGGTGCAGCTTTCGGTGCTCCTGGGGGCACATCGACTACTGCATTTGGTAGCAGCTCAGCTCTTGGTACCAAACAGTCTCCTTGGGCAACGCAGTCAACGTCAACAGGCGGATCTGCATTTGGTTCCAATGCGTTTGGAGGCGCTGGCGCCGCCGGGGGTGCCCAATTCGGCCAGACCGCCTTTGGAAAACCTGCCTTTGGCCAGACGAGTACTCCTTCATTTGGACAATCTCAAGCTCTTGGCGCAAAGTCATCTCCTTGGGCTACCGCCGCCTCGAGCGGCTCTGGAGGTTCTGCTTTCGGTAGCGGCGGCTTTGCAAGTGCTAGCAAAACACCCAGCGCTTTTGGTAGCACTACTGCACCTTCAGCTACAGGAGGTTTCGCTAGTTTTGCAAATCAAGGAGGCTTCAGCGCCCTAGGATCTAATGATTCAAGCAGTGGCACAAGTATTTTTGCATCAAGCAAATCAAATGCCGATCAGTCTACAACGACATCAACTAGTTCTCCCTTTGGTGCCCCTGCCTCAAAACCAGCCACGGCTCCCTCGCAACCTTTTGGCTCGACTCCATTTAAACTGATGTCCAGCTTCAAGCCAGACCCGAAGGCAAATGAGGAGTCTGCCATGGATGATTCAAATGAGGGCAACTCTATGTTTGGTAGCGGTTTCGCATCCGCAATTGGAGAACCTACCAAGCCAACAACCTCGAACATTTTTGGCGGCCAACCATCATCAGGTGGACTGTTCTCCACGACCCCAACGTCGACTCCAGCACCCTCCAAATTCTTTTCTCAGACGCCTGCAACTACTTCAGATGGTGGCGGGCTTTTCAGCCTCCCGGCCAAATCTTCCAGTAGCCTGTTCGGAAGCATGACTCCAGGAACCCCCAAGATCAAGGACGAGGACTCGACACCTAGGCGATTACAAGATATTCCGGATGCTCCTCTTCCTCCGGATACTATAAGTAAGGCTTCTTATCCATTCGGAGATTCCTCATCCTCATCAGAATTCTCTGCAGCAGATTCGCCGGCCAATCAGAAAACCCCTACAGACGCTCCCTCGCCGTCCAATATCCCGCTCTCGAGCACGAAACTTGCGGAGGATTCACCGCCTGACTCCCCAGCAGCCGAAGATGCGCCATTGCCTCCTGACCCAACAACTAACCAGAAGCTGTATAAAGTTGATATCCCGCCACTACCAGATATGACGGCATCCAAGCCGAAACCAGCCCCTGCCGATGATGCACCTTTGCCTCCTGATCCAACGACAAACAAGGACATCTATAATGTGAAGTTTGCTCCGATACCTGGTGCTGAAAAGCCTGCTGAAAAGAAGGTTGGCTCTGTCTTTGATAACGTGACATCTTCGCAGAAGTCAAGCTCTCTTTTTGGCAATGCTGGGAAGTCCTCTCAATCGAACTCTATTTTTAGCAATTCGGCAGGGCCTGCACCGTCTACCTCAATCTTTGGCTCCGCCAGCAAATCAGGTCCATTGTCCAGTTCAGTATTTGATGTTGGTCAGAAGAACGTACCCAAACCGATATCGTCGGGTTTTCTCTTTCCGACCGACTTACCTCCCGTCTCATCGTCCAGCGACGAGGAGGCCGAAGAAGACGATGAAGACGATGAAGGAGAAGTAGATGAAGATGAAGATGACGAGCAAGCTGAAGACGAGGAAGATGATGAGGTGGATCAGGGAGATGAGAGCGATGGTGCGAGTGAGGGCAGCGGTGTAGATGTGGCGCAAGACCTGAGCCCTCAATCTACCACTAAGGATAGGACCACTCCAGCAATCACACCAGGAAGCTCGTTTGATGGCGGCTTAGGGGGACCCTTTTCAACAATTTCCAAGCCTGAACCAGAACGTAGGAGTTTGTTTGGCGAGTTTGGAAAGAACATCCCCAATTTACCCCAGCCTAATCCTCTCAGCCCGCGCTCGCCTAGTCCTGTGCGTAATGCTTTTGCATCTAGGGCAGCTGGCGATCAGTCACGGTCCATTACTGCTCCAGGGATGGCATCCCAAATCCTCGGCACGTCTCAACGTGCTGGGAGCAGAGGGCCGCCTATCGTGAGCAAGGAGAAGCCGTTAGAAGATCCCCGCGTTGAGCAGCGCGCCAAGGCCAAAGCTCGGAAGGAAGCCGAGGAGACGCAGTTGCTGGTGGACGAGGACGATGAGATCAGGCAACAACAGCTCAACGCCCCAATTGTACCAACGCTCGAGCTGGATGAGTTCATTGCTCATACCGGACCACTGCCGTTGGCTGACGACAACATTCCAGCTCAGGTTGAGGCTGTATATCGGGACATCAACGCCATGATAGATACATTGGGGTTGAATGCTCGTTCGATTGAGAATTTCATTGAAGGCCACGCACGAGCATTCCGACATGAACACCGGGATAAGCACGATCTTGCCAACCCTGACGACTGGACCATAGGAGAATTGGAAGATCTTCGAGCAATCGTTTCGGAAGACTTGGCAAACGAGTTGTCCGATGCCCGTATCATCGATGTGGAGGAGAAAATTGCCGAATGTCAAAACCTTCAAAGGGAATTCAAGCGCGATATGGCCAAGTGGAACGAGATCCAGAAAATGATCAATGCCAAGTTGGATCCTGAGCAGGCCCTGCTGAACCGATCTCTTCCTCTCACAGCCGAGCAGGCAGCACGACAAAATGATCTTCGTCGTGATTTCGCACGCCTGACTAAGACGCTCGCGGAAGCTGAGGAGAGCCTCACCATGCTCAAGGCTAAGATCTCTTCTGCTAATGCTGCCAATGGCAAAACGGGCTCAGTCCCCACAATTGATGCCGTTGTACGCACCATCTCGAAGATGACCAGCATGGTCGAAAAGCGTAGCGGCGACGTTGATGTTCTGGAGAACCAGATGCGCAAACTACGCTTCGCCACGGGCTCACCGGCGCCAGGCCTAGGCGCCAGCACAAGAAGCCGTGAAGGCACGCCAACACCCCAGCGATTCGGATCGTCTCTTCTCTTCTCACCTGACAGATCGTTCCGTGAGAGCACACCTACGCGCAATAGTGTCATGAGACATTCCATGTCGGCGTCAGTGGCAAGCATTGGAAACGGCATGTTTGCAGTTCGCACGCCGCCGCGCAAAAAGCTGAGCGGCTTTGGCGAGTTTGAAAAGAAAGCCGTCAAGGAACGAAAAGCCAAACGCGCAGGAGTACTGGGCAAGTTGAAGTCGAGTGTAGAGAAAAAGGGTGCTCAGGTTTGGGCATTGGAAAATATCGAATAGATTCGGACAGATCTGAACCGGATCAGTCTAGTCAGTAAATCAGCATAAATCTGGAGTGGACTTGGAATTGTACTTTGATGCTGTATTTTAGATACTTGAGGAGTATACAGAGGTACGAGCAATGGGAAATGAAATAATTATTAACAACTCAATTTCACGTCATGAACTGCCCGTGCTGATCACATGACTTTGCTAGAACCTTGCGGACGGCCGTTCTTTTCGTGCTCCAGGTCATGCATGTTCTTGATACATTTTCGATTTGATGGCGCAAAAGTCACGAGCAAGATTTTTGGCTTGCTATATCTCACTTGTCATGTTGCTAGACGAGGCATCCAAAATAGCGTCTAGTATCATTTCATAATTGTACAAATGTACACAGTTGAGGACCCAAGGAAATCTATGAGATTTTTGTTTCGTTTTCCCCCCAAAGTCTCGAAGGTATCGCAATCGTACAATCCTTCCACACCCACCCTTTGCTCCTCAACTGCGAACGAACCCGAGCCGTTAATCTCGCCGGCTTCTTCGTGGGCGGGAATGGCGACCGGCCTCTTTGTGGTTTATTTTTTCTGGCGGTACTTTCCTCGTCGTCCCATTACATCCTCCATCGCCTATCCGCTGTCAAGACACATCTGTATACAAGGCGCTTTACGGGTTCTTCGCAGCCACGGCGTTGAGGTAGGCCTCCAGGTCAAAGCTCGGCGACATGGGGTCCTGGTCCACTGTTTATATCAAATTCATCCCTCTGTTAGCCAATCTTTTCCTTCTTTGCGTGGTTTTTGATCTCTCTTCAAGGAACAAGCAGAACTCCAAGGTCAAACGTACGAGGGCTCTTCTGGGCGCTGAGAGACTTGGGGTTCTTCTGCTCGGCGTACTTGGCACGCGCCTGCTCTATTAATTGCTGCTGGTGCTCGTACTCCTTCTTGGCGTGGGCGGCGTTTTGCGTGGCGGTGATTGTCCTCTGGTGGGTGAAGCCGAAGAAGACACCAAAGGCCAGGGCCGAGTACCGGAGAACCTATTGCGCGTGGTTTGTTAGTCTTGCCATTGTGTGATGTTTCCCAGGCTTCTGCCTCCAAAAGTCAAGGAGGGGGGGCCAACAGCCTGGACTGGAAAAAAGTCTTTGTGTCGGCTCCCCTACGAAAGATGGTCGTAGGGGCGGTGGTTGATGGCTCGACCGCAGAGGGAAAGCGAGCGAGAGAGAGAGATTTTTCCCTCTCCCGGGGACGCGGGAAAGCAAAAAACACGTACGTTGACACCCGAGGCAGACATTCTGAGAGTTGCTGCGAGCAGTGCGATCGCTGAACTAGGTAGGAAGAAAAAGGAAGGGCGGGCGAATGCACGGAATGGGCGATGTGATGCCAATTGGGCCCTGTTGTCGAGATCGTGGAGATGTTCGAGATGTCAATCTGGTGTAGCAAGTCTCTCACTGTATTTCGGTCGGGAGAAATCGCCAGACACTTGACTTTTCGGGCTGGCTGGGCTCTGGTTGGAGCTCTCGCAGCTGGCGGACGGGTCGTGATTCGCTGGATTGTGGTAGCTGTGGGTACGCGCTGGCTAAGAGCTCTGGTACTCTACTTTGTCTACGTAGTGGACGTACCAGGGGGGGCAGGTAACAATGTATCGCCCATAAAAACTGGAATGGAATTGATGGCTCCGGTTTGTGCACTGGCCACTCTATGAACCTGTGTATGACCATACCCAGTCCAATGGGCTAAGGTAGCTAGCTGCACAGCGAGAGTCACTACCTAATAAGCTCCCCCAGTTGGCCGTGTCGCGACAACAAAGGAGTCTAGCGGGCAGAAGGGTCCTGGTGTCGTGTAAAGAGAGACACACTGTCGCAACCTGTGACTTTTCTTCACTGACCTGTTGACCATTGCAGAGGCCCATAATTCTCTTTGGCATTTAGCCTACACCATTGTCAGCTGCTTTGAAAGTTCCCGCCAGCCCGGTCGCCTCGACCCTCGCAACACCCACCGCTGCAGCATATCCCATTCCCGAGATTTTGACCCGGTATGGGGCGAGCGACAACAATAAGGAGGAAAGCATAAACATGGATCGCCAGGCAGAAATCGCAAAGAAGCGCGCCAAGCTTCAAGAGCTCAAGAGAGCCAGGGAGTTACGGCAACAGGAATCAAAAAGTGGCAGTTCTGGTGATGTATGCACCTTGACCCGACATGTCATGTCCATACAGATACCCTGAGCGCAAAAGAGCTAACAGCAGCTCCTTTATCTAGCTCCATGCCCCGACACCTGGTAAAGAAAGACGGGACATCGAGTCCATCATCAGTTCTCTGGTCGGCGAAGGAAGACCATTGTCTACTGGAACATCCTCGCCGATACATCGAGGCAGCCGCCCAACCAGCGTCTTGAGTGCTGGAGAGCTGAGCAACGAGAACTCGGATGTTGCCTCGCAAACACCCGGTCAAGTAGCGGCGCCTTCACAGCCACAGGTCCTATCCACCGTCTCTTTGCAGACCGTCTACGAATACCCACCGTCGCCTGTCAAAGAAATCATTTTCCATAGCGCCGGAGCGCAAACGACAGAGGAATGGACATCGCCCACGTCAAGGAGGTCTCGGGCCTACTCGGACATTCCAGATGAGGATGATATTCCTGATCTTCAAACCACTCCGACAAAGAGAAGAAGCAGAAAGGAACGTGAAACTCAAGAGGAGATTCGGGAGAGGCTTAGGAAAGAGATCGAGGAGGATATGCAAAGGGAGGCACAGGAACTTCGCGATCTCCATGGCGGCAAATTTGGTGGCTCGGTCGCCACGTCCAACTTTCCCGCTCGAACTCTCAACGAGGAAGAGCTTCAGGCGGCTACGGGCTCAGATGAGTTCATGGACTTTGTGGAGAGAACGACCAAGATTATGGAAAGGGCCTTGGATGAGGAATACGACATCTTGACCGACTATACCCTTCAAGCACAGAATATCGATGATGAGGAGGAACAGGGAGGAAATTCGGCAGGTAAAGGCCGGCGCAGGATCAAGGAAACCCACCAGTTCTTCGATGAGAGGTGGTCCAAGAAGCGTATGGTGACCAGCATCGACTTTCATCCCAACCCCAAGTTCTCGGAGATCTTGCTCGCATCTTATACCAAGAACCCCGCTGCACCGCACGACCCGGACGGCGTTGTCCTGGTATGGAATCCTCATCTTCACAGTCGACCCGAGTTTGTATTCCACGCCCAGTCGGATATCCTCACGGCCAAATTCTCCCCCTTCCACCCCAACCTCATGATTGGCGGCACCTATTCTGGTCAGGTTCTTATTTGGGACAACCGGGCCAAGTCAGCTCCTGTACAAAAAACGCCGCTGACTGGCAGTGGTCACTCGCATCCCGTCTACTCGGTCGAGATTGTTGGTACCCAGAATGCCAACAATGTCATTTCAGTCTCAACGGATGGACAACTCTGCTCTTGGTCGGTCGACATGCTCTCACAGCCTCAAGAGCAACTCACTCTCACCAACCCCCACCCCAGCAAATTCGACGATGTAGCGCCAACTACCATGGCCTTCCCCTCGGCGGATCCGACATATTTCCTTGTTGGTTCCGAGGAGGGCGTCATCTACCCGTGTCATCGTTACGACCGTGCAGGCGCCAAGGCAGGCGTCGATAGTCGCCTTGCGTACAGGGGTCATACTGGCCCTGTCATGTCTGTGGACTTTCACCAGCCTCGCGGACCTGTTGATCTTGGTGATCTCGTCTTGTCGTCCTCGCTTGACTGGTCCGTCAAGCTGTGGAAGATCCGCGCTCCGTCTGGCCCTACGACACTGGTCACGGAGTCTGGTGGCATTTCAGTGACACCGCTGCTCGATTTTGTTCGCGAGGATGTTGTCTACGATGCTGCATGGTCTCCCACGCACCCGGGTGTTTTCTCTCTGGTCGACGGAGCTGGCTCGCTCGAAATTTGGGACCTGAGTGTTGAGACGGAGATTCCCGTGGCAAAGATCAGCCCAACTCCTAGGAAGGAAGGCCGCCAACTACTGAGCAAGAGTCTCAACAAGGTGGCATGGGAGAAGCACGAGGGCAAGAGATTAGCAACGGGTGGCATCGATGCTGCTGTCACGGTGTTTGAGGTCGGCCCCGACTTGGGAGGCAAGGATACCGCCAAGACAGAGGAGTGGGTGAATGTCAAGAAATTGGTGGCCAGGCTAGAGGCGTCCAATGCAGCAGCGCCCGCATAAAAAGGTTCATATCACTTGGACAAGGGGCTCAACTAGTTCATCCGCGAGCGAGTAATGGATTGTGGTTGCGTGTCAGATTAGGAGTTTTGTCTATACCCCACGAAAGAAATCATTCTGCTAAATCCAATGCTTCAAAATTGTCCGGAGTCTATACAGCATGTTACATTCTAATTGTATAGGGGCTAAGTATGTTTGAATCATTGCCTGGCTCTGGAATGATCACAAACCGTGGCTATGCTGTACATTTCGTGACATTGTGAGTATTTCAGCAGGCGATTAGTCACATCATTCAGGCTGACTATATGAACCTCAGACAAAAGACCGTTGTATAAACCTAGATTTTCTAGCAAAGATGATAGCTTGATGATATGCAAATGATCCAGCAACCAAGGCAAATGAGACGGATTAAAAGAAAAAACGGCAAGGAAGCAGAAACTAGGTAGTGTGAGCCCGAAACACGGCGTATCAACTTTTTTCCACCTCCAACCCTTCTTGGACTTGGATGGGTTGGACCTGTCAACCCCCAAAAACTAACGCTGTATATCCTTGGCCGGACCGCACTCGACGACGCGGCCGGCATCGAGCCGGACAAACCAGTCGGCATCCTTGACGGCCTCGAGGCGGTGGGCAATAGTGATGACGGTGGACTCTTTGAGCTCGTCGCGCAGCACGTCCTGGATGGCAAGGGCGGTGGCACGGTCAATCGAGGCCGTGGCCTCGTCGAGGATGACGACGGGACTGCGGCGGAGCACGGCGCGGCCAATACCCACGAGCTGGCGCTCACCCTGGCTGAGGTTCTTGCCGCCCGTGTCCACGTGCGAGGCCAGCGACCACTCGGGCCCCAGGATCCGGTGCAGCACCGTGGTGCACTCGGCGTCCGTGTGCTCCTCGAGCGGGTCCAGGTTCTGCCGCAGCGTGCCCGGGAACAGGACGGGGTCCTGCGCCACAAAGCTCACGCGCTGCCGCCACGTGTGCACGTTGACCTGGGAAATGTCCAGGCCGCCCACCTTGATGCTGCCCTTCTCCGGTCGCAGCGTTGCCAGGAGGGCCAGGGCCAGCGTGGACTTACCCGAGCCTGTTCGTCCAAGACACGCGCACGTGGCGCCGCCCGGGATGGTAAAGGTGACATCCGATAGCGAAGGCTCGAGATGCGGAGCGTATTTGAGTGTGACGTCCTCGAACTTGATGTCGTCCCCGTATGCCGGCCACGAAGCGGGCGGATCAATATCTCCAACTGGTTCCTCTTCGAGCTCCAGCAGCTCAATGACACGCTCGACTGAGACAAAATCCATTTGTAGTTGTCCATATACCTTGCATAACATATGCGTGGCATCGACAAATTGTGCAGCTGTAGTCAGAACAAAGGCCGTCAACCCAGATGATAACCCATTGTGCAAAGCAATCATGGTCAGGATGAAGGTCGAGAACGCCGAAAGCGAGTCGAAACGGTACATCAACCACGACTGGAGCGACCAGTAGAAATGATCTTTTTGCTGGAAAGCATCGGTCACGACAATGTTACGGTCCTGGAAGTTGGGCTGCGCCTTGAAGGCACGGATTGTCGCTAGTCCATCGAGCAGGATGCCAAAATTTGACATGAGCGGACTCAAGGACACCATCTCGAGCCGGCGCAGACTTTGTGAAGCGGGGAGAAACTTGAGAAATATATACACAAAGCTTGCTGTCATGAGAATAGCAAAGAAAAAGAAGACAGGCGTGACAAAAGCAATGATGACCAAAGCACTCAGCCAGGTCAATAAAAAGAAGGCCATACTCTGTAGAGGTGAGATGATTCCGCCATCTAGCATTCCGATATCCGAGGTCAATCGGTTCATCAACCTGCCGATGGGAGTAACGTCGTAGAATCGGAACGTTGCGTTGCTGACCCGGGTGATCACCTTTACAAAGAGGCTTTTTGCCGCGATATACATGATCAAGAGCAGGGAGAGCTCAGTGATTCCAAACAGAACAGTCATCAGAAGAGCAATGCCAAGATACAATAGTAGCCACGGACCGACATTTTCGCTAGGAGAGGGGAGTCTGTCGAAGAGATGGTCCGCGAAAGATCCATCTACAGTGCTTGCAGTAAAAGCAGCTTGATGCAAAAGACTAGCAGACTCATGATTGTATCCTTCCGCGAATGCCTTGAGGAACCATCCACTGAGTATACGGGCAACGCGGAACAGGGTGAAGATGATGACCAAAATAGCCCAATATCTTAGTCGTCCAGCCTTGATGTAGGTCCAGTAGACCGAAAGAACTACACCGCCAGATTTTCGGTATTCTTCTTCAATGAACTTGTCACGAATTGCGGCGCCTTGTTCTTCATCTGATGCCTGTGTGTCATGAGAATCTTGTCCATTCTCCTCAGCTGCCTTGGCTGAAGCTAAAAGATCCTGCGGAATTTCCTCAGGGTCCAGTATGCGGGCACGTCCATCATGGATTTCAACCACTTGATCTGCAAGATGGGTTACCAGATCGACGCGGTGGGTCACAAGAATGACGGTTCGACCCTCAACCAAGCTTCCGCGCAATAGTTTTTGTACAATGGACTCGGCAGTATTGTGGTCTAGAGGAGCCAAAGGGTCATCAAGGAGCAATATGCGCGACTGGCTGTATACTGCCCGAGCAAGTGCTACTCGAGCCTTTTGGCCTCCAGACAGTCCGATTCCATTTTCTCCGATGAAAGAAAGGTCTCCGTGTTCAAAATTGGCGAGATCAGGCGTCAACGCACAGGTGTCGATGACCCGCTTGTATCGCTCAGGATCGTAGGGCGAAGAAAAGAGAATATTATCTCTTATGCTCATATGCTGGAGCCATGGCGATTGGGCACAGTAGCCAACCATTTCACTTGGCAGAGTACAATCCCCAGATTGTCTATCCAATTCTCCGAGGATTCCTTGTAAAAGCGCTGATTTGCCCGAGCCTACCGGTCCGAGGATCACGGTTAGCCCTGTGGTGAAATTGACATTGATATCCTTCAGGACAATATTATTGGTTCCTGGCCAAGAGAACGAGGTGTCTCGGAATTCAATATCAGTGGATTCCTCATTGGAAAACCCTTCATCCTTGTCCGGCTCTGCCATAAAAGATTCGAGACGACCAATTGCAATAGAGGCATTGATCACCATCATCACCAGACCTGGAAGCTCCTTCAAGCTAGTCTCTAGCATGTTGAACAATAGCAGAGCAGGGAATGCTACATCGACGGTCAAAGCGTTGCCCGCGAGGTATGTATAAGCAAAGAAAGTGACAACCGGAAACATGGCGCCGGCAGAGATGTTGATGGTCCCGAGAAGCGCCGCCCAGAGTCCGGTAATGACCCTTACGTGCAATTCATGATTTCTAGCAACCATGATCTTGTCCAGCCATTTCCCCTGCCAGTCGTACCACCTCAAGTGTCGGATCGCCTCGACAAACTGCGACGTGGTCTGCAGTCGATTGTCTGTAGCAACTCTTCGAAGCTTCTCCCTTGCAATGAATTGTTTGACACTCAGAGCGCCAAGAAGTTGAATAGCCACAACCCAGGCAAGACCGACAAAGCACGACCATCCAAGGAATTTCCACACCAAGTATAGGGAAAAGGCAAATTGAAATGGCTTCGTAATGAGCGCTGGACAATCCCAGAATCGCTGCGCTACCTCATAGCAATCGTTCCGCATCAGGTTCAAGATCTTGCCCATGGATGCTGGGGGCTTGGCGGCAGTGGTCTTCTGTTGGCGGCCCTTGCGAAGTTTCAGCCAGATGAGGAAACGAGTAAAGCGACCCTCTTTCGCCTCGTCACCGTTGAGACCATTGCCATTTTCGTGTTGCGAATCCTTCTCTGGAGGTTGAAAGCCCTGAGACTTTCTAGTCAGGGTTTTGGCATAGATTGTAGTGATCAGCTCGCCGCGGGATCGCTCATACGCGCGGCGACTATACCAAATGGTAAATACTGCCGATTGTGCAGCTATGAGCCTCACTAGCAGAAGAGAAATGGCATAAAAAACAGATTCAGTCCTGTAACCCTCAGCCGTTTCGATACTAGCAATCAGGCGCTGAAGCAGGACTGGATTCGACAAGTTGGCAACCATTTCCAGGATTCCCAAGGATGTCGTAATCATGAGATCGAGGCCGTTTGCCAAAATCAGTCTCCATATGAGGGATCCTTGGAGGTTCCGAAAGAGCATATGGAGGCGGCTGTGCTGAAATTCGAATGGAAGCAACCAGACATCATCGTCATTGAGCGTCTTCTTCGAAGCTATCTTGATCAATGGAGTCATCCACGATACGGTCATGAATTGCCACAGGGTCAACCTGTCCTCGGGGCTTCGTAGCTCATTTGTTGCCTTGTCATGAGGCCCTGCAATACCGTCGGTGCTCAGGGCAGGATTCCTCATCGGCATGGACAAGATGACTATGACAGCTCCAATTGAGATGCATAGTTCCGCAATGTTAAGCACATTGAGCTGCCGTAGCTCAGCGTACGTGGCGTAGAGGGTGTAGATTAAACCAAAAGCGATGATAAGATATACAGTCAATAAAGCCTTGGGTGTCTTGCGCGGCCGCTCAATGACGGTGAATAGGATGGATACTGCCCAAGGAACCAAGTCCAGCCATGTCCATACCCTTCTGGGGGTAGCCGATGCAGAGAAGACGGCGAGAACTAAGCCTCCAATTGAGAGCAGAAGAAGGGCAAGAGATGGCAGTGACCACCGCTTAGAGTGCGGCGCACTCAGCCAAGCATCTTCCTGGGCGAATCTACTGCACCACTGAGGTGCTTTAGGAAGCAGGAAGCGCAAGACATAGAGCAAGAGCAGTGCTCCAGAGAGCGAGGCCTGTACGATTGAACTGTTTCTGCCGTCAATGCCCGAGTGTCTGGAGGGAGCCGTCTGTGTGCCCGGCGAATCGTCCAAGGTGTAGTTGTGAGCTAGGTGCAAGAGGCCGGGGCCCAAGGGAGAGAGAAGGCCTTGCGCTTCATAGCTGTGGGCATAGAACGAACGCTCCAAAGTCATTGGTATAAACAAGGAGATACTTTCAGAAACATTAAAACATGAGAAGCAATATTGAAGCTAAAATGAAAATTCTATATGTTTAGAACATTTGATATTGACTTGGTTTCCAGGCAGACACGCTGGTGGCATGCAGGTAGGTAATCAAGTCAGTAAATGGCACATGCAATAAGGAATTGGGTAACTGAGTCGGGGGTGGATCAAAGCTCTGTCCACGCAAGAATAAGTGGGGCGAGTCCCTTATCCCCTTCTTCTTAAATAGAGAGAGGGGCGAATTCGGAACTTCACCGCTGTACTGCTGTGAGACTCAAGTGCTGCGGGCCAATTGATTCATACATGCATGTCATGTAGTGTACGCACGCAGAAGAATACCATTTGATAGATCTGTTGATGTAGCCATGTCGTGTGTGGAGCCGAGCACGATGCAACGACGCATGCTGGGGTTGTTGGCTAGGAGCAAGATGTCGCTACCAGAGATAGAAGCCGATTGATGGACATTGCATATATACACTCACATGGCGGGGCTTGATTGAAACGGTCGCTTGGGATGATACCCAAAATTGTGAATGAACAGCCATTGTATAGTCAAAAAGTCTTTTCCATGCGATGCAAAAACTATACACTAGTATAGACTCTCTTTGTGTATTGTACTAAAAAAAAAAAGACCTTATAGAATACAGTCTCAATTATTGTCATCATCTGCAGAGTAAGAGGGAGTTGAATCGGTCATTTACGGATACTTACGCGGTGCATAACCGTCGGAATGCCGCAGCGAGTGATTAGCTCCGTATTGTTGCACAACGTTACATGGTGCAATAATCCAGGTAGCAAGTGTATATCTGACTACCTGATATGGCGAAAGAATCAGATCCATTTCACAATAAACCCAATTGTAATTGATCAACATGGAACTTGGCGATTTCTTGAATGCAAATGCGATAGCAGCGTGGTATACTGATTAATTGATGCGTGGGCAGAGGCAATCGGTGCCACAATCCCAGTCATGATACTAATTCCTGCCAGATTCCCAAGCAATGCGTGCGTGGTGTACCAACCATCCATCGCCCCATGCCGTCATGCAGCTAAGACCGTGAGCTTCAAATAGGTATCGTCCCTCCTTCAACGCCGATGCCAGAAAACAAATCATAGAGAATCGTCACCCAATATCTTGCCTCACGCGCCAACACAAGCAACCATCAAGTCTTCATAGTTTCCACTCGTTTCGCCCTTGATGCGTTTGGCAAGAGATGTCTTATATCTCTGCTGGAAGGCACCGTTGATGTTGGCCATGGCATGTCTGTCCCAGTGATAACGCACGACGCGGCTGACGAGGAGCTGATCCTTGGTGCCAAATCCGGCCATGGCATCTTCGAGTAAAGCCGCGGCATGCATGAACTTGTCAACGCCGTGGTTGAGCTGGAATAACAGAGCCTCTTCCATGTGTCCACTGAATTCCTGTCAAAGTGTTAGTATAAGCCACATCGATCTTCATAGGTTGCCGAGCTAGACTTACTTTGCGAATAACATCGGCAAGACGCTTCCTAAACTTCTGCTCGTAGGCGTGGTTGATTGCACGGATTTGGTTGTCGTTGCGGGTGCTGAGGATGGAACAGAAGATCATCTCATCCGTGCCCACCTTACCCTCGCCAGCACGGTACAGGTCCATAACGTCGCGGTCGATATCTTGTGGGACCACGGGTGCGCTGTCCTCAGCTCTGTTGGCCCCCAGCACAATGAGAAAGTGGCGCTCCGTCTTCATGCTCAGATCTCCCCTGACGTCGTTCTCCAGAGCCCTTCCGAAAGTTTGTTGATACTTTCTCTTGATGGCTTGCAAATCCGCATTGGAACGGCCCAGTAGAACATCGTTGAGCACCTTCTCCTTGGTGCCGGGACCGTCCATAGCATTGTAGAGTAGATGACAGTCATGGAGCAAAGGTCCTTGAACAATGGCCACCAAGCCCGTCTCGAAATAGCCGCTTGTCTCCGAGATGATGTCCTTTTCCAAGCTCTTGTTAAAGTTGCGGTAGTACACGTCCTTGATCGCGTCGATTTGCAAGGGATCCTTGTTGGCCAGTGTACGGATCAAGACCTTGTTATCGGTGCCAAAGCCCTTCATTGCCTTTCTCAGTGCATGGGCGTCTGGGTTGGCATCCCAATTAATAATCTGCGGTGGTCCATATCCCAGGGAAGCCGGAGTGGGAGGACCTCCCCAGGCTGGCGCAGGAGCTGCATAGTTCTGCGGAGGGCCGGCGGGCGGCGCGCCGTAGCCTTGCTGCTGGTACGGTGGTTGTGGTGAGTGACCTCCATAGGGCTGGTTCTGAGGTGGGTATTGCCCTCCGTGTTGCGGAGGAGGCGGCTGCCCATAACCGCCATATTGACCTGGAGGAGGTTGATGCGGAGGGGGAGCACCGTGGTATCCCTGGTGAGGTGGTGGTGCTCCGTAGTGTCCCTGCGGCGGCGGCGGTGGTTGACCATAGCCGTATTGGCCCGGCGGCGGTGGAGGCTGTTGGCCATACCCATATTGCCCGGGAGGGGGGCCACCGGGGGGTGGGTGGCCGTAGCCAGAGTACTGGTTATAAGACATGAGATTGTTCGCAACCAGATGGAGTCGCGACTGCGTGGCCGGGAAAGTGTTTTAGAGTAGTGAAGGTAGGTAAAGCTGGCAAATAGGAAACCCAGAGGTGTAAGTCAGACCGGGCGTTTCGCTCGTGAGCAGGAGTGGCGTCGCTGGGTAGGAGGTTGAGAAGTTATTATAAGTTTCGGTCGGCGGGAAGAGAGCTGGCAAAACCTAGTCGCCACGAGGAGGCTGTGGAATAGCGACGCGCAGGAGTGATGTATGCTCGCACCTATTGCAGTGATTAACAGGTGACTCGTTACCAGCAGCCAAGAGAAGAACAGCCCACCTTCATGGGTTTGCTTTCAGCTGTGCAGGATGTCTTTCGGGGGTGCTAAGGGACGATCATTGGTGGCGGAGTAGAACTCTGGTGGGATTCAGGCTTCAACGTCATCTTACATCGTGCAATTGTGCCCCGCACTAACATTAAGGTATGGATTTTAGCATTAGTGGTTCTAGACGTGCCTTTCACGATTTTTATTTGGTCACATTTCAAACAAAGCCACAAAGTATCTTGCATCTATTCTAGTGACTACAAGTTTTGAGGGTGAAAACCAACATGACAATCAATTTGATAGCCAATGAGAAAGCACCTTTTTGAGCAGTCGAATCTTACAGAATTCGCGATAGTAATTTCGCCAGGTCCAAAAAGCCACAAAATGTTCCCGTCATATGATCTTCGTTGCCTCCAGCCCTGCGCGCAGCAGTGGGAATAAGATGGTACCGGTTTTTTTCGCAAATTTTGTAGAACTATTAACGCAATGGGCACCTAGCAGGCCCCTTAATTACCCCCACTTTTTTAACGTTAATTTTATTTGTTATAAGCTTTCCCAGCCAAAACACACTTAAATTATATATAAAATAAAGGAATAATAAATAAGGTTTATATTTACATCGTTTATAAGTGAGGTTATTATATAATAATTTTTTATTAATTTTTACTAATTCCTAATATATAAACGTTACTTATAATGCCGATCCGGACGAGCCGTTTACCTTTAATAAGCCTTATTACCTCCTAATCCGCTTAATTACCGATTTTACCTTTTTTTAGAAGATTAGCATTTTATTTATTACGTACGATAACGAGGACCTAAACGAGCCTCCGATAATTATATATTATAAATAAGTTAAAAAGGAAAATAGGAAAATCGCAAAAGACCTATTATACCGCCTATTTGTTTATAAATTACGGTATATACCTATCCGAATTAATAAAAAATATAGCAAATTAAATATTAATTTAGGTATAAAACGCCGATATATTTACGGATTAGTATAATTTATTTACGTATAATATTAAATTCCCCGATTTAGCTTTTAAAAGCCTAAATCCGATAAGTTTTTAAAAATTATATTTTTATATAAAAAGTGGCCCGTGCGTTAAATTTTATTAATTTCCTTTTTTTTATTAACCTTTTCCGTTTTACGTCGTACCGATTTAGTATTATAGCTATTTCGTCTTTATTTATTTTGCCTAATCTTATTATATTAATGCTAAAATATTTAATAAATTTACGCAGCTTTATATTCGATAATTAACGATATTTATTAATATAATTTTTAGCTATATATATAATTTATAATATATCGTTTATTTATATTAATATTTCCCGCTTATAATTCCTTTTAAATTTAATATTAAAGTTAATTATAATAGCTTAATTATTAAGCTTAAGGTTTTTTGCCTCGATGCTTTTAATTTTAATATTACTATTTTTTTTATTAGATAAAACGTTAATATTAATATTTTTAAACAACTTCCGGATTATATTTAATTTATAATTTTAGAAATATTAAACAGCTTAGGTAATTATATAAATTAATATAATCCAACGCTTTAATATAAATTATATAAATATTAGATTTTTTTTTTCGGTTATGTAATTATTAGTATATTTTCGTAACTTTGCCTTTAATAGTAAATTAATATATATATTTAAAGGTTAGAATATATAAATGCAACTAAAAGGAATTATAGCAAATAAAATGCCGTTATTTTTAAGCTTTGCTTTAAATATATTTATTTTATAAAACCGCGTTATATTTTATATTAATATAATATTTCTCCTTATAATCCGCCTTATAGGGATTAATTTTTTATTTAGCTATTTATAAATTAATTTTTCGTTATTATAAGCTGTTTTATTTAGCTTTATAGTTATATTTTAGTTTTATTTATTTTTTTTGTTTTTTTCGATTTTGCCTTTAAAAATGCCGTAAAAAATTAGCTTCGGCTTTAAACGCTAAATACCGTTATTAAAAATATATAATATAAGCGTAGCTTAGCGCTTATTTTATTTATTTTTTATACTTTTGCCGGTTACGTTTTTAGCCTTAATTAAATTATAAATATAGCTATTAAAAAATTCGAATAATATGTAACGACTACACTACGGGTTTCTAGAATAAACCTAAAATATAAAAGGTATTAGGGTTTATGCTAATAGGGAACGGTAGTTTTAAAAAAAGGTATTAAACAATAAATATTTAAAGGTAAGGATAATTGAATTGATTTATAAATATGGTCGTTAAAGCGTATTAAATGCTTTACTTATAAGTAAAATAAATGCTTAAATTAATTATTAAGGTAATAATTATTTATATAGGAAATCCTTTTATAATATATATTTATTTATTCTTTTACTAATATTTTTTAAATTATAATGCTAAGCCGATTTTATAATCCTAAAATTAATAAAGTTTAATAATCCTAATAATTTAACCGTTTAAATTATTACTAAAATTATAATTTTATTAGGCAGCTAGCTAGCAGCTATTAAGGATAATAGTTCCTATTTTAACTTATTTCCGGCTTTTGGTGCTAAGCCTTTTTTTTTTCCTTAAGCGCTAATATATTTATTTATTTTTATATAAAAATGCTTATTCGTAATATTAGCTTTTTTTTTTATATTTTTTATTTTTAAAAGATTATAAGCCGCTTAAATAGGTCGTAATGCTTACGTGCCGTAATTATTTTATTTCTTTTCCTTATTATTCCTTTTTATTTTATTTATAATATATATTTATTATATTAAAATTTTTATCGGAAATAACGAAAAAACGAAAAGCTCGTAAATAAATTAAGCTTTTTAATTTTATTAAATTAAACGGTCGTATTATAAATATACCGTATACGCTTTATTTTAAAAATAAGCGTCCCTACCGAATAGCGGATAAAAAATCGATTTGTTATTTAAAATATATCGCGTATCCTTTTCGGAAATGCGATAGTATTTTAATAGCTTCTACGCTCCGGAAGGTTTTAGATTAATAGCGGAAATTAAAAACCAAAAAAAAGGAGGTAAGCGACGATTTTTTAGAATTTTACGAAAAAATAGCTAAGCTTTAATCTTTTTTAACGGCCGCTATTAATCGGTTATTTCGGATTCGGAAAATTAAAGCACGAATAAAGGCTCGTAATTCCGAATTATTTATTTATAATATAAAGGAATTAAATAAAGAAAATAAGGTTTTTTTTGCCTTTAAAAGTTACGAATATTTTATAATAGGTGATTTTTAATCGTTAGGTATCTTTAACGAGCCCGATTAGTCGGCGCTTGGTTTCGGAAATAATTTTATAAATCTCGGTCCTTTTATTAAAGCTAAAAGTATTAATTAAAAGTAATATAATTTTTAATATACTTCCTAGGTTTTTAAATGTTTTTTTTAGGTAGGTAATTTTTTTATTTAACGTAAAATTAATATCCGCGTCCGACCTTTTTATAATTAATAATTTCTTTAATAATATATTTTTGCTAATTTAGTTTTATTTTTAGTATTTCGTCGATTTTAGCGTTTTTTAGTATTGGTTCGAGCAATAAAATATAAAAAGTTTTATAGTTTTTTATAATTTTTAATAGCTTAAATCGGTAATTAATATTCGAAATTTTTTTATCGATTTTAAATAATCCGAGTTTTTTAAAATTAAATTTATCGCTTAATCGTTTTATTTTAATATTTTTGCGTAGGAAATAAACCTTATTTCCTTTTTTAAAAATTAATCTTTTAATCTTTTTTTTATCGTATTAAAGTTTTATTTTTTATTAAATGGCGATAAGGGTTTTTTAAAGTTTTATTTACAGATTTTTAAATTATTCGACGCGTATAATAGCGTATAATACAAATTTTTTTTTTTATAGTTTTTTAGTAATATCGGGTTTATATCCGTAATTAGCGTAAAAAAGTAATATTTTAATAGGTTTTCGTACTATATTATTATATACGAATTATGCGAATAGCAATAATATAACCTAATTATTTTATTCGTAGTTAATATAATATCTAAAATATTTTTCGAATACCTAATTTACTCGTTCTATCTATCCGTTAATTTACGGATAAAAAGCTATTAAAAGCTTATAATCGCATTTTAGCTAATTAATAAATAATTTCTAAAATTTTAATATAAAAAGCTTATTTTTATCTAAAATAATCTTATTTAATAATCCGTATTAACTAGCTATAATTCGGAGGAACGTATAAGCTAGTTTTTTTGCATTACTGGCTTTTTTATATAAAAAAAAATAAGCGTATTTCGTAAATTATTCCGTAAATATTAGGATATTATCGTAAAAGGTTTTAATTAAAGGTTTTTTCGAAAGTAGTAATTTTATAATAAAATCTAATATAATAAATTTTTATACCTTATTTAGCGGTAATATAAATTATAATTTTTTATATTATTTATATCGTGCTAACTTTACCTTATTACATAAATTATATTCTTTTATAATATTACTAACTATTTATCGGAGATTTAGGCAATCGAATTTTTGCTAAATTCGTTTAAAAGTTTTAAAGACTTTTTAGTATCCGTAAATTAGTAATTTATAATAATTTTTAATAAAGTCTTTTCGGAATTCATCCGGTATCCAAAGTTTGCCTTAGTATTTAATAGCGTCCTCGAATTTTTTTATTTCTAACGCTAGGTTATAAAATAGATTTTAAAATAGCGGTCGTGCTATATC